GTGCATCGTAACAGCAGTGGAGTGCCCGCAGCACACACGCATGGAAGTTGAAGTCCCGGGGGAGGCCATGGTTCTGCGATGAAAAGGGTGAGGAGGAGAGGCACAGAACTATGTTTTGAAGTGCATCGTAACAGCAGTGGAGTGCCCGCAGCACACACGCATGGAAGTTGAAGTCCCGGGGAGGCCATGGCTCTGCGATGAAAAGGGTGAGGAGGAGAGGCACAGAACTATGTTTTGAAGTGCATCGTAACAGCAGTGGAGTGCCCGCAGCACACACGCATGGAAGTTGAAGTCCCGGGGGAGGCCATGGTTCTGCGATGAAAAGGGTGAGGAGGAGAGGCACAGAACTATGTTTTGAAGTGCATCGTAACAGCAGTGGAGTGCCCGCAGCACACACGCATGGAAGTTGAAGTCCGGGGGAGGCCGTGGTTCTGCAAGGTGGTGGTGGTGGTGGTGGGTGTTATTTTGAAATGCCTCGCAGCAACAGCCCCACAGCACACACACAGGCATGGAAGCTGAAATGAGGGCTGGACTTTCAGGATTTCGGGGTTTCGGGCTTAGTGGGATCTCACATGGATGAAGGCGAGGCGCAGGGTGGTGTAGTCGAGCTGTGTGATGGGCGACAGAACCTGCTGAATCGCTGCGTTCTGTTGTGAGGTGGCGGAGGCAAAGAGCACAGGGGGGCACAGGGGGGCAGGGGGGGCAAGACAGGGGTTACTGGGTTTGACGTGATGGGTGACAGTATTTGCTGGATCGCTGCGTTCTGTTGTGAGGTGGGGGGCGACAGGACAGGGGAGGGTGCAGAGGGGCAGGGGAGCAGTAAAGGCGAGGCGAATCATGGTGTAGTCGAGCTGTGTGATGGGCGACAGTATTTGCTGGATCGCTGCGTTCTGTCGTGAGGTGGGGGGTGGGGGGGGGGGGAGGCAAAGAGAGGGTTTAGGAATTTGGTGTGATGGGCGACAGTATCTGCTGAATCGCTGCGTTCTGTTGTGAGGACGGGGAGCAATCATGTTCCGGGTTCAGGGTTTGATGGGAATGGTGCCACTATCTGCTGTTTCGTGGCCTTCTGGTGGATAGGGGAGTAAGGAAGCCGGGGAAGAATGGGGCCACTGGGGTAGGGGAGCAGGGGAACAGGAGAGCAGGGGAGCAAGGGAGCAGGGAAGACGATGGGGCAGAGCAGAGGTCGAGTGTCACACAAGGAGCAGGACAAGGGCTGACTGCACTGTGCTGAAGTGCGGTGTGGTGCGGTGTGGTGCGGTGTGGTGCGGTGTGGTGTGCTGGAGTGGAGCCGTTTGCTGGGAATGGCATGGTGTGGTGGAGCAATGCAGTGGTGTAGTGCGGTGATGTGGTGTAGTGTGGTGCTGTGCAATGTGGTGGTGTGGTGTGGTGCAGTCTTACAAAGGTGAGGAGGAACGAGTGCCAGGCAGACAGATGCCCACTCGCATCCACACGTGCTGTGCCCTCCTCCGCTTCCCCACCTCCTCCCTCTTCATCTTCTCCTTCCCCCTCCTTGTATCCACCCCCAACCTCCCCGTCACCTGTCCCTCCTTCCCCTCCCCCCCCCCTCCTCCTCCCCTTCCTCCCCTTGTCCCCCTCGCCCCCCTCCTCCCCCTCCTCCATCTCCCACTCCTCCTCCCACGTTCTTCCTACCTGGCTGCCCGTTACCTCCCGTTCCGTTATCACCCCCCTCCCCCCTCACCCTCTCTCCCTCCTCCCCTGCAATTCCCCGGTTCTCCCAGTCCGTCCCATCGCCCTCCCCATCCTCCCCACCGCTCTCAACCATTCCATCCGCCCACGCAACCACCTCATCATACTCATCAACCTCGAATGCACCTTCATCACCCTCTCTCCCTTCACCCTCTCTCCCTTCACCCTCTCTCCCTTCACCCTCTCTCCCTTCACCCTCTCTCCCTTCACCCTCTCTCCCTTCACCCTCTCTCCCTTCACACTCACTCTCTCCAAACTCATTACCATCGGTCTCACTACCGCCACCATCGCAATCAGCACTGTAGCTCCCATCTCTATTGCTCCTGATGCTCCCCTTGGTGCTCGGAGTGAAGTGCACCTCCCTTTTTTTCGTTATTAAGCTCTCCATAGGGCTCACATAACCAATACCCCGCACTCCTCCCCCGCCTCCCTCGCCCTCCGTATGTTTACCTCCAGCTGCAGCAGCAGGGGACTCAAAAGACGAAGAAACAGACACACAAGCGGCAGCATCACCACCAGCAGCAGCAAAAACAGAAGAAGACGAAGGAGAAATAAGGACGGTATGAGTAACAGGACGAGTCATTGCAGCAGTAGCAGCAGCGGACACAGGGGAAGGGCTAGAATCAACCCCACCACCATCACCATCACCATCACCAGTACCAGCAGTAGATCCCCCAACCTTCTTCCCTCCTCCCGCACGCCCCATTTCAATCTTATCCACAACCGAGGAGGGCGGTGTTTTTCTAGTCATCTGAGTGTAGGCTGTGGGGTGCCAGCTTCCGAAGAACGGAAAGAACGAGGAGGAGGAGGAGGAGCGGGGGGAAGGGGAGGAGGAGGAGGAGGCAGGGGTCGGCAGCCCATGGGTTTGGCTGGGGGTCACCGGCAGCGGGGAGTTTGGAAAGGGGACGGGGGGAGCAGAGTGGGGAATGCGGAAGGAGGAGGAGGAGAAGGACGGGAGGCGGGAGAGACAGGAGGAGGAGGCGCTGTTGTGGTGCGAGATGCTCTGGGAACGCTGGGCGACGGAAGGGGTGGTGGAACGAGTGAGAGGGCCGGAGCGGAAGAAGCGGGTGGAGTGGAAGACGGGACCGGAGAAGGTGTGAGAGTGGGGGGTGCCGGGGGTGCGGGGGGTATGGAGGGTGGCGAGAGGATGCTGTGAAATCTGCGCCGTGACGGTGCTGGAAGGCCGAGTCTTGTAGGGCGAGGGTCAGCTGACCTGCAGCAGTGTGTGAGGGAGGAGTTAGGGGGGGACAAGGGGGGAGAACAGCCGTGAAATCCGCACCGTGGCGGCGCTGGAAGGCCGATTCCTGCAGGGCAAGAGTCAGCTGACCTGCCATACGTGCATGGGGAGGGAGGGGGTAGGGGGGGATAAAGGGGGGGATAAGGGGGGGATAAGGGGGGGATAAGGGGGGGGATAAGGGGGGGATAAGGGGGGGGATAAGAGGGGGATAAGGGGGGATAAGGGGGGGATAAGGGGGGGGATAAGGGGGGGATAAGGGGGGGATAAAGGGGGGGATAAAGGGGGGGATAAAGGGGGGGATAAAGGGGGGGATAAGGGGGGGATAAGGGGGGGATAAGGGGGGGATAAGGGGGGGATAAGGGGGGGATAAGGGGGGGGATAAGGGGGGGATAAGGGGGGGATAAGGGGGGGATAAGGGGGGGATAAGGGGGGGATAAGGGGGGATAAGGGGGGGATAAGGGGGGGATAAGGGGGGGATAAGGGGGGGATAAGGGGGGGATAAGGGGGGGGATAAGGGGGGGATAAGGGGGGGATAAGGGGGGGATAAAGGGGGGGATAAGGGGGGGATAAGGGGGGGATAAGGGGGGGATAAGGGGGGATAAGGGGGGATAAGGGGGGGATAAGGGGGGAGCGCAGCCGTGAAGTCGACGCCGTGACAGTGCTGGAAGGCCGAGTCTTGTAGTGCGAGGGTCAGCTGACCTGCGGGGGGGGGGAGGAAGGCGGGTGAGTGGAAGAGGCAGGTGGAGTTGAAGAGGGGGCGAGAGGTGTGTGAGTGGGGGGTGTGGCGAGAGGATGGGATGAAATCCGCGCCGTGGTGGTGCTGGAAGGCTGATTCCTGCAGTGCAAGAGTCATCTGGCCTGCAGCAGTGTGTGGACGGGGGAGAGAGGGGATAGGAGAGGGGAGAATAAGGGAGAAAGGGGTACAGTGAGAGGAGAGCAGTGCTGTGGCGGTGCTGAAAGGCCGAGTCCTGCAGGGCGAGGGTCAGCTGGCCTGGATTAGGTGCATGGGGGGAGGAGAGAGGAGGGGGGGATAAGGGAAGGGTAGAGGAGAGCATTGAGAGCTGCGCTGCGTTGGTGCTTTCAGACGTCTCAGAGCTCGGTGTGTTGTGAGTCGACTCAAAAGTGTGTTGTGAGTCGACTCAAAGGTGTGTTGTGAGTCGACTCAAAAGTGTGTTGTGAGTCGACTCAAAACACGCTTTGAGACGTCTCAGAGCTCGGCGGTGCTGAAAGGGTGAGTGCTGCAGGGCGAGGGTCAGCTGGGCTGCCGTGGGGAGCGAGGGGAGGGGGGTGTTGTGGGGATTGTGAAGGTACGGTTAGGGCTGTGACAAATCTAGTGAATGAATCTGGTCCTTGTTGGGAAAAAGGACTTCGAGAATTTCTGCCGGAAAAGATGTGACCAGTCAAATTTTATATACAAAACCGAACTGGCCCTCGAACGGTTCGGTTCGGTAAATTGCACATGCCTACCCGTACCTGACACCCGTACCTGCCAACTGTACCTGACACCCATACCTGCGAACTGTACCTGACACCCGTACCTGCCACCCGTACCTGACACCGTATCTGACACCCGTACCTGACACCCGTACCTGACACCCGTACCTGACACCCGTACCTGACACCCGTACCTGACACCCGTATCTGACACCCGTACCTAACACCCGTACCTGACACCCGTACCTGACACCCGTACCTGACACGGGCACAGCTTCCATCTCAAGCGACTTCTTGAGTGCCTCCGCCTCCCAGCTTTCCAGCGCCTCACCTGTAGGAGAGAGGTTTCATGTAACAGACATAACTAATTTACTCATATGAGCAATTTATGCAAGAACAAAGCCTACAAACTTGAAAGGAGGAAACAACAGGAAGGGATGGAGGGAAAGAGGGATGGAGGGAGGAAGAGTGGGAGATTAGGGTAGGTACTTATGAAGCATAGGTAATGAAGGACCATTCGAGTTGGGGAGGCGTTACATCAAAGTGCGTGCTTCATCACTTTTTAAAAATTCCTCTCAGGAGGTGATGGTTAGTAATGCAGGAGTCCAGGTTTTGAGCACGGTTAAGGAGGAACCATGGTACTAACCCGTCTGTGAGCGATGATGATGGTGATGCAGGAGTAGAGGATGTGACCCAGGGCGAGGAAGAAGGATGAAGAGGTGACTGTTGAGTCGGTCGAAAGATCTGACTTATCAAGTCCACTGCCTGCATGGATGCACTCACCCGTCGGTGGGCGATGATGATGGTGATGCATGAGTACAGGATGTGACCCAGGGCGAGGAAGAAGATGAAGAGATGCAGCTGGTGTATTCCCGATGGCGACATGAAGGGCTCCTCGCCCTGATGTTCAAGAAAGTGTGTGGGGAGGAGGGAGATGGCTTCAGTGGGCTCAGCCGCTCAGGAGAAGATGGAGATGCAGCTGCTGCACTCCCGATGGCGACATGACGGCCTCTTCACCCTGATGGCATGACATGGCATGACTGGAATGACGACTTACTGATGGACACGTGTTCTCTGAGCTGGACAACACCCTCCTGCTCATCTCATGGAATGGCATGAGTCATGAGTAGCATGGCATGACTCATGGGGCATAATCATGCTTGGAATGTAATGACAACTTACAGATGGGCACGTGTTCTCTGAGCTGGACAACACCCTCCTGCTCATGTGATGGTAACCACCGTGGTGGTAACCACCCCAATGGTTGTAACCATTCACAGGGTACCCATTATGGTGGTAACCACCATGGTGCTCTGCCTGCTGCATCCCATGCATCAATGCGTCCAGCAGCTGCCGCCCGACGAACCCGTGCCGCCAAGACAGCAGTTGCCGCCCAGACAGCAGTTGCCGCCCATCTGACAGACCCAGGTGCGCAGTAGCACCGGCTGGCGCAGACTCAGAAGCAGGCGGCGCAGAGGACAAGGCGGAACCTTCCGGGGAGCTTCCGGTGGGAGCGGAGTGAGAGGAGGGAGAGGCGGAGGGAGAGGAGGAAGAGGATGAGGACGGGGGCTTGCATGGGATGAAGATGGTGGAGCGGGGGATGGCGATGCACCATTGGACTATGAGCGGGTCGATGAGCGCCAGCACAATAGAGATGAATCCCACCAGCATCAGCTCTGCATGGCCCAGGAGGGGAGAACGGGGTGGAATTGAAAGGGATGGAGTGGGGATGAGGGGGTTCAATGGGTTCGAGTATGAACGGACCGATGAGCGCCAGCACAATGGAGATGAATCCCACCAGCATCAGCTCTGGGTGGGCCATGAGGGGGGGAACGGGAAGTTTGCACGAATGGGGTGAATGGGAAGGGGTGGGGAGGAGTGTGAATGGGAGGGGTGAATGGGAAGGGGCGGGGAGGAGGAGGGTGAATGGGAAGGGGTGGGGAAGAGGAGGTTCAATGCTTTGCACATGCATTCCTGTCTGCCTCCTCCACACTGTCTTTAATGCGGTGCACCACCCTCTTGTCACCCTGACTTTTGAGTCACCTTGTCACCCTGACTTTTGAGTCACCTTGTCACCCTGACTTTTGAGTCACCTTGTCACCCTGACTTTTGAGTCACCTTGTCACCCTGACTTTTGAGTCACCTTGTCACCCTGACTTTTGAGTCACCTTGTCACCCTGACTTTTGAGTCACCTTGTCACCCTGACTTTTGAGTCACCTTGTCACCCTGACTTTTGAGTCACCTTGTCACCCTGACTTCCAAGACACCTTGTCACCCTGACTTCCAAGACACCTTCTCACCTAGATGTTTTACTAAGACACTTCGTCTGTATGCCCCCTCACTGTCTTTTACGCGGTGGCCCACCCCCTTGTCATGTTGACTTTGGAGTCATCTTCTCACCCTGAATTCAAAGACACCTTGTTGTCACCTTATCAATGAGTCACCTTGTTGACTAAGACACCTCGTCTGTATGCCACCTCACCGTCTTTTATGCGGTGCATCACCCCCACGAGAGCTGTTCGTTTCTTCCGAACCAAGAACTGCATGGAGATACGGCAGCCATGTGCATAAGGAACCGTTGTACGCGCATGTGTCATGGAAGGGAACAAAGGCGCATGGCATGGCATGGCGAAGAAAAAAGAACCAAAGGTACATGGCATGGAACGGAACAGAACAAAGGTGCATGGAGTTGAGAACACGCCATATGCCATGAAACGAGGGCATGGCATGGCAGTCGGTAGGCGCATTACATCAAAAGAAATGCTAGTGGGTACGAGGGAAACCCTTGCTGATGCACATGGATATGCTGCTGTTAATTCCAATGCACTCAACCATACGCCGCTTTTCACCTGATTGAACCACTCACACTGTGAATGAGATAAATAAGCCGTTCAAAAAGCAGCGACACGATGATAATAATCGCCGCCACTGTAGCGGTCAAGAAGGTCGGAGTGTAAAGCATCGACGAGGACAGATCTACGCTCGACTCGCTGCTTTCGCCTCCATTTCCCCCGCTTTCCCCCAGAAGTCGACTGCCTTCTCTAAGAAATCGACGGAGAAGCGTCACGCCGTCGACGCGCGGGAAAAACGGTGATTCTGACGGCGAGTGGAAAGGCGAATGAGCTGCGAAATTCGCCATCGTGGTGAGGTGTCGTGAGCCTCGGGGAAACCCCTGATAAAAAGCACGCAGGTCTCGAGTCGCGACGTCCTCGTGGGATTCTGGCCGGTCGTGGCACTGGCGCGGCTGACGATAAGGCTATGATGGACGTCGTTACGTAAAAGCTGCGGCAAATCAGTCAGGAAAGTAGGAGCATCAGAGCACAGGGTGATGATTATCGGTAAGAGACGCACGGCATTTCCAACTTTTTCCAACTGATGTCTGGAAAAACTATCCCTCTTTCACTCTGCATTGCTCTGCTCTAAATTTATCTAACAAAGCTGAAATGGCGTCATTGCTGAATGCGGTACCATGACGACATCCCCCAGCCATAGGAGGTGTCAGTTCGAGATTTCGAACAAGTGGTGCTGGTGAAGTGTGTCAGCGATTCTCTCTGGAATTTCGGAGGTGCACTGGGAGCAACAGCGGCCAACGCGGGGCTTCGAGGTTTTGCTGTGCAAGTCGGCAGAATCGAGGTGGGTTGAACACTTATCATGGAATTACACTACAGATATGTACATGACTCATGAACTGTACGTTAGATAGTAAATGGATTATGGGGCAGCGCGAAAAGCAATGACTGTGCCGGTTATCGGGATTGTCGAAGACGGTTCGTTCGAGATTCGGTAAACTCTCAGAATCGCATCAACTCGTAACGAAATCGTTATCAACCGTTCTTCACAATAAGTTTTCCGCATCCCATGGATTCCCGTAATACTGCCTTATCTCGATTTCGTATGGCGCGAATTACGCCAGCATAAATTGTTCCGTTCTGTCTGTCTATGTCCGTCCATCAGTCAAGCTAGAGAGTCTGATACATACCGTGCATGCATCAAACCTACTCTCATACTTGGTCTGTTTGTTTTGCAAGCCTAGAATCCTCGAATCCTGTTAAAAGAATCCCGCTCTTCCATCGCCATGGCAGGCAGCGACATGCTTCCACTCCCGCCGCATTTCCACCCGCTTCAGGCGCTCTGGCCGTCGCTCTTCACCCCCTCCGCGCTCTCGCTGCCGTCGCAGCAGCTCGCCGAATCCCTTTTCGACGTCGCAGGCTTCGCCGTCTTCGCGACTCTCTACGCGTTCGCGATCTCGTTCGCCTTCCCATGCCCCCCGCATCAGCCGCTCATGCTAGGCAAAAGGTCTCCGCAAATGAAAAGGTGCGTAGCTTGTCTCGCCTACTAATCACTACAACCTCACAAATCCCCATTTTGAGAAACCTCTCAGAAGCCAGGCTTAATGTTTCCACAAATGAGAAGGTGCGTAGCTTGTCTTCCCTACTACTAATCCCCATTAATACCCCACGACATTAAACATTCTGTGACACATATTTCGCGTGGATCGTCGCCGCAGCCAGATATCCAATCCCATTTCGCCCAGCTCCGTGTTGGTCCAATAATATCAGCTACATCCTTTCTCCTTTCCACCTTAATCAGCCTTTTCAAAGCATAACAGTGATTTTCACTGATTTCTCTTTTCGGTCACATCACACTGAGCCAAATCAGCAAGCAGTCACCCCCCTAAGCCTGCCGTCTCCCCCCTCAGCCTGCCGTCTCCCCCCTCGGCCTGCCGTCTCCCCCCTCAGCCTGCCGTCTCCCCCCCTCAGCCTGCCGTCTCCCCCCTCAGCCTGCCGTCTCCCCCCTCAGCCTGCCGTCTCCCCCCTCAGCCTGCCGTCTCCCCCCTCAGCCTGCCGTCTCCCCCCTCAGCCTGCCGTCTCCCCCCTCAGCCTGCCGTCTCCCCCCTCAGCCTGCCGTCTCCCCCCTCAGCCTGCCGTCTCCCCCCTCAGCCTGCCGTCTCCGCCCTCAGCCTGCCGTCTCCCCTTTCATTTCCCTCCCCTCCAGGTACATGAAATTTGCAGGAGCGGTGGGAATGCTCTGGCCGCTTGCCCTGATAGCATCCGGGTTCCTCTTTTCAAGGCACCTGCAGATCATCTCAGCTGCTGTCTCCCCTTCCGTTCCCTTCCTTGCCCTCCCCTCCAGGTACATGAAATTTGCAGGAGCGGTGGGGGTGCTCTGGCCGCTCGCCCTGATAGCATCCGGTTACTACCTCTGGAAGAGCATACCCGAATTCACCTGGGCTCTCTCCCTCGCCCTCCCTGACATGCTGCTGCTTGTCATCCAGGTGCGAGTGAGGGAGTGAGTGTGAGGGAGTAGGAGGGTGTGTCAGGGAGTCTGTGCAGGTATGAGTGCTCTGGCCGCTCGCCCTGATAGCGACCGGTTATTACTTCCGGAAGAGCATCCCCGAGTTCACCTGGGCGCTCTCCCTCGTCCTCCCTGACATGCTGCTGCTCGTCATCCAGGTGCGTGCAGAATTCTGCGCGCGCGCGTGCGTGCGTGCGTGCGTGCGTGTGTGTGTGTGTGTGTGTGTGTGTGTGTGTGTGTGTGAGGCTGTGTGAGCAGGTCTGTGAGGTTCTATAGCGTCTGGGCTCCTCCCGAGTTCGCCTGGGCTCTCTCCCTCGCCATCCCTGACATGCTGCTGCTCGTCATTCAGGTGTGTGTCTGCCTGTGTGAGGCTACGTGGGGCTGTGTGAGTGCGTGTCTGGGTATGTGTTCGCATGTCTAACGCATTCAACTTCCTCGTCCGCCAGGCCGTTCCTGAGTATGTGTTCACGTGGGCGCTCTCTCGTCTGGTCCTCCCTGGCGTCCTGCTACCCACCTTTTTTCTCGTGACTCGGAATCCATCGGATGCTCTTGTTTCTCCAGTGGTGAATTTTTATCCGTATTTTTCGCCTCTCAGCTTCGGGTTATTTTGTGTGCCCTGCTTGTTGCATTGCACCCCTGCCTTTTTTCTCCTTGTCATCAGATCGTTTCAGAAGGAGTAACTGCGGCAACAAAGCAATCATTACCAGTCAAGTAAGTTCAATGCAAGCAGCTAAGCTCCCTCCCTTCCTCTTTCTTTCCTTAGGACGCCTTGTCTCCCACTAGTTGCCTGCTGTCATACTCGTGCCCACCACAGCGCCCATCCCCCCCCACCCATCTTTCCTCTCACCCCCCATGTCGCACCCTTCGCCTCCTGACCTGAACCCTCGTCCCCCCGCTCTACAATGCCCGCTGCATGTTCTCTCTCTACAAGTGGAGTGGCTCACGCACCCTACTGCCGCTTTACTCACTTTCTCCCATTCCGCCTTCTCCTTTCCATTTCCCCCCCTCAACATCGTCCTCAGAGCTCTCATTCCTCCGCTCTACAACGCTCGCCGCAACCTCTCTCACTTTACAAGTGGCGCACGCACTCTGCTGCTGCCGTCCTCCCTTCTGTCTTCTCCTGACCCCTCCTTCCCCCCGCCCCCTTCCCTCCTCATCCCCCCTCAGAGCTCTCGTACCCCCTCTATACAACGCTCGCCGCATGTTCTCTCTCTACAAGTGGCTGTCGCACTCTGCTGCTGCCGTCCTCCCCCTCATGGCCTCAAGCACTGCGAGGGCAGGCGGCAGCAGCTTGTGGCGGCTGGTGTGGCTGGGGAACCTAGTAGCATGCGCAGGTACGTTGCTAGTGGTGGTCAGATAGGCATGACAGGTTTATTGCAAGCACCTGAGAAACGGACTTCCTGAGAAACGGACTTCCTGAGAAACGGACTTCCTGAGAAACGGACTTCCTGAGAAACGGACTTCCTGAGAAACGGACGCTCCTCTCTTTCTCCTCTCTAGAAGTTGCTCACCCACTTTGCTGTCACCATGCTCCCTCTCATGGCTTCAAGCACTGCAAGGGCGGGCAGTGGCAGCGTGCGGCGCCAGGTGTGGCTGGGGAACCTAGTAGCATGCGCAGGTAGGTGCCAGTGGTGATCAGATGGAGGTAACTGCCTGCTTGCAACTGCAGGTAACTGCCTGCTTGCAACTGCAGGTAACTGCCTGCTTGCAACTGCAGGTAACTGCCTGCTTGCAACTGCAGGTAACTGCCTGCTGCCTACAAGCCCTGGCTGCAGGTAACTGCCTGCTGCCTTCTCTCACCACATACCCGTTGGTTTTTGAGAATTCTCAAAAGCCTTCTCTCACCACATACCCGTTGGTTTTTGAGAATTCTCAAAAGCCTTCTCTCACCACATACCCGTTGGTTTTTGAGAATTCTCAAAAGCCTTCTCTCACCACATACCCGTTGGTTTTTGAGAATTCTCAAAAGCCTTCTCTCACCACATACCCGTTGGTTTTTTAGAATTCTCAAAAGCCTTCTCTCACCACATACCCGCCCCACCTATGTTCTCCTCTCCACGCAGCTGTCTGTGATGTGAACTACCCCTGCTGTGGGCGTGCATCGTGTTCTGCTTCCTGCTGCCCATGGTTGCGCCTTCTGTCTTCTTATGATCCTCCTGTCCCCCACCCGTACCCCCCTCCCCACCACCTTCCCCCACTCGCATCCCTCACCCCAGCTGTGAGCTTCCTGCTGTGGGCGTACAACGTGTTGTGCTTCCTGCTGCCCACCGTCGTGCCCTATGCGCCCCACGCTGTACGCCCACAGCAGGAAGCACAATGAGCCCTATGCGCCCCACCCTCAACCCCTCCCCACACCCTCTCCTCGCCTCCCCTCCTTTCCCCACTACCCTCAACCCCTCCCCACACCCTCTTCTCGCCTCCCCTCCTTTCCCCACTCAGCTGTGAACTACCTGCTGTGGGCCTACAACGTGTTCTGCTTCCTGCTGCCCACCGTCGTGCCCCGCATCTTCGAGCAAGACATTGCCTCCCGCGCAGCATCAGCTAGTGCCACGGCCAAGGTGGAGGCAGAGGGAACAAGGGATGGTGGCAGTGGTGCTAGTAAAGGAAAGAAAGGTGCCAAGGGTCTGTGAACTCATGATACAGTCTACAGGTGCTCCCCACCATCGTGCATCTCATCTTCGAGCAAGACATTGCGTCGCGCCTTCAAGCAAGGCATTGCGTTGCGTCGCGCACCGGAATAGTTGGGGCAGGGGATGACAGCAGTGGTGGTAAAGGAAAGAAAGGCTGTACCATATGAGTGTAGAGGGTTTGGATGGAAGAACAGTGAAGTCGTGGCATTGCATGCATCTTTGAGCAGGATATTGCCTCACAAGCTGCAGCTTGTTACACAACTTAAGTGGATGGAGAGGCATACACTTAATATATGCGCTTGCACTTTCTGAATAGTTATCAGTTCCACTTGCAGTGTAACTAATACACCAAAAATGTTCTCTTGTTCCAGTCGCAAGTGTCACATTCCATACATCCTACACGTTCTACACTACATCTCTACCCCCCTCAACGCTCCCAATGTTTCGCCAACTTCAACACCCCCCGCCTTTCCTAGGCTCCTGCACTTACTATTCCAACTCAAAAACCACCCTCCCCTCTACTTTCCAGGGGGCAAAATTACATCCTCCCCTTCCTAGAGCCCTGCAGTGCAAAAGCAGCCTTAATGCTCCTGCTTGCAACAGCCCTGCAATCTGCGCCAACTTATGGGCCACAATCCCCCATTCCCTTTGCAGGGGACAGGATCACATACTCCCCCTCCCTAGTGCCCTGCAATTTCTCCGCCAGAACTGCATCCACGTTAAAAGCAGCCTTCAGTATAGCGGTAGGCATCGCACTGTAGACCGAGTTGCCGCCGGCTAAGAAGCCAGGCTTGGGTTTGGACTTGGGGGAGAGAGCAACGTACTCTAAGCCCTCCCCTGACGCTTCCTGTTACAGAGCGGGAGCGCAGTGGGAGGCGGGATGGAGAGGGGGGGAGCAGGGTGGAGGCATGATAGTGTGATGTGTGCATGAAGAAGTGTTTTGAGACGTCTCAAAAGGCATGATAGTGTGATGTGTTGCTGAGAGATAAGCTTATCACAAATCTAGCGAAAACCCCAGCACAACAGCCACATCTCTCACTGCCATTACTCCTCAAATGAAATGAGTGTTACCATGTTACCAAGCCACAGTGTTACTTACAACAGCATGAGCGAAAGCAGCCGGCACCACCACCACATCTCCCTCATTCACATGCTTCCTCAGCGCCTTCCTGCCGTCCGGATAGGCTATCTCAAACCGCCCACTGCCACGTGTCACAAAGTGAATGGCTGCTGAGTTGGACAGCCAATGAGGCGCTGCCATGGCATTGGGCTGGGAGAGGGAGGAGTGAGGGAAGGGGGAAACAAGGGAAATATCAAACAAACAATAAATTGGAAAAAAATGATGGAATTTATTGAAAAGAAAGCAATGCCACATACTAACCTTTCATATACAACACACACTAACTCTCTCTTTCCCTCTCTTTTCATACCCTTCATTACTCACCAGCAGGTCGATGCGAGCAGCAGAAACGCCCAGGTGACGGAACACCGGCAGCTTGAATCCATCCGCAGTGGTCAACGTGCCGCCCCCAGTGCCACCTCCCCCACTTAGTATGCTAGACTCTCCTCTCCATCCGCCTCCCTCCTTTACTCACCAGCAGGTCGATGCGAGCAGCAGCAACGCCCAGGTGACGAAACACCGGCAGCTTGAATCCATCCGCAGTGGTCAACGTGCCGCCCCCAGTGCCACCTCCCCCACTTAGTATGCTAGACTCTCCTCTCCATCCGCCTCCCTCCTTTACTCACCAGCAGGTCGATGCGAGCAGCAGCAACGCCCAGGTGACGAAACACCGGCAGCTTGAATCCATCCGCAGTGGTCAACGTGCCGCCCCCAGTGCCACCTCCCCCACTTAGTATGCTAGACTCTCCTCTCCATCCGCCTCCCTCCTTTACTCACCAGCAGGTCGATGCAAGCAGCAGCAACGCCCAGGTGACGAAACACCGGCAGCTTGAATCCATCCGCAGTGGTCAACGTGCCGCCCCCAGTGCCACCTCCCCCACTTAGTATGCTAGACTCTCCTCTCCATCCGCCTCCCTCCTTTACTCACCAGCAGGTTGATGCGAGCAGCAGCAACACCCAGGTGACGAAACACCGGCAGCTTGAATCCATCCGCTGTGGTCAACGTGCCGCCCCCAGTGCCACCTCCCCCACTTAGTATGCTAGACTCTCCTCTCCATCCGCCTCCCTCCTTTACTCACCAGCAGGTCGATGCGAGCAGCAGCAACGCCCAGGTGACGAAACACCGGCAGCTTGAATCCATCCGCTGAGGTCAGAGTGCCGCCCCCAGTGCCACCTCCCCCACTTAGTATGCTAGACTCTCCTCTCCATCCGCCTCCCTCCTTTACTCACCAGCAGGTTGATGCGAGCAGCAGCAACGCCCAGGTGACGAAACACCGGCAGCTTGAATCCATCCGCTGTGGTCAGAGTGCCACCCCCTGGGGTCTCGATAGAAGCCTGCTCCTCTATAAGGTTGTACACAAAGTCCCCAAACGCTACAGTGCCTTCCGAGTTATCAGCGGCAGAAGCAGCAACGCTGTCATCAGCATCAGCATCAGTATCAGTATTCGCATCAGGATCACCAGATACGACCTTCCCCGGGTCAACCTTCGCAATGGCTGCATCTTTCTGCCCCTCCAGCAGCCGTGTCACGTCCCCTTCCTCCACACCCCATGCCTTGGCCAGCACTCGGTGGCTGTGCGGTGGGGGAGGCAAAATGGAAGAGCAACGAGGGATAATGAGCAGCAGCAGCAGAGGAAGGAAAGCAGCAGCTGTGCCGCGTCTCCTTCCTCCCACCTGAAATCTATGTGAGCCGCCTGAAATTCACCTGAGATTCACCTGAGCGCACCTGAAGCCATGGAGAATGCCGCCAAACTTCTCCTTCTGAGCGCCCACCAGGCTGAAGGCCGTGTACCGCCCCCGGTGGGCCTCCTTGGACGTATCTGGCATGTAAGGGGGTCGGATTGGAAGGTATAGTCGATATTCACAATGAAGTCTCTCCAGCAAAGCCACGTCAGCAGTTCCAACACAGGTCAGCAAATCAGCCATGACATGTCAGCACATAGAAAAGACACGTCAGCATACCAGCAATGGATATGATCCGCAGAGGCTCCTTGCCATCGTTCCAAATCCACCTGCCCCAGCCTCGTGGGAAAGCAAACGCATCGCCTTTGCGAAGCCTCCTGTAAAGGGCACAAGTCAATTGCGGGTAAAACAGTAAGGGGTACAAGTCAGGAAAGGGCAGAAAATAGTGAAGGGTACAAAAGAAAAGTTGTTTATTGTGATTTTTGTGGTCTACCGCTAACGCCACGTCATTCTGCATCACACATTATAACAAATTGTATCGTGTCACATCATACAGCACCGCACCGCACCGCACCACATCACATCAATCTGCTCACGCACCTCACGTTAGTGCGAATGCCCTCCGGGCTGATAAGCCCTGCCCTAGCTTCGCCCTCTACCACATAAGACACCTGCACACCGCAACAGCAAGTTTCCAGGAATGTTAGGGTAACCCACATGTGCAAGTGGGGCTGCAGTGGTCGACTGGAAAGTCATCTCGGAACAAGATGTACGAGTGAATGCAGTGGTGGGGTTGCAGTGGCCATGTAATGGGTAACTCACCTCTTCATCGTTAGAATACATGGGCAGAGCCATGGACACAGGCTCTATTGTCATCACTGCTGCGCTCACATCCGCATCCTGCCATGAGAAATGGTTGATTGGAAGCCGGGGGAAACCAACTCATCATGTGAACAGCACAGTGGGTTGAACAGCACAGTGGGTTGAACAGCACAGTGGGTTGAACAGCACAGTGGGTTGAACAGCACAGTGGGTTGAACGGCACAGTGGGTTGAACGGCACAGTGGGTTGAACAGCACAGTGGGTTGAACAGCACAGTGGGTTGAACAGCACAGTGGGTTGAACAGCACAGTGGGTTGAACAGCACAGTGGGTTGAACAGCACAGTGGGTTGAACAGCACAGTGGGTTGAACAGCACAGTGGGTTGAACAGCACAGTGGGTTGAACAGCACAGTGGGTTGAACAGCACAGTGGTTGGAGGTCGAATCAAAAGGTGCTGACGTCCGCGTGCTGCCAAGTGCAACAGTTCTGACTGCTTGACAGTAGGGGGAGACGCTTGTTATGACAATTGCAGAGCATCACAAGAAGGGGTAGCACCAACACAGCAGCACTCACCTCCAGTCGCTTCAACCCAGCGCCCCACACTTCAATCCGCCCACCACCAGTTGTCACCTCCACCTGTGGCCTTCCTCGCCTTGTCCTTCGCATGTCTCTCTCTCCCCCTCATGCACACACAAACTTCACATGCAGACATATGCATGCACCCACCCACCCAGACACACCTCCAGTCGTTTCAGCCCAGCGCCCCACGTTTCGATCCGCCCTCCACCAGTTGACACCTCCACCTGCGGCCTCCCTGCAAAAAACTCCCTAGCCTTGTCCTCCCCTCCCCCACCCTCCTCAGCGTTCCTTCCCAGACCTTTCCCGAGCCTTGTTCCCAGGTTCGACATCAGAGGTCCGACGCCCAGCCAGCGCCAGCCTTGGTGGAGCCGAGCTGCAGCATCAACGGAAAGCCAGCCCCGAGGCTCAGGTTCGGGAACAGGTGTGGTGGTAAGCTCAGGTTCAGCAGGTGTGGTGGTAGTCTCAGGTTCGGCAGCAGGTGTGGTGGTAGGCTCAGGTTCGGCAGCAGGTGTGGTGGTAGTCTCAGGTTTGGCAGAAGATGCCGTCGCATGTGCAGCAAGCATGGGCAGTGGAGAGAGGAGGAGGAGGAGGCAGAGGAGGGAGAGGAGGAGGGCGGAGGTAGGGAGCAACAGCAGCGGTGGGAGCTTGAAGGGGGTGAGACGAGGCAGCGCCATGAGTGCTTATAGCAATCGCTGAAGGATATTAAGGTAAGATAGCAGATAGCAACAAGCCTAATCTCAATTTCACTTGGGGAAAGGAGCCACGTGAGTAAAGCAGACGGCGCTGAGTTTATCTCAATGAACGCGGAAGGGGCGAAGCAGAAGCAGCGCAGGAACGAATCCAGCTGAAAGACCGAGACAAGCCGGAGGAGAGGGGAAAGCTGCCGACGGAATGAGCAGCAGCGAGCGGGATGGGAGTGTTGAAGTGGGGGTAAGGGGAAAGCGAGAGGGAGAGGAAGAGAAAGGGGAGGGGTGGGAGAGGAGGAGGGGAGCGCGGTTGGAGGAATCAGCGGTAGTGACAACATTGTCCGTGGCATGGCGACGCGAGATGCGAGTATGGGAATGGCGACGCGATATTTTAGAGTCGGAGGAAAACGACTACATCCCTCCGGGGTTTGCATGAGCACTGGCCTCTTTGCATGTCGAGGGCGTGTCGAAGCGTATCAAGTCGAGACGCGTCGAGGCGCGTCGAGGTGTCCTGAGGCGTATCGAGGCATCTCTTGGCGTGTAGAGGCATCCTGCCATGTCAGCAAGTTATCGAGCCTCGTCATGCAGCGACTTGCTCTGACCCTCGCTGACTGCTGATGGGAGGAGACGGTCTGGCACGAAAGGCGAAAGCTTGCACATCCGTCGATTCCTTAGATCCTACGGACCGTACGCGCGAATCTAACTTCTCGGACGAGTGGTGAGACGGGAGAGATACGATCTCGAAGATCCGGCTACCGCGACTTGCGCTAATAAAACATTAGCCAGCAAAATTCAAGCTAACAAGCATTTCTGATAAAAGGTACACTCGCGATTTCACACGCCGCGCGACAGCGGTGGAAGGTGATATTCGTAGACGGCTCAGTGTAGTATCTGCTGAAACAGCGCTGTTCCATCTGTACTCCCACCCGGAGCAGCTCACTGCACAGATGCTGTGGTTTCCAAAATTCCCAGGAATGTGCTTTTTAGATCTGTAAACCTCTTGCACTATAGGCAAGACTGTACAAGAAATTCCGAAGCACTACCATCCAGCCCACCCGAACTCCCAGCCCACTCCAATTACCAAAAACATATCCACCTTGAAACTAATCCGAAGGGGTTTCTAAGGTTTAGACACTCCGAAACCCTGAAAACCCTTCAGGTTTCGCCTCAAGCGACTCGCCCGCAAAGGTACACTCGAACTCCGAATCTAGAACCCATAGGGAGTGTCGATGATGCTGAAGTCAACATCCACATCCTCATCCTCCGCAGAGAACGCCCTGGGCTTGGGCTGCTGGCCCTTGGGCGGCAGGATGACGTACTCGTGCTGGCGGGTGCTGCGAAGCTTCTCGATCAGCTTCTCGTCCGCGTTAAAAGCCGCCTGCTGGATGGCGCGCGGCAGGAAGCGGTAGACGGAGTTGGCTCCCGCGAGGAAGCCGACCTGCGGGCGCGACTTGGTGATGAGCGCGATGTACTCAATGCCGTTGCCGGAGGCAAGCTGGGGGTAGGGGGGAGGCGGCGGGGGGAAGGGGGGAACAAGGGGGGAGGAACGGGGTAAGTAAACAATGAGCGGTAGACGGAGTTGGCCTCCGCGAGGAAGCCCACCTGCGGGCGCGACTTGGCGATAAGCGCGATGTACTCGATGCCGTTGCCGGAGGCAAGCTGAGAGACGGGGAATCATTAGGGAAGCGAGGAAAAAAACGGGGGGAGGGAACGATTAGAGTATCGAATGAAGTTGATTCCTGCGAGGCGACATTCTCAATAAGCGCAACAGAGAGCACTGACACATACAGATCGCGAACACAAATGGAACACCCCGAGTGAGTTACCGTGGCGTGGGGGAGGCCGGGCGGAATCACGATCAGCTCGCCCTGCTTCACGTCGCGCCGCACCGCCGTGCGCCCGTCGGAGTGGGTCATCTCGAACCGCCCCTGCCCGTTCAGCACGTAGATCAGCGCCGCGCTGTTCGCCAGCCAATGCGGCGCCGCGAGCGCGTTCTGCTCCAGCTCAAACCGCGCAGCCGAAAACCCAACCTTGCGGAACATCGGAAGCTTCCAGCCGCTCGCCCACGTCACGCGGCCCGCGCCCTCGCACTGAATGTCCGCCTCGTTCTCGATCAGATTGTACGAGAAATCGCCGAAGATGTTCTCCCCGGAGCGCGCGTTGAGAGCGTCGACCGCGGCGTTAAGCGCGTCAACCTGGCTCCTCTGCTGGACCTTCACGAACGCGGTTTCCTTCTGCCCCTGCAGCAGCTGCTTCACGTCGTTCTCCTCCACGTTCCACGCGCGCGCGAGCAGGTCGGAGCTGCATGGGGAGGGGGAGGAGACGTGCGCACGTTCGGGAAAATTTAGGGGGCAAGGCTGTGACAACAGGGGGGGGTAGGCGACGGAAGAGCACACAACCAGCAAAAGAACTGCGAGAAAAGGAGGAAAAACAAACTTCGCGAAAAAACACACCTGAAGCCGTGCAGGACGCCGCCGGTCTGCTCCTTCTGCGCACCGATGAGGTGGAAGGACGTGTACTGGCCGCGCTGGGGGCCCTTGGAAGTGTCCGCCATGGCGACCGCGCGGAACGGCTGGTTACCGTTGTTCCAAGCCCAGTGCGCCCACCCGCGCGGAAGGATGAACGCGTCGCCCTTGCGCAGGCGGCGCATGTTGGTGGGCATGCCGAGCGGCGTGATGAGCCCGACGCACGCCTCGCCCTCCACCACGTAGGAGATCTTGGCCGAGTCGGTGTAGTGCGGCAGCGCCAGGGACTGGCTCTCGATGGTCACGAGAGCGGCGCCGATGTCCGCATCCTGACAAGCCAAGGGCGGGCAGACAAAAGAGAACGTGAAACGAAGAACGACGAAGTTGAAAAGAGTTTACAGAAAGCGCCGAAAAAAACGGAAGGGAAGACGCAGAAACTGGATAGGTGAAAGGGCGTATCGAAAGAAAACAAAGACCGTACCTGAAGCTGCTTGAAGTCGGGGCTCCATACTTCCACGCGTCCGCCGCTGCTTTTGAACATTTCCTGGGGCTGCCCGGGAATGAACTCCTTCTCGTCGTTGGCGGAGGAGCCATAGCGCGCCGAGGCGCACCCCACCAGGCAGAACGCGAGCAACGCTAGCACCAACGCGCGACCCATGATGACGGCTGGATCACTCACGATTCTTCGACCGAAGGTGGCACACAAGCTTGCCAGGAAACGCGCAAAGCGAGAGACGAGAGAGAGAGCCAGAAGACAGGACAGGAAGAGAGCTCAAAGAACCGCACGCACTGAAATTAATGAAGCACGCTCGGCTTATATAGATGCACCGCGGGGGCTCGTAGTGGCTAGGAGCGCATGGGGTAAGCTGCAATGAGCGTTGATGGCTAGCTGCTGGGAGCGCGGGGAACAAGTTGCGATGGAAGCTGCTGCGCTGCGTTACGCGCCCACTTGTTCGAACGGAGCGCGCTCTCACCCCCTCGAGCCGCCTCGAAAGTAACGGAGGAGTATTTCTTTCTTGTGCGGTCACATGGCGGCTCGCAACGATTCGGGAATCCATCCAGCACAAAACATCAAGCAGAATTCACATACACATCACATGGCAAGGCATGGAACCTTCTAGTAGCGCGGTGCACGCATCTTTGTGCCGGCCCAGTACCGCACATGGCATGAAATGGCATGGGATCCCATGGTGCCTGCTACGTAGCATCGCATGGTATGGACCCGGTAACCCGGGTGCATGCAATTCTAGAATAATCCACTTGTTGCGCGCATGCTGCAAGTGTAGAATCACCATGTGACGGAGTGCTATATGTCTTCCTATCGTTCGCGACTATGGTCGTTATGCTACACGATGGAGCCACAACAATTCGTTACACGAGTGGAGGTTAGTGCTTTCGAAGAGTGATGCAGACGGGTATTACGAGGACGGGCGTTACGAGGTACGGGTTAACAGCGCGGTTTCTGTCTGATGGAACAGGTGTAGCTCTCTGAATTGCAGGCAAACACCATGCAACGGCCCTCCTAGGTATCCTATCTACCAAAAAGCCCAATGACTGCCACGTCCTGCTTGATTTGAAGGCTGTCGAAACCTCGTGGTGAACGCAAACAGATGGATAGACGGATAACTCGGTGCCCTCGACAACTCGGGATGAGGGGCAACTGCATCAGCCCATGCAATGCAATTACGTGCAGTCTGCACGAGCACTTGGCATTTTTCTGGGCATAAAGCTCAAGGCCCAAATTGCACAAGATTAGTAATCTTGTGCAAGGTTGGGTTCTCGGGGTGGGGTTGGTGAACGCGAAGTCCTGGGGGCACCGTGTGTTTGGGGACCGAGAGTCCCGAATTGTCGAGTTGAGAAACTTGCACAATAACCAATCAGATTGCTTCTGTACCTTCCGTAATTAATCAGATTGCTTCTATACCCTTCTGTAACCAATCAGATTGCTTCACACGAAGAGACAGCACAAAAAACGCGAAGTGTGCAAGAATAGTAATCTTGGCCCGCGCGCTTCGCAATTTGGGCCTTGAGCTATAAGGGAGTGAGTGATGCAGAAATTTGAATCTGCATGAGGATGCGCGATCCGGCTCCTTTGTCTATCCGCGCCTATTACGTAAATTGCTCATCTCATGAGGATAACGTGCTTGCGTGGAATGGATGTCAGAGGCACACGGCTGCAACTGATTGGGTAACGAAGACCGCCGAGTGCGGGTCATTGACCTAGCTGCAGTAAGCGCGCCCAGGTCATTGACCTAACGGCAAGACAAGCACAGTTGATAAAACGTGGTTGTAAAACATGTCATATTGCATATCGTTTGATATATGCGAAGATTATGTGGTTAACACTACTGATCTTGTCAAAGGCTAACGAAACTGAAATAGCAACCCTTCTACCTATACGTGTCAAGGTAGGTAGCAAACAGCAAATTTAAAAGACACCTTCACATCACACTCTAGCATAGGGCCCTCAAACCATGCATGTGGCGCTCCAAGTTTAGCTCCGCATGCTTCGGTTCAGTCACATCAGTCATCATCCTAGTTACTGGTGGTCATTGACGGGGATGAAGGAAACATGCAACATGAAAGTTAGGCACTAAAATATGAACATAAGGCTGGAAAATAACCAAGCACCACCTAAAATTGCTTATTTCAAGAAAACAAATCTGTTATATCCAATTAACAAGAGCCCACTCTCCTCTCGCACTCACCGGTTGTGCCAGGCCACAATCACACAAAGCTCCCACTCAGTGCAAGCGCGGGCGGCCTCTCTTCCGAGGCCTCTCCATCTGCCACACGTGGTGTTTGAGAGGGTGATGAGCGATGGAAGATGCGAGATGAGAGATGAGATGGGAGATGATTCGGGATTGTATCAGGAAATAGCAGCCGGACTCTCTTCCGAGGCCTCTCCATCTGCCACGCGTGATGTTGGGTGAGACAAGATGGGAGATGGGCGATGGAATCATGGAAGGTGAGAGATGGCTTAAAAAAAGACTTGGGAAGTTGAAGCCAGCTTACATACCCTAGATTTTGAACTTTAAAACCCTCGACTTGTTCATCAGGCTCACCATTTCCATTGCAGCGCCGGCCTCCTCCCCCACATACTCCACCTCCACGTCCTCCTCTTCCTCCTCCTCATCGCCCCCTGCTCCCCCCACCACAGCAGCGAGCGATGCGCCCTTGACTTTAACCAGCTGCCAGAGGTGGCCCTGCGTGTCATACACCATTGACGGCCGTAATTCCCACGGCCGCACCTGCTTCTGCCCCATCTCCCCATACCCTGCCGTAACAGAAAAGGAGGGGAAGGAGGGAGTGAGGGGAGAGGTGACTTTTGAGTCGACTCAAAAGTTGCTTCTGCCCCATCTCCCCATACCCTGCCATAACAGAAAAGGAGGGGAAGGAGGGAGTGAAGGGAGGGGGGGGGGGGAAGAGAAAGGAGAGAAGAATGGGAGAGAGAAAGAGGAGCAGGGGGAGGAGCAGGGGGGGGCATGTGCACAGTCTACAAGCAGCAGCTACAGAAAGCCTTAGCCGTTGCGGTATAAGCATGCCAAGTGGAGCAGCAAAGAGTGAGGGAGGGATAGTGAGTGCGAGAGAGGAGATGCTTCTGAGGAGCGTGAAGGGAAGTACCTGGAAACTCCACAGTGAAGCCTCTGATTTTGGGACCCTGTGCGTCCACTGCTGTGACTACCCCCTCCCACCACCTGTGTTGTGTTGTCAAGAGGGGGATAAGGGGAGAGGAGAGAGGGGGAGAGAGGGAAAGGGAGTGTGATAGGGCGGTTGGAAGGGAGGGAAAAGGGCATTAAGACAGGAGTTTAAGGCCCTGTGCGTCCACTGCCGTGACGACCCCCTCCCACCACCTGCGCCGCCGAGAGGGGGATAGGGGGAGAGGGGTAAATGGAATGAGAGGTGGAGGGGAAGAGAGCGGGAAGGGGTGAGAGGGAGGGAGCAGGAGAGGATGCAAGTGAAAGAGAGCAAGAGGGGGTGAGAGGGAGAGAGAGCGAGAAAGACCACATGAATCAACCCTCATGCCCACAGCCCACGCCCACTCTTCAGAATTCTCAAAAGCGACTCCCTCACAATGCACTTGCGAAGAATTCTCTGCAGCAATAAAAAGTTAATCACCCCCCCCCCCCAACTCACCCATCATCCACCCAGGCGTCGACTCTGTCCCCCACGGCCCACGCGCGCCCCATCGCAACCCTCCGCCGCCTCCCCCGCTCCCTCCCTGGCCGCAGCCGCCTCTCAGGCTGCTCGCCCTTCCTCTCACTCCTGCTCTCACCTTTCCTCTTGGCATCGCTTTTTCTCTATGCATATAAATCCAACTTGAAACTCACCCGTCATCCACCCACGCGTCGACCCTGTCGCCCACGGCCCACACGCGCCCCATCGCAACCCTCCGCCGCCTCCCCCTCTCCCTCCCCGGCCGCAGCCGCCTCTCCGGCTGCTGCCCCTTCCTCTGGGGAGCTGACGGCACGCCCGACACGAAGCGGGAAGCATCATTTGGAGCAGGTGAGGGCGGGACCAGCCCCACCCACTCCTCCAACTGGTGGGTGCCTGGAGGTTGATGGGGGGGAGGGTAGGGAAAGGGGAGAAAGACGAGTGGGTGAGAGTAAAAAGGGAGGTTCAAACGCCTCTCAGCCGCCTCTCAGGCTGCTGGACGTTCCTCTGGGGGGCTGATGGCACACTCAAGACAAAGGCGAAACCTCTTTTGAGGCGCCTCAAAAATCGGCTGATGGCACACTCAAGACAAAGGCGAAACCTCCAGGCACCCATCACATCATGCGTCATGCAAATCACCACCATCCCGCATCTGACCATCAACACCATGTGCCATGCCTTGCACTCACATCACCATCCAGCAGCTCATCGTATCACACCAATCAGGTGAGGCCGGGCTGCAAGCACCAATCAGGTGAGGCCGGGCTGCAAGCACCAATCAGGTGAGGCCGGGCTGCAAGCACCAATCAGGTGAGGCCGGGCTGCAAGCACCAATCAGGTGAGGCCGGGCTGCAAGCACCAATCAGGTGAGGCCGGGCTGCAAGCACCAATCAGGTGAGGCCGGGCTGCAAGCACCAATCACCATGCACACACAGTCATCTCACCATCATCGTCCAGCAGCTCGTCGTATCGCACCAACGCACGGTTGAAGCGTTAAGGCCTCATTCACACATACGCATGAAACTCAGCATTTCCCCATGCCCTCATCTCACCACCACTCACCATCATCATTCAGCAGCTCGTCATATCGCACCAACGCGCGGTTGCCCACTATCTGCAGCACCATGCCCGTGAAGCCAGGCTCCAAACACCAATCAGCATGCACCAATGAGCATGCACATGCACTCACTCACCATGAGCCCCATGCCCCCGTCTCAACAGCAACACCTTTAAGCACATCATCTCACCATCATCATCCAGCAGTTCATCGTATCGCACCAAAGCCCTGTTCCCCACTATCTGCAGCACCGTGCCCGTGAACCAGCTGCCCCTCAGGCCCTCCTCGTTGGACGCCACCTGCGGCACAGACAGACATACACGTCACCAAAAAGCATTGAGCATTGAGAAGCAGCACGCACAATGTGCATTGAGCATTGAGAAGCAGCACGCACAATGTGCATTGAGCATTGAGAAGCAGCACGCACTGATGCGTGCATTCGCGGTTGCCCACTATGTGCAGCACCGTGCCCGTGAACCAGCGACCTCTCAGCCCTTCCTCCTTTACATACCTCCACAAACGACCCCACGGTGAACTTGTGTCGCGCAGTCTGTTGAATCGACTACAAGGTCAAGAAAACAGAGGCCAGCCATTCTCCCCTACATACCAAACGTATCTCAAAATGTGAGATCATGCCCCCTACATACCTCCACAAACGCTTTTGAGTCGACTCAAAAGCATCATGCCCCCTACATACCTCCACAAACGACCCCACGGTGAACTTGTGTCGCAGTGTCTGCCCCGCCTCTTCCTCCGCCTCCTCCTCCACCTCCTCCTCTTCCCCATACTCTCCCCCGCCCTCCGTCTCCCCCCGTGACCTCTTCCCCATCCGCCACTCCCCCCCTTCCTCCCCCTCATCCTCCCCCTCGTCCCAGACTGACTTCCGCCCACGCCCCCTCCCCCTCCCCCTGCCCCTCCCCCCCTCCCCCTCCCCTGCCCCTTCCGCTCCCCTCCCCCAGGCGTCCCCCCCCCTGAAACCCCCCCACCCCTCCCCCTACTCCCCCCCCTCCCCCCCCAACCCCTCCCCCCCCTCCCCCCCCCCCTCCCCCTCCCCCAAACCCCTCCTCCTCTGCCCACGTGGCAGCTCCTGATTCGTCCATAGGCGTCGCCCCCTGCACCCCTTCCAACCCCTCCACTTCCTCCTCGTCCTCCTCCTCCCACGCCCCATCCCCCATCTTCCCCAGCTCCCTAGCCGTCCTCCTAACCCTCCTAGGCTTAACCTGCAGCGCAAGTACGTACTTCACCCCCCCTTTCTCCCCCTTTTTCCCTCCGCTCCCCCTTCCTCCCCCACCCCCCTCCCTCCACTCCCTCCCCTCCTCCTCCATCATTATCAACCCCACCTTACTCCTATAATACTTAACTAAGTCCCACGCTGACTTGGCAGCAGCGGCTGACGCGCGGGCCACAGCAGCAGCAGCCAATGCCTGCGCGGCCAGCTTCCCTGCTGAGCTGTCAGCCTCCACGTGGCAGTTGTCCACCTCATAAAGCTCCTGCCACATGGCGTCGAGATCACGATCGAGTGCCAGCATGGCCTTGCCTGCACTGACAGCCGAGTCCTTCGCCATTAGCAGGGCTCGGTCTGCTGCCTCGCACCAGCCGTCTAGAAGAGGGCCGGTGGGTTTGGTGGGGGTAGGGGCAGCGGGGGTAGCAGCGGCTGTAGCAGCAGGGGAGGCAGTTGTGGCAGCAACAGCAGCAGCAAGAGCATCTGTAATGGCAGCTCCATCAGCGACGATAGTGTCATGAGAGGTTGTAGCAGCTGCATCAGTTGCAGCAACAATAGCAGCAGCATTGGTGGTTGCACCAACAGCATCGGATGTAGCAGCCGCATCAGTTGCAGCAGCCGCATCGGCTGTGGCAGCAGCATCGGTTGCTGCAGCAGCGTCAGCTACCGCAGCATCTGTTGTAGCAGCATCAGCAGGTGCAGCTTCTGTTTCAGCAACGGCGGTTTGTAGCAGCATCGGTTATAACAGCAACTGTTGTAGTGGCATCAGTGGGCGCAGCATTGGTAGTAACAACATCAGCTGTAGCAGCAGCATCACCTGGAGCAGCATCAGCTGCAGCTTCAGTTGCAGTAGCATCAGTGGTGGCAGCATCAGCTGTAGCAGCATCGGCTGTAGCAGCGTCAGCTGTAGCACCATCAGTTGTAGCAGCAGCAGCAGCCTCGTCAGCAATAGCACCATCAGGCGCTGTAGCAGCAGCAGCAGCTTCATCAGCAGCAACAGCATCAGAGACACCAACAGCAACGACAGCAGCAGGGGCCTCATTACCAGCAATAGCATCAGGCACATCTGCAGTAGTGGTGGCAGCAGCAGCAGGAGCATCAACACTGCTGCCCTCTGCTTGCTCCTGCTTCTCCTTGGCAACTTCTGCTTCCTCTGCAGGCAACTTCTCTGCTAATTCCTCTGCAGGCAACTTCTCTGCTGCTTCCTCTGCAGGCAACTTCTCTGCTGCTTCCTCTGCAGGCAACTTCTCTGCTAATTCCTCTGCAGGCAACTTCTCTGCTGCTTCCTCTGCAGGCAACTTCTCTGCTGCTTCCTCTGCAGGCAACTTCTCTGCTGCTTCCTCTGCAGGCAACTTCTCTGCTGCTTCTTCTGCAGGCAACTTCTCTGCTGCCTCTTCTACAGTCGCCTTCTCTGCTGCTTCCTCTGCAATCGCCTTCTCTTCAGTTTCCATAGCGTCAGCTCTCTTCTCATCACCTCCTTTTCCTGCATCAGGTGTAGCAGCCTCGGCTGTAGCAGCATCAACTGTAGCAGCTTCCACTGCTGCAGCAGCGGCAGCAGCATCGGCTGCAGCAGCAGCGTCTTTTGCATCTGTTTCCATAGCGTCAGCTCCCTTCTCATCACTCCCCTTAGCTGCTTCAGCTGTATCAGCTATAGCACCATCGGTTGTAGCAGCAACAGCAGCAACAGCAGCATCGGTTGTAGCAGGGCCGTCTTTTGCATCTGTTTCCATAGCGTCAGCTCCCTTCTCATCACTCCCCTCAGTTGCTTCCGCTGCCTCAGCTGTAGCACCATCGGTTGTGGCAGCAGTAGCGGCATCGGTTGTTGCAGCAGCAGCAGCAGCATCCGTTGTAGCAGCAGCATCCTTTATATCTGTTTCCATAGTGTCTGCTCCCTTTTCATCTGTTCCTTTGGCTGCTTCCGCTGCCTCAACTGCAGCAGCATCAGCTTTGGCAGCATAGGTTGTAGCAGCATCAGCTGTGGCAGCATCAGTTGTAGCAGCATCAGCTGTAGCAGCATCAGCTGTAGCAGCAGCGCCCTCCTTTGTATCTGTTTCCATAGCAGCTGCTGCTTTCTCTTCCTGACCTCCATCAGCTGCTTCTGCAGCTGCAGCATCACCTGTAGCAGCAACAGTTATAGCGGCATCAGCTGCAGCAGCATCCGCTTTAACAGCATTGGGTGTAGCAGCAGCAGCGTCAGCGGTAGCAGCAGCACCACCATCGGCTGTAGCAGCATCCACCGAAGCAGCAGCGCCCTCCTTTGTATCCATTTCCATTGTATCAACCTCCTTTCCAGCAGCAGCAGCACCAACAGCAGCAGCAGCAGCAGCAGCAGCAGCAGCAGCAGCAGCAGCAGCAGCAGCAGCAGCAGCAGCAGCACCATCAGCAGCATTATCAGCCAAAGCATCAGGCACAACAGCAGAACCAGCACCACCAACACCAGCTTCAGCAACACCAACACCAACCACCTCATCCTTCCTCTCCTCCCCTCCCTTCCCCTCCTCCTTCCCCTTCCCACTGTCCCCACGCACCAACCCAAGAGCAGCAGCAGCATGCTTCCCAGCCACAGCAGCAGCAGCAGCCGCCCTACCAGCAGCTTCCTCTGCAATCCCCCTATCAGGGGCCAAACCCAACAAATACTCCCTTGCCTCTTCCTCCTCCTCTTTCCCCCACGCCGCCCTCCCCAAAACCGCCCCCAATTTCTGCGCCTCTGCAGGGATTCTAGGCCCGACTCGGTATTTTCTATGGGGAATTTCCCCGTCGATTTCCCCTGGATTACCCTCTTCCCCCTCCATACCTTCAGAATCCCAAACTCCCCCTCTCCTCATCCCACTAGCAGCATAATACCCCTCCTCCCCTTCTTCCCCTGGATACTCCCCCCTGCCCCCATACCCATCCCCATGGCCAGCATAAGCGCCCCTTCTCCCCCTCCCCCTCCCCCGCCCCCTGCCCCTCCCCCTGCCTCGGCCCCGGCCTCTCCCTCTGCCTCGGCCGCCCGAGGCTTGGTAGCCAATCATGCGCTTGCGCTCCTCCCAAGCCTCCACCACCTCGAGCCAGCGCTCGTGTTCCGGTGTGCCCAGGTCTGGATAGGAGGCGTGGAAAGGGGTGGAAGGGAGTGGGAAGGTGTAAGATGGAGTGGGAAGGAGTGCTGTAAGCAAGGGACGTACTCTGTCCTGCACTTGCGCTCCCCTCAAGCCTCCACCACTTCGAGCCAGCACTCATGCTCCAGTGTGCCAAGGTCTGGATAGGAGTGGGGAGGGATTGAGAGGGAGTGGGAAGGAGCGGGAAGGAGTGGGAAGTAGTGTTGTAAGTAAAGGACGTGCTCTGGCATGCGCTTGCGCTCCTCCCAAGCCTCCACCACCTCGAGCCAGCGCTCGTGCTCCGGTGTGCCCAGGTCTGGATAGGTAGGAGGTTTGGGAAGGAAGGAAGGAGAGAAAGAGGAATGAGGGACGAATAGGAAGAAAATGGGATTTGATAGTAGATTATGACAGTGAAACACAATTTCCGTTTCAAGGCAGTCAGACCAATCGCAAGTCGCAACCTGTGGAAACGACATCTGAGAAGCGACAAGGGCCGTAGCATTATCTAGGGAGGGCGCTACCTGAGGACTTGGAGGCCTTACCTGGCATGGAGGGAGGAAGGCACTGCCAGGGGAAGTTCCTGAGCCGTGGAGGCGTCATATGAGGAAGATCCTACCTGAGGGATGCAGGCATCACCTGGGGAAGGCGGTACCTGAAGCCATGCAGGCACTACCTGGGAAAGGCCCAGACGCCACGGAGGCATTATCTGGGGAAGGCGGTACCTGAGGGCATGGAGGCAAAGACGAGATTCCGGAGCTCCTCCTCCAAAGGCTCCTTGCGACTGGCAGGGAAAGAGGCGAAGAGGGAAGAAGAGAAGGGGTTGTAGGGTGTTGGGGGGGGGGGGGGGGGGGGGGGGGGGGGGGGAGAGGGGGGAGGGTACAGACATGGTCATAGAAGCACTTATAAATAGGAGGCAATCCTGTGTGGAATCATGTGTGTGGTACAGAAGAAGAGTGAACAGGATTGCGCAGGCATGTGAGAACCATCGGATATATGTTGCTGATTCAGGAAACACACTGTAAAATCACACCAGACACAGTCACACGACTCACAAGATTCGCCCATAGAAGAGAATGTGTGCGACGATCTGATCCAGCAGCATGGGCAGCATCATCAGGTTGCCCACTGCTGACAGCCAACCTACCCTCTCACTACCAGCACCATGATACACCGCGCACAATCACACACCATACAATCACACCTATATAGTCACACGACTCACGAGATGCGTCCATTGAAGAGGATGTGTGCGTCGATCTGATCCAGCAACATGGGCAGCATCATCAGGTTCCCCACTGCCGGCCCAGGTGGTTATCAAGGACACCCCATACAGTCACAACTTCTACAGTCACTAGACTCACAATATGCGTCCGTAGAACAAAATGTGTGCCTCGATCTGATCCAGCAGCATGGGTAGCATCATCAGGTTCCCCACGGCCGGCCCGGGCGGCGGCTGTGGCAGCTGCTGCTGCATCAGAATCAGATCTGCCGCCTCCACACTTGATAGAATCCGATCCGTTGCCTCTGTGCCAGCCAGAACCATCTCTTTCCCACCTGCTCCTGCCCCTTCTGCTGCCCCCACCCCATCTCCTCCTCCTCCTCCTGCTGCCGCTGCTGCTGCCTCCCCTGCTGCAGGTTCCCCTCCTACTGCTTCTCCTACTGCAATACCTCCTGCTGTGGTTTCCCCTTCCGCATGCCCTTCCGCTGCCATCCCCCCTTCCTCGTAAGGCTGTGCCGCGTGTCCCTCTATCTGCCCCTCCACGTGTCCCTCCATCTGCCCCTCCACGTGTCCCTCCATCTGCCCCTCCACGTGTCCCTCCATCTGCCCCTCGGCATACCCTCCTGCCTCCCCACCGACCGCATACGCATGCGACCCCTCTTGCCCATACCCCTCATGTGCCTGCTCGCCCGTGTACCCAACCTGAGGCTCCCCCTGCTCCCCCTGAGCGACCTCCTGAGCGTACCCCTCATTACCCATCCCCATCCCTTGAGTGTACCCTTCTTGCGCCCCTGCTTCTGCTGCATACCCTTCATGGGTCACCGCGTCAGTGTACCCCTCCCCGCCCCCAGCCATATGTGCTGCTTCCGCTTCCCCCTGCATTTGCACCCCTTCCATTCCCTCCCCACCATCCCCTACCACACCACCTTCTGCTGCTGCTGCTGCTTCTGCTGCTGCGGTGTTTGCGGCAGCAACAGCAGCAGCGTAGGCATCAGCATCAGGTTTAGCCGCCACTGCCTCAGCTTCACCAGCAGCATCACCAGCAGCAGCAGCATCAGGTGCGTATACCACCTCTCCTCCCTCCCCCACCACCGCCCCTTGCTGCTGCGCGTGCATTTCCACGTCTCCTCCCGCACCTTGCCCCGCATACACCTCCCCCTGCTGCTCCTGCCCCGCATACACCTCCCCCTGCTGCTCCTGCCCCGCATACACCTCCCCCTCCTGCTGCTGCCCCGCATAAGCCTCCCCCTCCTGCTGCTGCTGCCCCGCATAAGCCTCCCCCTCCTGCTGCTGCCCCGCATAAGCCTCCCCCACATACCCCTGTGCCCCGTAGTCCCCGCCCCCATGCTCCTGCGCTGCATACTCTTCCCCCCTATGCTCCCCCCCCCCATGCGCCTCCCCACCAAGATCTCCCCCCGCCTGCGCCTCCCCTTCATGCGGTTGCGCCCCGTGCTCCCCTCCTGCACTGCCCACTCCGCCAACCTGCTGCTCGTATTGCGCCTCTCCCCCCACTCCCCCCTGCGCAACCGCTCCCCCCTCCGCCATCTCCCCTTCCCGATGCGCTACTTCCCCCCCTTCCATCTGTGGCTCTCCCCCCAATAACTGCGCGCCTTCCAACGCTTCCCCATCAGGTTTCACATCCATACCCATCCGAAGCCGAAGTGCTTCATCCTCCTCCTGCTCATCTATATGCTCTCCCATATGCTCTGCCACATACTCTCCCAACCCTTGCTCTCCCTCCCCCATAACCTCCCCCTCTCCCCCCACCATCTGCCCCCCTTCCAGGCCTCCCTGGTCCACCTTCACATCCATGCCCATACCCGTTATGGGCTGCTCTTGTTCCTGCTGCCCCTCTACTGGCGGAGCCGCTTCCCCCTCTCCCTGTGTGTCCCCCACTGGCGGAACAGACTCCTCCTGGTTACCACCCTGCTGTTGACTCTCCTCTGCGGGAGCAGATTCCTCTGCAGCAACAGGTTCCTCTGCACCAGTTCCAGTTCCCTCTAGCGTGCCTGCTGCTGCCACCTCAGCTGGTGCCGTTTCCTCTGCAGGAGCAGATTCCTCTGCAGGTGTTTCTGCGGCAGCGGGAGGAGCCTCGGGGATAGCATCGGCAGGAACCTCCCCAGCAACACCAGTGATTGCAGGAACAGGCTCAGCCGCAGTAGGCTCGGCAGTAGGTTCTGGAACCGCCATCGATGAGAGGGGAAGGCAAACGACGGTGGGGGTTGGCGAGGAAAAAGAAAAAGCAAGTTAAGCAAAAAAAAAAAAAAGTTAAGTAAAAAAACCAGAGGTTTAAACTGAATGCACGGACAGCCCAAAGGAAATCCGCAGAAAGGAACAAAAAAAATAAAATAATCCACAAAGAAATTCGCAGGTGCGAATAGAAATAAAGGTGTGATGGTACAAGCGGGATCTAATAAAAACTCGCGTTAGACAAAAGCATCTTCGAAAAAAAAAGGCCTTTGAAGAACGGGGCTGGCAAATGACAAGGCAGGTGCGGTGAAATAGAATGATGGACGCCCATGGTTGGGAAATAAAGGGCTATATTGATAAAAAGGAAAAAGGAAAACAAGAACAAAGGTCGACGTTTGGACGTACCAGACTCTCCCAGCATGTCGTCCAGAAGATTCTCAGCATCTTCCGTGATCACCGTCGTCGGCGCTGCCGCCGCTCCTTCCGCTTCCCGTCCGTCGCCTTCTAGCTCCGACGCCGCCGCCGCTGCCGCGCTCTCGTGCGCCGAGTAACCCCCATCAGCCGCCGCACCCGGCGCCGCATCGGGCGCCGCGAAGCCCGCATCCGTCGCCTCAAAGTGTTCCGCGGTGCTCGATCCTGGCTCCGCCGCGGAAGCGTTTCTATCCTCGTTAAAAGGTGCCTCGACACCCTGCACAGCTTCCTCCATCTCCACGCCCTCCATTGGCGCTGCCTCGAAGGCGTGACTGCCGGGTATTTCCTCCATACGGAGTAGACTTGTAGACGTGATACAGTAACGCGAATGTAACGGCTGGAAAAGAGGAGGCGATTGGGCGATATGAACGTCGAAAAGCAGAGGGTGTAACGACTCGGTAAGAAAAGAACACTTGAAAAAAGGAGGAGAATAAATCGGAAAGTGAGACGCTGTCGATAGTGTAAACAAGGGAGCGACGACACAGACGTGAATCAACGCGAGGGAGCAACGACTAAGGTCGAGGCAGCTGCGCGAAGAGATAGAAAAGTCGTCAAGAAGGAAAAAAAAAATTGGCGGGACAACTAAGGTCGAGACATACGAAGCACCTCTAGCGACATCTCAAAACTCATCACGACAGGAATACTCTAATGCTGTCGGAGCGGGAAGCAGAAGCGCAATGGAGAGCGATGACGGACAACTTTGAGCAGTAGAAGAAACGAACTAGTTTAGACACGCGAGACAGCCGCAAACTCCACTTTTCCCACAACTCGACAGCGCTTAGAGAATAACATTGACTTTCCGTAACTCTAACTCATGATGCTAGCTGGGACTTTCTCTCGTAACTCGCGAATTACTAGTCGAGCGAAAAAGCAGTGGTGCTTTCTCAACAACTGGCGATGAACATCTACTGGCGAGGGTCGATTTCAAATGTGCGCTACGACTGCCACACTTCCGAACTCGCGACCTGGCCTAACCGCGGAAAGAAAGAAATAGGAAAGCAGATATAGATGGCGAGCATAATAAAATTGAGTTCAGCAGTTTGTAACTTCAAACTCTTGAAAGCTCCGAAAACCTGGAAAACCTGAGAACCTGGGAACCTAGCGGGAAACGGAAAGGGCTCGTGAGAAGATATATGTGACGATATAACTGCGGGAAACCAACCACTATCACCTAAATTTGCGACAGTATCGAGGGTGAGGGGTGGAGGATCTGTTGGCGGGAACTGTTTCGGTGAAACCCTAACAGCATAAAGAGGGAAAAGCGATCGCTGTAAGGGAAAGGATAAGGATTTGAAGAAACAGATCAGGATTGGCAACGGTGCGATGCGGTTTAAAAGCTACATTTACAAGACCAGACTGTTGCTCCGATAACAACAGCCGCGGTGTACAGTGTCATACAATAATCTTACAAAGCACTTCAGCGCCTGGATCTTGTAGATCTCAAATCAGATCTGCTGCTAAATTGTTTCCATTGGTTCAGAAAGCAAATTGTTTGCCAGGGCAGTACAAATCGTGCTTCACTTCCAATATCAAAGGAAATAACAAAACGAGTCTACAACCGAGCCCTCAGATTCGTCTGCACATGCCAAGGCAAAATTACATACGGTACAAACAAACGTGTGTTCAAATACCATTTCCATCATACACATACATATTGTAGTCTTCCTTCTGCGTATAACTTGCAAAATTATTTGTACCGGACTGCTGCTGCTGATACGGCTTGATATCAAGCCCTTCCAACTTGATGCCACCACCACCAGCACCTGCTGATGCCCCAGCACCCATCCCACCAGCAGCACCAGCCCCAGGCCTCATCCCACCCATCCCACCCCGACCATGCCCCATCGAATCATAAGCCCCCATGACCCCACCCATGCCCCCACCCATGCCTCCACCCATGCCCCCACCCATGCCTCCACGCATGCCCCCACCCATGCCCATGCCCCCCATCCCCCCCATTCCTCCCATACCCCCCATGCTCCCCATTCCCCCCATTCCTCCCATTCCCCCCATGCCCCCCATTCCCCCCATGCCCCTCATGGCCCCCATGCCTTCCGCCATCTCCCCACTCATGCTCCCTCCTCCCCCACTGTAAGCCGAACCCGGTGTGCCAGGTACATGCATGTTCCCACCCCCTGCCTGAAGCTCACGCGCTGTCAGCACGTACGCCACGTCAGCAGCAGCGCCTGACGCCACAGATAGCTCCAAAAAGACCTTGCCGCCCACTATCTGCCGCCCGACGGCTGACACCGGGTGGTCGTCCCCTATGAATGTGTCAAGGCCTGATGGGGGAAGGAAGGGTGTAAGGAGGCATTGACTTGGGTTGACTTGAGTTGACTTAAAGCACAGCTGACACCGGGTGGTCGTCTCCTATGAATGTGTCGAGGCCTGGTGGGGGGAGGGGAAGGGTGTGCATTCACTCGAGTTAACTTGAGTTGACTTGCGTTGACTTGGGTTGACTCGAGTTGACTTGAGTTGACTCAGTAGGTGGCGTGTGACACTGGGTGGTCGTCTCCTATGAGCGTGTCAAGGCCTGATGGGGGAGGGGAAGGGAATGCATTGACTCGAGGTAACTTGACTTGAGTTGACTCGAGTTGACTTGAGTTGACTCAGTAGGCAGCGTGTGAGACTGGACGGTCATCTTCAATGCATGAATTGAGGCCTGATGGGGGGGGAGAAGAAGGGTGTCCATTGAAGCGAGAAGATCCATGACGTGAAGGGTGGCTGTCAGGGTGGACGCGTCCACGTCATCCCCGCTGCTCCTGCTGCCACCACTGCTGCCACCAACCATGTGTGGGCTCTCACCTATTTGTTTCCCTCTTACCGGTCTCTATAAAGTCTTCTGATCCGACTCGAGAAGGTCTGTGATGTGAAGGGTGTCGGGGAGGGTGGACACATCCACGTCGTCCCCGCTGCTGCCGCTGGCACCACTGCTGCCACTAACAGTGTGTAGGCTCTAACCTAGCTGCTTCCCTCTTACCGGTCTCTATAAAGTCTTCTGATCCATCAACCGACTCGAGAAGGTCTGTGATGTGAAGGGTGTCGGGGAGGGTGGACGCATCCACGTCGTCCCCGCTGCTGCCGCTGCCAGATTCGGTGAATCCAAACAGGTTCCGTGCCGCCCGGTTCATTGCCGTGATGGTGCCGCCGTCGTCCAGTGCTATGATGGCGTCTATGGTGCTCTGGGAGAGTGCAGGGGAACGGACAGAGCAGGGGAAAGGGAGAGGCATGTGAGAACACACGCATACAAGCAAGTATGAGAAGGGAGAGCGCGGTTCACTGCGGTGATGGTGCCGCCGTCATCGAGTGCTATGATGGCGCCTATGGTGCTATGGGTAGGTGGGAGGGGGCAGGGGAGAAGGGGAGAGAGGGAGAGGGGAAGGGCAGGGTATGTGAAGGGTGGGGTAAGGGAGAGTGAGGGAGGATGGGGGCGGTGGCAGCACAAGCAGCACAATTTGGCCAAGTCGACTCAAAAGTCGTACTTCAAGCACGGAGAAGACGATTCATTTCTCCTTCTCAGCCGCTTTCTTCCTGGCTCTGAGTGTTCTCCTCCTTCGCTTGAGCAGCAAACCCTTGCCTTCAAACCCATTCGACCATCAAGGCCACCCTTACCTTGAGCATGGACACCATGCGTTTCTCCTTCTCGGCAGCCTTCTTCCTGCCCTGAATGCCCGCCACGATCTGAGCCACCGTTTTAGTCACATGCTGTAGCTCCCCCAGCATGCCCTCCTCGTAACCCCCCTTCCTGTTCGCCACTGCCCAGGCCCCTATCAGCTCCGAGCCTACAAGTCACATTGCAGAGGGTTGGTGGGAAGGTACAGCAAGAAAAACGGAGAGCGTGAGTATGGGAGGGATAAAAGGCAGCTGAGTCACACACCGGCTGCATGGCTCTAGCCTCTACCTGCCAGCTTGGGTTACTCCTCCCTCGTAGCCTTCCTTCCTGTTTGCCACCGCCCACGCTCCTACGAGCTCCGACCGTAGCAGCAACATGGCAGGGGGTTGGCAGGGCGCGGGATGGATGGGGAACGGGCGGGAATAGAGGCTGGTCGGTCATGTGAACGGTGCTGCAGGGTGTTTTTGAGAATTCTCAAAAACAGAGCTGACTTTTGAGTCGACTCAAAAGAATTCTCCAAAACACCCTAGAGGCTGTTTGATCATGTAAACGGTGCTGGTATGGCGAGAGGTGAGAGGAAATCAAGGTGAGGCGAGAGGGAAAGGAAAAAGAGGCTTGGGCATGTGCATCCTCAAGTGTACCATGGACATACCATGGACGAGAGGCACTCCCAGGAAGGAAGGTGTGGACAGGGGGATGGTCCGGGGGGAGGCAGGCCGGCAGAGCGAGGGTCTCAAGAATGTGTGCGCGTGCACTTACCATGTATGGGCATGTGCATATACACATGTATGGGCATGTGCATATACACATGTATGGGCATGTGCATATACACATGTATGGGCATGTGCATGTACACATGTATGGGCATGTGCATGTACACATGTATGGGCATGTGCAAATACACATGTATGGGCATGTGCATGTACACATGTATGGGCATGTGCATGTACACATGTATGGGCATGTGCAAATACACATGTATGGGCATGTGCATGTACACATGTATGGGCATGTGCATATACACATGTATGGGCATGTGCATATACACATGTATGGGTAAGTGCATATACACATGTATGGGCATGTGCATATACACATGTATGGGCATGTGCATGTACACATGTATGGGCATGTGCATATACACATGTATGGGCATGTGCATATACACATGTATGGGCATGTGCATATACACATGTATGGGCATGTGCATATACACATGTATGGGCATGTGCATATACACATGTATGGGCATGTGCATATACACATGTATGGGCATGTGCATGTACACATGTATGGGCGCGTGCATATACACATGTATGGGCGTGTGCATATACACATGTATGGGCGTGTGCATATACACATGTATGGGCATGTGTGCATGTGGACATACCATGGACGAGAGGCACTCCCAGGAAGGTGTTGACGGGGGGATGGTCCGGGGGGAGGCAGAGCGAGGGGTCTCAAGAATGTGTGTGCGCGCACTTACCATGTATGGGCATGTGCATGTACACATGTATGGGCATGTGTGCATGTGGACGTACCATGGAAGAGAGGCACGCCCAGGAAGGTGAGGATGGGGGGGTGGCCAGGGGGCAGGCCCGAGGAGCGAGGGTCGTCAGGGGCGTTGTTGCTGAGAACCACGTCGCTGGTCTTCACAATCTGATGGGTGGGGTTGGAGGATTGGGGAAGGAGTGGGTGAACAAACAGAAGGCCACCAAGTGTTGGGTGGGATGGGGCAGGGCAGCAGAGTGAGGGTCATCCGGGGCGTTGTTGCTCAGAACCACGTCGCTGGTCTTCACAATCTGATGGGTAAGATTGTGAATCTGCATGCGCGCGTGTATAGGGGATAGGGTGGGTAGAGGAGGGAAAATGACAGGTTGGGCCGGCTGGAGGAGCGAGGGTCGTCAGGGGCGTTGTTGCCTTGAACCACGTCGCTGGTCTTCACAATCTGATGGGTGGGGGTGGGGGTGGGAGTGGGAGTGGGAGTGGGAGTGGGAGTGGGAGTGGGAGTGGGAGTGGGAGTGGGAGTGGGAGTGGGAGTGGGAGTGGGAGTGGGAGTGGGAGTGGGAGTGGGAGTGGGAGTGGAGGGAAGACCAGGGGTGGGGTGGGAGTGGAGGGAAGACCAGGGGTGGGGTGGGAGTGGGGGGAAGACCATGGGTGTTGAGGTTGCTGAAGACGAGCCTCTTGGCGGCTCAACACTCAAAAAGGGAGGGAGGGGATACAGAGGGCCAGGAGGGCGACAAAGGAGGGAAAGGGAGGGGGAGGAGGGGCACTGACGCGGCCGAATAGGGTGTTGAGGTTGCTGAAGACGAGCCTCTTGGAGCTCAACACTCAAAAAGGGAGGGGATACAGAGGGCCAGGAGGGCGACAAAGGAGGGAAAGGGAGGGGGAGGAGGGGCACTGACGTGGCCGAATAGGGTGTTGAGGTTGCTGAAGACGAGACCCTTGGCGGCGAGGCAAGAAGAGAGAGGGGATGGGGAGCCAAGAGGGCGGGGAGGGTGGAGAAGGGGGGGCGAGGAGAGGGAAAGAGGACGAAGCGAGGCACTGACATGGCCGAAGAGCGTGTTGAGGTTGCTGAAGACGAGTCCCTTGGCGGCATTCTCTGTGTACCACAGGCGCAGCTCCCTGGTCCAGGCGAAGTTGGTGATGGAGTGGGTCTGGGAGGGGAGGGAGAGGGGGGGAAGAAGGGGGGGTTGGGGGGGGGGGGGGGAAGGAAGCAGAGGCAAGCAAGAGGGATATTCAGGAAACATGGAAGGAGAGAGCGGATTCAAGGGATGTGGCATGTAAGGGATTTGTCGCGGCCGGCAATGCACGGAGAGAGAGAGAGTGGGGAAGGGGAAGGTGGGGTTGGGGGGGTTGGGTGACACAGGGGTGGGGTTGGGGCGGTTGGGTGACACTGGCAAGTGGGGACTGCTGCTATAAACAGGAGAGTTCGTTTATAACGAGTACAAAGTGCGCTCTCGCTCACCTTTAAGGAAACAGCCCTGCCGGGCTTCCTGACAGCGCTGCAGATGAATCCAGCAGGCGAGTGGGACTGCTATCACACCACAACCCATTCACGCTTATAACGAGTACAAAGTGTGCGTTTTCTCACCTTCAGAGAAACAGCCCCATCAGGCTTCCTGACAGCGCTGCAGATGAAGCCAGCAGGCGACTGCGTGAGCTCCAGCAGCTGGGAGAGCATAAAATCCGCCACCTTGCTGCCGTTGGGGGTCTGGTGGGGAGGATTAGGGGATGAAGACAAGGGATGCGATGCGGGAAGCAGGGTAATGGGGATGGGGGAAAGGGGAAGGGGGAAGGGCAGGGGAAGGAAGACTGTGTGAGCTCCAGCAGCTGGGAGAGGAGAAAATCCGCCACCTTGCTGCCGTTGGGGGTCTGGTGGGGAGGGGGGAGAGGAGAAGACCAGGGAGAAGCAAAAGGGGAAGAGACGTAGGGTGTGGGATGTAATGCAGGGAACCCCTTGCACTGTCTTATTATTCTCATACGCACCGTGACCGAGGCGTTGAGCTAGTTTTGAGACGTCTCAGAACGAGCAGGGGGGAGAAGGAGGGGACGAGACGTAGGGTGTGGGATGTAATGCAGGGAGGGAGAACCCCTTGCACTGTCCTATTATTCTCATACGCACCGTGTCCTTGGCGGCGTATAGCTCGTGCGCCTTGGTGATCAACGATAGCATGCGCCGATTCAAAAGGTCAGCTGCACTCACGTTGTTGAGGTGAATTTTGAGTCTTACAACTCAAGAGTCAACTCGTACATACCGTGTCCTTGGCGTATAGCTCGTGCGCCTTGGTAATCATCGACAGCATCCGCCGATTCAGAAGGTCAGCTGCGCTCACGTTGCTCCCCCCTCCCGCTCCCGCTCCCACGCTGTGAGTCGTCCCCGTTATAAGCGAATCCGTGTTACTGCTCGCGCCCGAGTGCGTCCGAACCAGCCCCGCCACCCGCGGCCCTCCCTCCCCCGCGTCTCCCCCCGCTCCCCCTCCCCCAAACTTTCCGCCTAGGTACGGACACGCTGACGGCCCCACGTCCGTCATTGCGCCGTGCATGTCCGGGAAGGAGGCTCGGAGGTGAGGTCCGGGGGAGGCTCGGGGATTAGGTCTGGGCGACGTGCCGGCTGAAGAGAGAGTGTCGGTGTGATTGTGATTGCCACCGGCTTTTAGCTGAGAGACGAGGCGCAAGGCGGAGGCGAGGGGGGAATTCGCGGAGGAGTCTCCGCACTTGTGACACCTGAGGATGGCGGAAGGCAAGGGCGCGGAAGGGAAGGCAAAGACGAATCGGAGGGGGATGACTGAGATCGAGGCTGAACAGCAAGGCTAAATGCCGTTTTACTTAGGCTTACTCTGTCCATGTCTATACTTGCGCTCAGGAATTTTTTGAAGTGAGTATTCGTACCCTTTAGAAGCCGTCTCTAAGGCGCTGATAATGTCCTGCCAGTCGGCTTTGCTCCATTTCGATGTGACTTTATCGGGGGATTCCACGAGATGATCGTGCGCGCCGTGGTCGCGGGATTGACCCGCGGGATCCCGCTTCCCGTCCAGCGAACTCGACGTTGGTAACCGCATTTTCGCGAAAGCGTCGGTGGGTGGAGTCGAACCAGCGGGAGCCGCGCTGCTGTCGTAGCTGCGACGTGTGAACGATCGCGAGCGACGAGGCTCGCTGTTGTTGTCGAGATCTTGCGACGACGATTGCGATTGCGGATTGCGAGACTTGCGGGAAGAAGGGGTGGGGGGACCTTCCTGCTTCCCTCCTTGAACAAACATTTTGTTGAACCGGCGAGCTAACGCCATGGTTGCGAATACTCAGGAACAGCCAGTTGAAGCTCAACGAAAAGAAGCAGAGAATCGTGCTGCGATCGAATTCGACACTACCAGGTTTGGGAAGAAGCTAAACCTCGCAAGAAAACTGCTGGTTTTGTAACACGACCTCGAGCTAAACTGGCAACGCGGATACACTTGCAATGTCTTAAAATACTACCTGAACGCTCGACGCTCCCGAAAAAAGCACCCGAAGGGTGTGAAAAGGGAAATAGAAGGCTGATTCGTTGAGTGGAGCCCTAGGCGACGCCATTCGCACCTCCCACTGAACCACCGAGCGCAACTGGTGCTAGCAACGAGACGGGAAGTCGTGAAGCCAAGAATGAAGATAAACCTGTTTAGCAACCTCGTAAGCCATTTCAAACGAGCTGTGGTAAAAGGGCGGGTTGGGGGTGTGTTGGGGTGGGAGCAAGCTGCTTGCAGGACTGACGCTGGGACTTCAGGTGTGCAGTAAGGAACTGCAGTATGATGTGAAAGGAAGTTGGAGCTTTCTGAGCCCAAAAGACTTCAGGTACATACACAAAACTCGGTTGTGTGTGGTTCCTTGAGTGTACTGAGCGGTACACTGCGTTGAGCACTGTGCTGTAAACGGTCATGACCGTGTGGTGCATTGCACTGTACGCTGCAGCTGGCTCAAGCGAGCGGCGGCAAACCCAAGGTGATTGCTTCCACCACTGTTCGTCCTCTCATCTCCTCCTCCATCCACTCCACACTTCCACCATCGTATCGTCCCCCTCCCCCCCACACCGCACCCCTTCGCCTTTTCTGCCGATGGCTACAAAAATCAAATCCCAAGATGCCCAAGAGAGAGCGATGCCATCGATGTTGGCTGCGTTCTGCGGGCGCATCAGCCCGAATCAATGTACATTGATGCTTTCGACCATGGTTCTACGACCCTTCTGTGATAACCTGCCGACATGTTATCAAGGTTCGCGATAAGCGCATGGCCACCGAAGCACAATTCTGCCGAATGCCTGCAGAACGGCCTTCTTGGCTTCCGAAATTTGTAATGTCACTGTGTTCCAGGAAGCTTCTTCTCCTAAGCAACTTGTGATGTCACTGATGCGCGCATGATGCAACTTCGAAAACGAGCATCATGCGCGCATCAGCTGATGCGCTGCAACCTTATTGGCCAAACAGTTTGGCCAAGTCGAAATTTACCGAACAAGAAGCATCCGAGAAACCTATACATCTCAAATGTGCGAGTTGGTCAGGAAATTGATTTTCTAATTTCCTGACCAAAATTCAATTTCGTCAGATTGTCCGAACCTCAATTCGAAAATTCCGAACCTCAATTTCTAAATGTGCAATTCGCGAATTCCGAACCTCAATTTCTAAATGTGCGCATCAGGCCGAGCCTCAGACGCATCAGAGCTGATGCGCCCGCAGAACGCAGCCGTTGTGCACGACATGTGGCTGGCAGAAGCATCGAAAAGACGCGTGAAGGACACAGTCACGGAACAGGCCTGTCGCTTGCAGGGCGTTTGCCCTGCTGGACCTTGAATTCCAGGGCTGGTTTTTCCTTGGAAACTGAAATTGATGGGTTGGAAAGATCCTGGCCCTGATTCCTTACAGGGGTGATTTTAGGCTTAGACCTGGTGCGTAAAGGGCAGATTTTAGGCGAGCCCTGGAACAAAATATTTCGAACCCCCCCTCCCACCCCCCCCCCCCCCCCCCCACCCTTCCAACCTGGCAAATTTGGAGTTGGCGTGGCTGGGCCACAGATTCAACTCAACCTACAACGGGTACTTGCACCCATCACAACCTTGCTCCCATCCCATGACACACAGACAGTAGCATGAATCGGCATAGCAGCGGCAAAACACATCTCAGATCCCCGTCGTGCAGTGCACTAGCAGGCATGAAACGGCATAGCAGCAGCAAAACACCTCTCAGATCCCTGCTAAGAGTTGGAAGAGGGCAACTCTGCTAAGCGTGCGTAGTGAAATGACGCTAACTAGTTTTTTTTACTAGTGTCTGTTGTGTAATTGCAGAGTGCAGCTGTTAAGTTTGTGGTAGAAATGAGGCTGCAGAAATTTCCGCGCCAAACCTGATTACAGGGGGGATAATATTCCAGCCCTGAAGCCTAAAGGGCCGAGATTCGCCCCGACCCTGCTAAATACAGGATCGTACATGCCAGGCCCCCTGATTTGTCCGGGGGCCCCAAAACGAAACGACAGCCCTGTCACGGAACGAACACGTCGATGCGCCGCAAAATCTCCCCTCGCTACACGAGGTGATATCGATCTTTTAGGGTAGCTCGTTTGATCGCATAGGCTCAGACAACAGTTGTTTCATACTGCAAGGCTTTTATTGGTGTATTCCTTAGATACTACCTCTTACGGCCCGGTGCTTTTGATGCATTGACTGAAGTTTGAGCCTCAACCACTTTTCACCGTGAATAACAATGTTGTAAACGTATCTAACCGAGTAAAACCTTTCCGCAAGATCGAATCAGTGTAGAAGTTCGACTCTAATGCACCGCGCCCTTGGTCATTCATAAAGTACTTGGACTTCTAAACTGCTCTAATTATGACTTGTAGCAAATCTCCTTGTGTATCAGGTCGTGCCATAACTTTTGACTCGATACCAGAGAGTCGCTCTCAAAACTCTATGCCACTAGGTGGTTGGTCAAATCGGGTTTGTATCAAGATTCACATCTCGCGAGGAGTAATGCTGGCGTTGCAACCTAGCTTCGTATCAACAAAATCCTCACCATCAGAAAAATACTGTCGCCCGTCATCATCACTTGTCGAAAACGAATGCTCATCTCCCGCCAAATCTAACTCACCCTCACCACTAGCCCTTGCCACCTGAGTATCACCATCCTTCACATCAGCCTCACCCGTCAAGCTACCAGAAACAGCCTTTACACTCCCACTGCTCCCAATCTCACTGCTTGTACCCTCCTCCACCAGTTGCTCCCCCTGTGCCTCCAACGCGCCATCACCATTTGTATCATCACCGCCTTCATCCTTATTACCAACGTCCCCTTTCCCATCACCATCGGTGCTGATGAATGCCGTCACTGCATTGATTGCTTGAGCTCGTGTTATCAACCCATCACCTCCTCGTGCAGGTGTGGCATCACCATCATCACCATCATCACCATCACCATCACCATCACCATCATCACCATCACCATCACCATCACCATCACCATCATCACCATCACCACCACCATCACCACCATCACCATCAGCATCACCATCACCATTACCACCATTACTAGCAGCGTCCCCATCCTCATCTTCACCACTCACAACTCCCACCGCTGCATCTATTGCTTGAGCCCGTGTAATCAACCCGTCACTTCTTCCCAGTGCGGGTGTAGCAGCTGAGGCAGCGGCGGCAGAAGCATCAGGAGAGGCGGTCGCATCAGAAGGGGCAGGTTTCACCCTAGCAGCAGCAGCAGTGGCGGCAGTGGCAGCAGCGGTGGCAGCAGCACCAGCGGTGTCAGCATCACCACTGGCAGCAGCAACAACAGCGGTGGCAGCGGCAGCAGCGGCAGCAGCAGCAGCAGCAACAGCACCACCAGAACCAGTGGCACCACCGCTTACCTTATCACCAACCTTCTTCACCGCAGTCAACCCACCATCACCACTCTTTCTCCCTCCTCACTCTTCCCCTCAACCTTTTCCCCATCCTCCCCAACCCTCACCTTACCTCCACCCACCTCTCCCTTCTCATCCCCACTCAAATCACCTTCCCTGTCACTCTCCTTCCCTCCACCACCCTCCCCCTCCTTCCCCATCCCCCCCAAATCCTCCTTCGCCGCCCGCTTGCCGCCCAGATCCTCCTCCTTGGCTGGCCAGCTGCCGCCCAGATCCGATCTGTCTTTGAGCAACCGTTGCCCCCCCGTGCTGCGGGTGACAGCCTCCGTGTCAAGAGCTTCTCGCATGAGGCGCCGCAGAAACACGACATCATCTCGCATCACACCCATGTCTTGCAGCAGCATGGAGCCAAGACGGAGTCCAGCCTGGGAGGTTGCGGAGAGGGAAAGAGGGAATACACACACATGCGCGCTTGTATGCATTGAATCACGAGGCTGCGGGTGACAGCCTCTGTGTCAAGAGCTTCTCGCATGAGGCGCCGCAGAAACACGACATCATCTCACATCACACCCATGTCTTGCAGCAGCATGGAGCCGAGACGGAGTCCAGCCTGGGGAGGAAGAGGGAGAGGAAGAAAAAAAGGGACATGCATGCATGTGTGCTCGCATGGCTTTTCACACAAGATGACGGGTGACGGCCTCCATGTCGAGAGCCTCTCGCATGAGGCGCCGCAGGAACACCACATCTTCTCGCATCACCCCCATGTCTTGAAGTAGCATGGAACCGAGACGGATTTGGCCTGAGAGGCGAGAGGGAATTTCGAGTCGATTTCTCAGTCAAATCAAGAAGACTTTTTCTACTTGACCCAATAAATCACTAGATTCTGAAATGCACTGAGCTACTCTACTCCACCCACCCTTACCCATACAAACCCACCCTTACCCAAGTCCACCTAACCACAATCTCCTCCCCCCCCCTGTATCTTCCCTCTCCAGCACCACGTCCGTGGCACCAGCCTTTCTGAGCCGCACAGACCACACACCTCATGCCTCTCAGGCATGGAGTGGAGTAGCATGGAGCCCAGGCGAAGGCCAGCCTGAGAGACTCATGACGCCAGCATCACCTCTTCTTCGTGCTATCGCCTCACCGAAGCACTCTCCAGCACCACGTCCGTGGCACCCGCCTTTCTCGGCACCGGCCTTTCAGAGCCTCACACCACTCACCACACCACCCCTACCCACCCCTACCCACCCCTACCCCAAGCGCCTCACCTCTGCACTCTCCAGCACCACGTCCGTGGCACCAGCCTTTCTCAGCTCCGCCAGATGACTCGCGTCCACTGCTCGGGCGTAGATAGGCAGCTGGTCAGGGCCATGGCATGGAGCAAGGGAGAAGGAGAGTGGAGTGGAGTGGGTGGGCGGGGATAAGGCAGCGGGCATTGCATAGGGGAGTGTACTTTTGAGAATTCTCAAAAGGAGGAGAAAGGAGTGGAGTGGGAGGGGATAAGGCAGCGGGCAGGGCACTGCACAGGGACGCAGGAAAATAGCAGGCCTTTCTGAGCCGATTTTTTAGGCGCCTCAGAAATCCTTTCTGAGCTCCCATATTCCTTTCCGACAGATTTCGCAAAGTACCCCCTAGAATTTCCCCTCGAATCCCCCCCCCTAGACCTCTAGATCTTGGGACATAATTCCAGTGAGCAGCACTTGCGTAGGAGTAGGTTAAAGCAAGTAGGAAAAGACAGTGTGTAAAAACTAAAAGCTAGCTAATCACCGAGGGTTTGTGAAGCTGGAGCTCTTCTCGTTAACAACAACTAAAACAGGGCAAATATGTTTCGGCTGAAAGGGCATCCCCTAACGAGCCTTCATCAGTGCGACGAGAATGAGAATACCGCGTCGCAAAGTACCCCCTAGAATTTCCCCTCGAATCCCCCCCCCCCCTAGTCCTCTAGTTTCCCCCCTCCCCTCGTTCCTCCAAAGGTCAGCCAAAGCCCCCCAACGCCCCTCCCCTCTCACCCCCGGGAAGGCATCGTGTAGTCTTTCCACAGAAGACACCGACTGCTGCCGCCCCGAGTACACCACGATGGCCACTAGCGGACGAGGAATGCCGGCCGACTCGAGCACTGCCGGGCGGCACCCGTCACCGTAGAGGACCGGGAAGCCAAGACGCTTGCCCATCTGGAAGTGTGGGGTGTGGGGTTGGGGGGGGGGGGGGGGGGAGGAAGGGACATGGGGGAGGAGGGCATAGCCAGGGAAGAGTGGTGTGTCAAATTACAAGCGTGAATCGGACAATCCCCCACCAACTCTCTCACTCCTTTGCTCACCCCCTTACTCCCTCTTGCACTCACCCCCTCACTCCCTCTTGCACTCACCCCCTCACTCCCTCTTGCACTCACCCCCTCACTCCCTCTTGCACTCACCCCCTCACTCCCTCCTTCACTCACCCCCTCACTCCCTCCTTCACTCACCCCCTCACTCCCTCCTTCACTCACCCCTGCACTCCCTCGTGCACTCACTCTGACTCGATTGGGGTTAAGGTCGAAGCACACAAACGGCCACCCAGGGGCGTCTCCTCCAGACCCCCCTGAGAGATTTTTGAGTTGGACAGAAACCCTCCCCTCCCCTCTCTCACTCACTCTGACTCGATTGGGGTTAAGGTCGAAGCACACAAACGGCCACCCAGGTGCGTCTCCTCCAGACCCCCCTGAGATGGTTGCTAGCGGCGTGGATAGCATGTTGGCCAGCACCTGCATCACACATGCACGCACGCATGGACACACACACGTGAGAGGGTGGGAGAGTGGGAGCGAGTTTTGAGGCGCCTTAACACCCCCCTGAGATGGTGGCCAATGGGGTGGATAGCTTGTTGGCCAGCACCTGGGAGGGGGGGTGAGAGGGTGGGAGAGTGGAAGAGTAGAGCAGGTATGAGTGGTGGTAACACATCCCGTGTTTTGATTCGAGTTGACTCAAAACAGAGGGTGGGAGAGTGGAAGAGCAGAACAGGTACGGGTTAAGGGTTTAGGGTTTAAGGTTTAGGACATCCCCCCAGGGGCATCTCCTCCCGAACCCCCTGAGATGGTGGCTAACGGCGTGGATAGCATTTTAGCTAACACCTGAGGGGAGTGAGAGGGAGAGTGGGAGGGTGGGAGTGAGTTGGGTTGAGGCGCATCAAATCCCCCCTGAGATGGTTGCGAGTGGCGTGGATGGCAGAGAGGTGGGAGGGTGTGGCGTGGCGGGTTGGCTAACACTTGAGAGCGGGGAGTGAGAAGGTGGGTGGGAGAATGGGAGGGCTTTTGAGTCGACTCAAAAGTGAGAAGGTGGGAGAATGGGAGGGTGGGAGAATGGGAGGGTGGGAGAATGGGAGGGTGGGAGAATGGGAGGGTGGGAGAATGGGAGGGTGGGAGAATGGGAGGGTGGGAGAATGGGAGGGTGGGAGAATGGGAGGGTGGGAGAATGGGAGGGTGGGAGAATGGGAGGGTGGGAGAATGGGAGGGTGGGAGAATGGGAGGGTGGGAGAATGGGAGGGTGGGAGAATGGGAGGGTGGGAGAATGGGAGGGTGGGAGAATGGAGGGTGGGAGAATGGGAGGGTGGGAGAATGGGAGGGTGGGAGAATGGGAGGGTGGGAGAATGGGAGGGTGGGAGAATGGGAGGGTGGGAGAATGGGAGGGTGGGAGAATGGGAGGGTGGGAGAATGGGAGGTTGGGAGAATGGGAGGTTGGGAGAATGGGAGGGTGGGAGAATGGGAGGGGGGGAGAGATCCACAATGGGAGGGGGGGAGAGATCCACAATGGGAGGGGGGGAGAGATCCACAATGGGAGGGGGGGAGAGATCAGGGGGGGATGGCAGATCAGGTAAGGCCAGTGTATCACCTTCCCCATGCCTCACCTTCCCCATGCCTCACCTTCCCCATGCCTCACCTTCCCCATGCCTCACCTTCCCCATGCCTCACCTTCCCCATGCCTCATCTTCCCCATGCCTCACCTTCCCCATGCCTCACCTGCCCCATGCCTCACCTTCCCCACATGTCACCTGCCCCATGTGGTTGAAGCTGAGAATGACCATGGGCTCAGCCCCCCAAGTAACTCTGCAGTGGCCCTCCTCAGTGGCCCCAGTACTACCTTTCCCACGTGTCACCTTCCCCACATGTCACCTGCCCCATGTGGTTGAAGCCGAGAATGACTATGGGCTGACCCTGCATAGTGACCCCAAGTAAAACCTTCCCCACGTGCCACCTGCCCCATGCCTCACTCACCTGCCCCATGTGGTTGAATCCGAGAATAACTATGGGCTTCACACCCCGAAGTGACCCTGCACAGCAACCCCATGCATCACCTTCCCCACATCCCACCTGCCCCACATCCCACCTGCCCCACATCCCACCTGCCCCATGCCTCCCTCACCTGCCCCATGTGGTTGAATCCGAGAATAACTATGGGCTCTGCACCACCGAAGTGACCCTGCATACGTGAGAATAGGTGGAAATGGCAGGGAATACGGGGATGGAAGGGTTAACAAGATATAACCTCAGCGGCAAGCCACATTTCTCGATTATCTCAAGCAGAAACTGAAGAGCCGAAACATCGTTTTGAGACGCCTGAAAACTAATAATCTCAAGCAGAAACCGAAGAGCCGAAACATCGTTTTGAGACGCCTGGAAACTAATAATCTCAAGCAGAAACTGAAGAACCGAAGCATCAAGGAGCAATCCCATCCCACTCACCCCATGTCCTCCTCCTCCTCCTCCTGATTGAAGAAGTGTTTTGAGATTATTAGTTTTCAAAACACTTCTTCAATCACGTGGTCACTCACCCCATGTCCTCCTCCTCCTCCTGATTGAAGAAGTGTTTTAAGATTATTAGTTTTCAAAACACTTCTTCAATCACGTGGTCACTCACCCCATGTCCTCCTCCTCCTCCTGATTGAAGAAGTGTTTTGAGATTATTAGTTTTTAAAACACTTCTTCAATCACGTGGTCACTCACCCCATGTCCTCCTCCTCCTCCTTTCTTTCGCCCTTTCACCTTGCTCCCCCCCACAACCAACCCCTCCTCCCTCTCCTCCTCCTCCTCCTCCCCTAGAGCCTTCCTCCACTCCCTCTCCCGCTTCTCTAGCGCCTCCGCTGCTGACCGCCCCAGGGAGTCGAGCAGGGGCGTGAGAGCCATTGACAGAACGACCACAATAATGAGCAGACGATTCAACTCGTCTGGGAGAACGCCAAGTCTGAAAGCAAGGGGGATGGGGGATTGGGGATGGGGGAGAGAGGGAGAGTGGTACATATTGGGAACACCTGAGAACATTATGGTGTTCCGCGCACTAGCGCCTTCCTCCTCTCCCTCTCCGGCTTCTCTAGCGCCTCTGCTGCCGATCGCCCCAGGAGTTAAGGAGAGGGGTGAGAGCCATGGAGAGCACCACCACGCTGGTTAGGAGACGGTTGAGCTCGTCTGGGAGCATGCCGAGCCTGAATGAAGGGGTAAGAAAGAGGGCAAGTGTAGGCAGAGAGGGTGTAGTGGCTGAGTAGGAGGGCTGCTGAGTGCCCCAGAGAGGGCGGAGCGGAGGAGGGGCCTGAGAGGCATTGCGAGGATAACCACCCACCACGATGACCGCCCATCTGGGATAAGAAGGGGGGAGGTGGGGATAGGGTAAGAGGGCTGTTGATCGCCCCGGGGAGTGGAGAAGGGGTGTGAGAGCTATGGAGAGAACCACCCACCACTGGGAGAACCATGCTCCCGATTGGGGTCACTATGGGGGGGGGGGGGGACGGAGCCCATGGTAATTTTCTTGTCTTCAATCACACGGGGGGGGGGGGGGGGGGACACACGACGGGGGAGTTGGAGGCATTATAGCCGATTCAACTCCATGAGTTGAATCAATCAGCCATATGGAGTTGGAGGCATCATAGCCATATGATTCTCCAACTCCATATGGCTGATTGATTCAACCAGGCAGCAGAGGAAGGGAGAGGGAATGGAGGCAGCAGAGGAAGGGTGAGGGAATGGAGGGCTAGTCGCTCACTGGCTGGCGAGGGCGAAGACGACGAAGGCGAATTCTCCTCCCTGGGAGAGCAGCAATCCCGTGCGGATGGACTCGGGCAGGGAGAGGCCGACGCGGGGGCCGAGCGCCGTGATGATGGCAGTTTTGATAGCGATGAGGCCAGAGAGGAGGAGGAGAATGTTGGGCCACTCCGCTGCTAGGAGCTGCAAGAGAGGGAGGGAAGGCAGAGGCAGAGAGATAGAAATTCTGGGAGCGGTTTGCGAGATGCCAACATGTGGGCCGAGCGCGGTCCACATGTTGCCCAACATGATGATGGCGGTTTTGATGGCAATTAGACCGGAGAGGAGGAGAAGGATGTTGGGCCACTCCGCTGCTAGGAGCTGTGGTGGGGAAGGAAGAGACAAAGACGACTCAGCAGAAGACGCTGAGGTTCGACAGCTTGTCATGCTGAGGTCGACGCCGTGCGCACAGGCTGGGGTTCGACAGCCTGTCATGCCGTGTATGTAAGTGTATGTGAGAGCGCACACAACCATACACCATACACAGCCTGTCATGCCGTGTATGTAAGTGTATGTGAGAGCGCACACAACCATACACCATACACAGCCTGTCATGCCGTGTATGTAAGTGTATGTGAGAGCGCACACAACCATACACCATTGACTCACACTGAGGTCGATGGAGGTGCCGGTGGTGACAAAGAAGAGCCCCAGAAGGAGACCCCTGAACGGACGAATGTCAGCTTCGACCTTAGCATGGGGGGGATAAGATATGGCCATAGGGGATGGGGCATGGGAGAGTGGGGCATAGGGGATGGGGCGTAGGGGATGGGGCATAGGGGATGGGGCATGGGACAATGGGGCATAGGGGATGGAGCATGGGAGCATGGGGAATGGAGGTGAAGCATGAACTGAGACAAGTTGAGGAAGAAGGGTGGATCTCATGGACCATCCCCATCCCAGTGAATACAGCACATCAAGAAAAGAGCCAGCCGAGTGAGTCACCTCATGTGTTCTAACCCAATCCCATTAGGGATGATCCATGCGTTGTGTTGTTGTAAGTCGACTCAAAACACGACTCATTAGGGATGATTCAAGCGCTACATGCCCTCACCTGCGTGCGGTAGTTGGTTTCTGCTAGCAACGCCCCAGCCAAGAACGCTCCGAGCTGTATCCACAGCAGCACAGGCAGGGATGAGACACAGAGGGAGAGAGCACAGGTGAGGCGGTGACTGAGCAGGCACAGGGCCACAAATGCCTCTGTGCTGCGAGACTTGATTGACCCCAAGCTTTTAGGCCAGGTCAACAGCAATACACTCACTGAGTCACTGAATCCTAGCTTGCTTGTTATCAGGGAAGTGCCCGTGATTGACTGTGAGCAGGCAGAGCGCCACAAAGGCCTCTGTGCTGCGCGACTTGATTGACCCCAAGCTTTTAGGCCAGGTCAACAGCAATACACTCACTGAGTCACTGAATCCTAGCTTGCTTGTTATCAGGGAAGTGCCCGTGATTGACTGTGAGCAGGCAGAGCGCCACAAAGGCCTCTGTGCTGCGAGACTTGATTGACCCCAAGCTTTTAGGCCAAGTCAACAGCAATGCACTCACTGAGTCACTGAATCCTAGCTTGCTTGTTATCAGGGAAGTGCCCGTGATTGACTGTGAGCAGGCAGAGCGCCACAAAGGCCTCTGTGCTGCGAGACTTGATTGACCCCAAGCTTTTAGGCCAAGTCAACAGCAATGCACTCACTGAGTCACTGAATCCTAGCTTGCTTGTTATCAGGGAAGTGCCCGTGACTGTGAGCAGGCAGAGCGCCACAAAGGCCTCTGTGCTGCGCGACTCCCTTGAGGGACTATGAACTCAACCGAGCCATACATACCGGTGCCGGTGACTGTCAAAAGGCAGAGCGCCACAAAGGCCTCTGTGCTGCGCGACTCGGAGGGGGACCAAACCAAGAAACCAGCACGCATGTATAGGCCTAACAGCCACACCCACCGAGTCACTGAATCCCAGCTTGCTCGTTATAAGGGAAGTCCCGGTGACTGTCAAAAGGCAGAGCGCCATAAAGGCCTCTGTGCTGCGCGACTCGGAGGGGGACCAAACCAAGAAACCAGCACGCATGTATAGGCCTAACAGCCACACCCACCGAGTCACTGAATCCCAGCTTGCTCGTTATAAGGGAAGTCCCGGTGACTGTCAAAAGGCAGAGCGCCACAAAGGCCTCTGTGCTGCGCGACTCGGAGGGGGACCAAACCAAGAAACCAGCACGCATGTATAGGCCTAACAGCCACACCCACCGAGTCACTGAATCCCAGCTTGCTCGTTATAAGGGAAGTCCCGGTGACTGTCAAAAGGCAGAGCGCCATAAAGGCCTCTGTGCTGCGCGACTCGGAGGGGGACCAAACCAAGAAACCAGCACGCATGTATAGGCCTAACAGCCACACCCACCGAGTCACTGAATCCCAGCTTGCTCGTTATAAGGGAAGTCCCGGTGACTGTCAAAAGGCAGAGCGCCACAAAGGCCTCTGTGCTGCGCGACTCGGAGGGGGACCAAACCAAGAAACCAGCACGCATGTATAGGCCTAACAGCCACACCCACCGAGTCACTGAATCCCAGCTTGCTCGTTATAAGGGAAGTCCCGGTGACTGTCAAAAGGCAGAGCGCCACAAAGGCCTCTGTGCTGCGCGACTCGGAGGGGGACCAAACCAAGAAACCAGCACGCATGTATAGGCCTAACAGCCACACCCACCGAGTCACTGAATCCCAGCTTGCTCGTTATAAGGGAAGTCCCGGTGACTGTCAAGAGGCAGAGCGCCACAAAGGCCTCTGTGCTGCGCGACTCGGCCACAAACTCGAAGAACCTTCTGAGAAAGAGCCGGCCCATGTAGAGCAGCACACCCAGACCTAGAAGGGACTTGAGGCCTGCTGCTGCGAGGAGTGGGAAGAGACTGTCGTCGGTGAAATCCTGAAAGGGGGAGGAGAAGGGAGGGGTGGTGGGGGGAAATAAGGGGAGGGAGAGGGGAAAGTGCTGGTTTGAGTTCAGGAGAAAGAGCCGGCCCATGCAGAGCAGCACGCCCAGTTCCAGGAGGGACTTGAGCCCAGCTGCTGCGAGCAGAGGGAAGAGACTGTCATCTGTGAAGTTCTGTGGAGTAGGAGTTGTGGGAGGGAGAGGTTGTTGAGAAAAAAAATGGAGAGTGCTGGTTTGAGTAAAGGAGAGAGCCGGCCGGCCGGCCCATGTATAGTGGCACCGGCACACATGAGAAAGGGGATGTGTGACGCACATGAGAAAGGGGATGTGTGACGCACATGAGAAAGGGGATGTGTGACGCACATGAGAAAGGGGATGTGTGACACACATGAGAAAGGGGATGTGTGACGCACATGAGAAAGGGGATGTGTGACGCACATGAGAAAGGGGATGTGTGACACACATGAGAAAGGGGATGTGTGACGCACATGAGAAAGGGGATGTGTGACGCACATGAGAAAGGGGATGTGTGACACACATGAGAAAGGGGATGTGTGACGCACATGAGAAAGGGGATGTGTGACGCACATGAGAAAGGGGATGTGTGACGCACATGAGAAAGGGGATGTGTGACACACATGAGAAAGGGGATGTGTGACGCACATGAGAAAGGGGATGTGTGACGCACATGAGAAAGGGGATGTGTGACACACATGAGAAAGGGGATGTGTGACACACATGAGAAAGGGGATGTGTGACGCACATGAGAAAGGGGATGTGTGACGCACATGAGAAAGGGGATGTGTGACACACATGAGAAAGGGGATGTGTGACACACATGAGAAAGGGGATGTGTGACGCACATGAGAAAGGGGATGTGTGACGCACATGAGAAAGGGGATGTGTGACACACATGAGAAAGGGGATGTGTGACGCACATGAGAAAGGGGATGTGTGACACACATGAGAAAGGGGATGTGTGACGCACATGAGAAAGGGGATGTGTGACGCACATGAGAAAGGGGATGTGTGACACACATGAGAAAGGGGATGTGTGACACACATGAGAAAGGGGATGTGTGACGCACATGAGAAAGGGGATGTGTGACGCACATGAGAAAGGGGATGTGTGACACACATGAGAAAGGGGATGTGTGACACACATGAGAAAGGGGATGTGTGACGCACATGAGAAAGGGGATGTGTGACGCACATGAGAAAGGGGATGTGTGACACACATGAGAAAGGGGATGTGTGACACACATGAGAAAGGGGATGTGTGACGCACATGAGAAAGGGGATGTGTGACGCACATGAGAAAGGGGATGTGTGACACACATGAGAAAGGGGATGTGTGACACACATGAGAAAGGGGATGTGTGACGCACATGAGAAAGGGGATGTGTGACGCACATGAGAAAGGGGATGTGTGACGCACATGCATCCTAAGGCTGTGCCACTCACCCCGCTCTCGAGGATGGGGTTTACTGTCTATCCTTTGCTTTAAGCCTGACTAAGTTTGCAGCTCGCTGAGAATTATGTCACAAGACCAGGTGCCACTCACCCCGCTCTCGAGGATGGGGAGAATGACTAGTAGAGGCACCACAGCAATATCCTGCAATGTACGCATGCATGCAAGGGAGGACGCAGAGATGCAGACCATGAAAAAGTCATACTGGTACACTTTTACTAGTACACGAGATGGCAAAGCTGTTGAGCCTCTACTCGTGCGCACACTGGCAGCATCACGGGAATGACCAATAAGGGCACCTTTTCCTGCAGCAGTGAAGGGAGTATTAGTACAAAGGACCGTTTGAGAGGGTAGGCAGTAGACGAGGTGGAAAATAGAGCGCCTGCAGCATCCACACACACCCACAGCACCCGCACACGGCAGCAGAACCCACACGCACCTGCAGCAGAACCCACACGCAGCACCCACACGCACCTGCAGCAGCAGAATCCCAAGTGTGGCTGAACCCACGCGGGTGGCGAGCTCTCCTTTCTCCGACAGCAGCTGGGGGCAGGCGTGCAGAGATGCGGATAGAACAAGCACAGGCAAGCGCAGGCAATCGCAGGCAAGCGCAGGCAATCGCAGGCAAGCGCAGGCAAGCGCAGGCAAGCGCAGGCAATCGCAGGCAAGCGCAGGCAAGCGCAGGCAAGCGCAGGCAAGCGCAGGCAAGCGCAGGCAAGCGCAGGCAATCGCAGGCAAGCGCAGGCAAGCGCAGGCAAGCGCAGGCAAGCGCAGAGCAGGGATGAGCACAGACGAACACACCGTATCACAGAACAGGCTTAGAAACTAGAATCCATGAAAATCCCTTGTGACAGGGTTAGAACTTAGAACCATTTTGAAAAAAAAAAAACGGGAACGAGGGGCAGCTTGGGGGGCCGGGAGGGGGGGCGGGGGCAAGGGGTGAGAGCGGCATGGGCGGGGGAACAACAGGGGGAGGAGGGGGTGTGTTTGTGAGGTGTGGAAATGGAAAAGCGCACCTGGAGCACAAAGGCGGAGGAGGAGAGCGAGAGAGCAGCCCCGATGACTAGAGCCTCGTCCACTGACCGGATGTTCACCTGCAGGGAGGGATTGGGCACGTCGCGTGACCATGGCATTTTTGGGTGTGATGGGAAGGGTGCGGGTTCACAGTGCTGTGACTAGCTGACGGGCATGACCTCTCTCTAGGGCATGCACGCAGGCCCCAACATATATGTACGAGGTCAGGGCGGGCAGAGGCAGGCAGCCCATTCGAGGAGGCGAGTGCCAATGGCATTGTCCGGTGGGATGGAAAGGGGTGGAAAGGTGTGGAAAGGGATGGGGAGGGATGGGGTCTCACCAGGTCAGGGCGGGCAGAGGCAGCCCACTCGAGCAGGCGAGTGCCAATGGCGTTGTCTGGTGGGAGCTCGAATGCTGCAGCAAGCCAACCAACCGCACACAGTGGCCCACATACCTTGTGTACACTTTTTGAGGCGCCTCAAAAATCACCTCATTTTGAGGCGCCTCAAAAATGACCTCACTGGCCCACATGCCTTGTGTACAGTATTCCCGGGCAAGCTTACCAGGTCGGGGCGGGCTGATGCAGCCCACTCGAGCAGGCGAGTGCCAATGGCGTTGTCTGGGGGGAGCTCGAACGCTGCAAAGGCGAGCGTTGTGAGCAGCACCTGTGGGGGGGGGGGGGGGGGGGGAGAGTGGGAGTGGTGCGGAGGGGTGAGAAATGGTGAAAAGGATTTTGAAGGGGCTCAAATACCGAGCAAGCGTGTGCCGGTGGCGTTGTCAGGTGGGAGGTCGAATGCTGAGAAGGCGAACGTTGTGAGCAGCACTGAGGGGAAGGGTGCGGTGGGGAGCAGTGAAGGGTTGTGAGGGTTGGTGAGGGGTGGTGGGGTGAGGAACGGTAACAGCAGGTTGGGGAGGGGAAAGTGCGGTGAGTAGTGATAAAAAGAGGTGAAGAGAGGTGAGTGTTGATTAGGAGGGCCTGCATTAGCAGCACAAGGGGTGGCATTAGGCTGACTTTTGAGTCGACTCAAAAGGTGGCATTAGCAGCACAAGGGGTGGCATTAGCAGCACAAGGGGTGGCATTAGCAGCACAAGGGGTGGCAGAAGCAGCACAAGTATAGCCCCCTCACCAGCAGCACCCCACACCCCACACCAGCAGCACCCCACACCCTACTCACCTGCGGCAGGCCCATGCCAAACGCAAACTTAGCAAGAGCCCTCAGACGCTCTATTGACAACTCCAGCCCCATCTCGAAGAGCTGTGGACGAAGGGCGTATGGGAAGGGAAGGAAGGAGGGCGTGTGGGAAGGGAAGGAAGGAGGGCGTGTGGGAAGGGAAGGAAGGAGGGCGTGTGGGAAGGGAAGGAAGGAGGGCGTGTGGGAAGGGAAGGAAGGAGGGCGTGTGGGAAGGGAAGGAAGGAGGGCGGGAATAAGTTGGGTTGGGGGAGGAGGGGAAAGGGTTGGGGGTGGAGGGGAAAGGGTTGGGTTGGGGGGGTGTTGGCAAAATACTCAAAAAGCATGCCTCTCTAAGGGCCATGGCACGGCAGGCCGGTATGCAGGTACAGGAAGGAATGGGTGAGTGGATGGCAGGTACAGCGGTACCTCTGGCAGGAATCCTGATTTTTATTCAAAACAGGAAGTGTTTAGGTTGGCAAGAGTATGAAATGTCAACGGGGGAGGGGAAGAGTATAGGGTGCGGAATGGAAGAGGCAAGAGCAGGTACAGGATGTTTTTGAGACGTCTCAAAAACTCACTCTTTACACGCAGCAGGTAAAGGATGTGGACGAGAGGGCAGAGGGCAGTTTTAAAAAACAACAGAGAGCAGATGGCACAAGGCAAAGAACAAATAGCAGAGAACAACAGTGCGCGCAATGTAATGTGGCTAACCAGAAAGAGAATTCCGAGTTCTGAGAGTGCTTTAACGTCGGAGATGTTGCGGATGAGACCCAGCTGGTTGAGCGCCACTCCTGAGAGCAGGAAGCCGAGAATCTGACGGCATGAGAGGGGAGAGCAGGGAGGCAGGGGGGGATGGAAAGAGGGGTTTTGTCAAGACGTCCTATCAGTGGGAGGAAGGGAGGAGTGATGCTATCAGTGGGAAAGAGATGAGCCCCAGCTGGTTGAGCGCCACTCCTGAGAGCAGGAAGCCGAGAATCTGACGGCATGAGAGGGGAGAGCAGGGAGGCAGGGGGGGATGGAAAAAGGGGTTTTGTCAAGACGTCCTATCCGTGGGAAAGAGATGAGCCCCAGCTGGTTGAGCGCCACTCCTGAGAGCAGGAAGCCGAGAATCTGACGGCATGAGAGGGGAGAGCAGGGAGGCAGGGGGGGATGGAAAGAGGGGTTTTGTCAAGACGTCCTATCAGTGGGAGGAAGGGAGGAGTGATGCTATCAGTGGGAAAGAGATGAGCCCCAGCTGGTTGAGCGCCACTCCTGAGAGCAGGAAGCCGAGAATCTGACGGCATGAGAGGGGAGAGCAGGGAGGCAGGGGGGGATGGAAAAAGGGGTTTTGTCAAGACGTCCTATCCGTGGGAAAGAGATGAGCCCCAGCTGGTTGAGCGCCACTCCTGAGAGCAGGAAGCCGAGAATCTGACGGCATGAGAGGGGAGAGCAGGGAGGCAGGGGGGGATGGAAAAAGGGGTTTTGTCAAGACGTCCTATCCGTGGGAAAGAGATGAGCCCCAGCTGGTTGAGCGCCACTCCTGAGAGCAGGAAGCCGAGAATCTGACGGCATGAGAGGGGAGAGCAGGGAGGCAGGGGGGGATGGAAAGAGGGGTTTTGTCAAGACGTCCTATCAGTGGGAGGAAGGGAGGAGTGATGCTATCAGTGGGAAAGAGATGAGCCCCAGCTGGTTGAGCGCCACTCCTGAGAGCAGGAAGCCGAGAATCTGACGGCATGAGAGGGGAGAGCAGGGAGGCAGGGGGGGATGGAAAGAGGGGTTTTGTCAAGACGTCCTATCAGTGGGAGGAAGGGAGGAGTGATGCTATCAGTGGGAAAGAGATGAGCCCCAGCTGGTTGAGCGCCACTCCTGAGAGCAGGAAGCCGAGAATCTGACGGCATGAGAGGGGAGAGCAGGGAGGCAGGGGGGGATGGAAAGAGGGGTTTTGTCAAGACGTCCTATCAGTGGGAGGAAGGGAGGAGTGATGCTATCAGTGGGAAAGAGATGAGCCCCAGCTGGTTGAGCGCCACTCCTGAGAGCAGGAAGCCGAGAATCTGACGGCATGAGAGGGGAGAGCAGGGAGGCAGGGGGGGATGGAAAAAGGGGTTTTGTCAAGACGTCCTATCAGTGGGAGGAAGGGAGGAGTGATGCTATCAGTGGGAAAGAGATGAGCCCCAGCTGGTTGAGCGCCACTCCTGAGAGCAGGAAGCCGAGGGACTAGGGGTGCCGTGGGGGCGAGGTGAGGGAAGCACGGGACGGGAGGGGGTGGAGGAGGGGAGGAGCGGAAGGGAGGAAGGGAGGAAGGGAGGAGTGATGAGCCCTAACTGGTCGAGCGCCACTCCTGAGAGCAGGAAGCCGAGGATCTACGGGTGCCGTGGGGGCGAGGTGAGGGAAGCACGGGACGGGAGGGGGTGGAGGAGGGGAGGAGCGGAAGGGAGGAAGGGAGGAAGGGAGGAGCGATGAGCCCCAGCTGGTTGAGCGCCACTCCTGAGAGCAGGAAGCCGAGGATCTAGGGGTGGAATGGAAGAGAGTTGAGGGACGGAGGAGAGGGGGGAGGGTAGATTAGGAGGGAGTAAGGGGAGAATCAGTGACATGACAAGAAGCCAGGCTTTGGCAATGCGGTCCCTCTGAGCTGGCTTCTTATCTCCGCCTCGGATACCAGTTCCCATCACCCGAGCCTCCACCGCAACTCACCGGGCTGGCGTTGAAGCTGCGGAAGAAGGGGATGACAATAACGGTGGCCACCAGGAACGTGAGTGTATCGAGCCCCAGCGTTCCAATCACATCCTGAGCCGCCGACGAGCCAATCTCCACCCCCACCGCCGCCCTCACGTCCCTCGTTATACGCACATTCGCTTTTCCCGCACTATGCTTCCCCCTTTCCCCGCCAAACTGTCCCCCGTTACTGTCACATCCGTGGCTGTTTCCGAGCCTTCCCCCAAGGGCTGTCGCGTTGCTGCGCCGAACCAGACCTGAACCGAGCCGTGGGCTTTCGCTAAGACTCCTCCCAAACCTGGTGAATACAGTAGCGCAATTCACGCCGCTGGTACCGCGGAGCGCTACGGCGGCTTTGGGAAATGGCGGGGGCGCGCGCACGAGGGGAGGAATAGTGGCGGAACGAGCGGCGGAATGGTTGGCGGAATGAGTAACGCAGTGGTGGCGCACTTGCGCCATTGCGCGCCAATGGGGCAAGCAGAGTCGGACCCCGAATGGCGGAAACCGCGCGGACGCGGAGGGCGGAAGGGGGAGTGGAAGCGGAGGGTGGACGCGGTGGGCGGAAAGGAGATAGGGGTGTTCGACGCCCACTAAACTGGCATCATTGTCAGACTGCCCTTGCACGAGGTGACTTTTGAGTCGACTCAAAAGTCACATCATTGTCAGACTGCCCTTTCACGAATTCGCTTCTACTCCCATTTGAACTACTAGGAGTTCAGGGCCTGCTTCAAATATGGAAAACTCCTCATTTCTGCTTCAGGCCTCGCATGTCCTGACGGTTCGCGCGTTAATATCGCACGTTCGAACAGAACTGCGAAAAACAATCAGCCCCGCGACGTTTCGCCCCTAGGCTCCCCTTCGACGTCGCGCGGGCGAGATGGGCGGAGCAGAAGAGCGAACGCAGGGCGCAGGGCTGGCTAGGACTAACCTGGCTTATTGGCTGGCTAAACTGGATAGCCAGAGGGGAGAGGGGACCTAGGGGGTAAAGCGAACGCAGGGCGGCGTGCTGGTTTTGCTTCTTATTGGTTCATACTTGCTCGCTGAGTGTTACTAGGCTACCTTTGTTTTGCGAGAAACGTCGCAAGTATTCGTGCTGAAATGAGATTGGGCTGCTCTGCTCCTGCCAAGAGTTTCTGACGGAATGCTGAAGTGGACACATCTGTTCGAGAAAGCCGACACATCACCACACGCTTGAAGGCGGATTGGACAGATGGTCACGTGGCTACCTCGACGCCACAAATGACTCACCACTGGCACTTTTGAGAGGCTATCTGTGGTGGCTCGTGCTTTGCTGTCTTGCGCGCCACGCGTGACGGATTCTGAGTGGGTGAAGATGGTTGCACTTCGCTGCCCTTGATATATTTCTCGATGTTTATTTTTACCGGGCTGCAACGGTGGCAGAAGCCCATTGGCTGACTCAGTTGCTGGACCTACATATTGATACTCTTTATAGGCTTAATTTCGCTAGTCGCAGGAGTGACATGTTTGGTATATGTATAGCGGTTAATTTGAATTTGCATATTCTGTAACATAGCGGTAACCAGCGCACCCCCTTTAATTCCCGACTTCTTGGGTGACACACGTGGGAGAGGGACATGTCATCCAACAGTCATTCTCAGGTCCAAGTGTATTGATGGTTAGGGCGCGTTTCAGGCCTCGTAACAAGCACTTCCGAACAAGTTGGGCGTCGCACACGACCAAATTTGTTACGAGGTCGTTTTTCCTGCCTCCAAACAAACTAGTCTGATCACTGTCTGAATGAGTCGCGCATGTACAGAGCTAGGTCGCAGCCAGTAGTGTGGCGCGCCAGTTCACCTTAGTAGTTCACCTTCCTTTTGCCTGGGCCTGCCACGGCCAGAATCTGACGGCCTGACGAACCGTTTAGGGTTTGGGGCTGCCGTTAAATTTGATTTTCTGTTGATATTGCTCCATTTACTAGGTAAAATGCCATCATTTGTTTGTTTTGAAAATTTTGGAAGGGCGAGTCCGAATCTCTAAGTGACGGGAACCAGTCGTCTGGTGGCAAGCAGACGGTGCACGACAACTGACAGTTGATCGTAAACGATCGATTTGCCTTCAGTGGTTAAAACTGAGTTGTTACGAGGTTCAGGTCGCAGAAACTCGCCCAACGTCGCGGAAAATCGGAAAGCAGTCGCTTGTTGCGAAGTTGCCAGTTCGTAACCACCTGAAATGCGCCCTTACTCGGCACTCCCAAAAACTTGGGGTCGCCCAATCCCGAGGTGTGGCATCATGCCGCTGGCTGGCATCTTCTCGAACTCCACCAACCAAAGCTTCGCGCTTCGCCTGGTCAACTCGCCTCTCCCTCGGCTCTCATGGTTCAAACAAGATTTCTGCCCGTTTTCGCTGACAGAAGTCGTTGTGCTGGACAGAACAGTACCTTTCCCGTCATCTCCCTCCTCGTCCCGTCACCACCATCTGCTTTCGTGGCCCTGGGAATCTGCCGTTCTGCCCATCTGAAGAAATATCCGTGTTTCAGCCGTTGATAGATTCTCCTCTCACATCCCACTGCTCCCTGTCCTGTTCTCTACGTTTGGTCGCCTGCTTGTTCTTCCACTTTCTTTAGCTCCTGCTAGTTCCTGCTACTGTACTTATTCTGTTCGCAACAACCTAGTTTCAGCAATAGGCGAAAAACGTTCAGCAATAGGCAAACACGACGTGATAACATATTTCGCAACAGGCTGTTGCACATTTCGTCATTGCTACCTCCTTGCGACATTCATATCGTGAAGGACATCTTACGAATTAACGTATATCAAAAGGATAAACATGTCTTACAGACGCATATTGCTGCCTGAGCCTCCGCCAGTCATAGGATCGGCGGGAACGCCAGAGATCTTCGAGCAAGGCGGCACGGCGTCTGTGATTCGTCGCGCCGTGATTATAGGGAATGGCCACCCCGGCAGCGAGCACCAGAGCCTGGGCCTCGTGCGAGCTCTAGGACTGGGGGGATCCATGGAGATTCAGGTAGGAAGATGCAGAATGTTAGAGGCTCAAGTGGGTCAGGTTCCTTCGACGTCCTATTAAAATGCTCCACGTCCCTCCTTTTCTTCCGTTTCAGCTTCTGAGAATTCTCAATTGATAATTATATATACCTCGATGGAGCTCTTTAACGTCGTATCCAATATGCTCCGCGTCCCTCCACTTTCCCTACTAATCTTACCTGCAAGCCTAATGCCCGTCTTTGAGAATTCTTGAAGGTTCCTGTCTTTCTAAGCACCTCCCCTCACCTTCACCCTCTCCTTTCTTCCCTTCTCCTCCCCTCCCTCCGTCATCCCCCGGCATCCCTTCCTTTCCAACCACCGACTCCTTTCGCTCCCTCACTCTCTCTCTCCCTCCATTGCAGAGAGTGGTTCGTCCTAAGTCCGGCCTGCACCGCTGGTTACGATGGTTACCACTAGAGACGCACCAGCAGCTAGACGCATATCTCTCTCTGCGTCTGGCTTGGCTCTTTCAAACCGTGTCCTCCGTAGTCCTGCGATTAGCCCTTCTTCCACCCCCCAGGTTAAGCCTACCAGCTCCTCCACCACACCCATCATCATCATCATCATCATCATCATCATCATCATCATCATCATCATCATCATCATCATCATCATCATCATCATCATCATCATCATCATCATCATCATCATCATCATCATCATCATCATCATCATCATCATCATCATCATCATCAGCAGCAGCATCAACAGCAGCAGCAGCAGCAGCAGAAGTAGTAGCAGCGTCGGCGACAGCAGGAGTAGGCGTGAGTGCAACAGCAGCAGCAGTCAGTGTAGTCGGACGTTCTGCTGCAGGAACAGAAGCAGCTAGTTCACTTTATAACCCTTTCTCATCCCCGTCCGTCAACGGTACTGTAGATTCCTCTGGCAAGCCGTTGGAAACAGTAGCAGGTTCCACTAACGGTAGGAATGGCACCTTCGCTAATGGCACCTTCACCAATGGCACCATCGCTAATAACACCTTCGCCAATGGAGCCTTTGCCAGTGACACCTTCGCCAATGGTACATTCGCTAATGGCACGAGTTCTTCGTCGTTTCATACCTCTGATCCTTTCCATCCTCGTTATGAGCCGAATCAACACACGCCCAGATCGGTGCTCCTTCCTCGCAGCACCCCTGCCTCCGCCCACCGGCCTCGTGTCCTATCGGAGGCTTCCACGTCAGCGTTTCTCCCTGCCGCTGCTCCAGCGGACCCTGCTGCCATTGCCAGGGAGGCAAATGAGACCCTTGAAAGGTGAGGGGTGCAACAGGGGTTGGTGTGGCGGAATGTGGTTAGGTGACGTGCAAATGGATGCGGATGAGTAATGTTTCAGCAGCGAGGCGAATGAGTCCCTCGAAAGGTGTGGGAGGGATGGTGGTGCGATGCAATGCAGTAAGGTCAGGTGTGGGATGCAGTCTGTTTGGCGCATGTACTGCTGCTTGCCATTCTGGTGAGCCAGACGCCATCCTACAATCTTCAACCTTCCCATCTGCCTCTCCCCCTCTTCCCCTCCTCCCCTCAGCGAGGGGCCACTGCTGGTGGTGGCAGCAGGGAGGGACACAGCGGCAGCAGCAGCGGAGGTGAAGCGCCTAGCGCCCAGCTCCACCCTTGCCGTGCAAATACAACACCCCAGAAACGACCTCCACCAGTACGACCTGGTGGTGGCGCCTCTGCACGACTTCTACGGGCTCACAGCAGCAGCCAGCAGGGAGGTGCCTTCGTGGATTCTCAAGTGGATCGCCCCTGCTCCGCCCGCCAAGAACGTGGTAAGTGCCCCTGCTGCAGGTATGACCACCACCAGTGTAGGCAGGGAGGTGCCTTCGTGGATACTCAAGTGGATCGCCCCTGCTCCGCTTGCCAAGAACGTGGTGAGTGCCCACCTGCAGTGGACATGTTGTGACATCTCTGAATCACAGCAGAAGCAGTGGTATGATTTCAAAACTGCAGATGGAGTTGCAATAGCAGTGGCACCTAAGTAGCCCACCATGTCATTTGTTCCGTAACCCCTCACGTCTATTCTTCCCCGTCTCCCCCCTTTTCGCTCACCCCGTCCTCTGGCAAATCAGGTGTTGACAACTGGCGCGTTGCATATAGCAGAGCCATCTCTCCTCCGCTCAGCAGCTGCCACGTGGCACTCTCTCAGTGACTTTCCCAAGCCACTCGTTGTCGTCAACATTGGTGGTCCCACCCGTATGTCTCAACTACTGGATTCTTCTTTTTTCTCAATGTTGCTTATAATCAAGAGACAGCTAAGATTAGCTGATTCTCCTGGGTAGAATTCTCCTCGTCTTGTAAATTCCTGCTTTGACGCATTTTCCTGTGCAACCTTATCCCTTGTTAAAACTTTTTTTTTTATATATATATGAGTAGTCGCACCTGTTTCTGTGGCCCACTTCCTTTCTGCCCCACTCCTGGCCCTTCCCTCTCCCCCCCTGCCTGCCTAAACCCGAAACCCTAAACCCTTCCGCCGCCCAGGTCACTGTAGCTACCGCCCAGATTTGATTGCACAGCTGGCAAGGACACTCAAGGAGATGCTGCAAGAGTGCCAGGGGTCTCTCAGCGTGTCCTTCTCCAGAAGAACGCCAGCAGCGGTATGCACCTGAATGGACTCTTTTTGGACTTTGCAGGGTGATTCTGAGAATTTCAGGGTGTTTTGGGGAGAATTCTCAGAGACACCTTGCACGAGTGCCAGGGGTCTCTCAGCATCTCGTTCTCCAGAAGAACGCCAGCAGCGGTATGCACCGCTGAATGGACTCTGCTTCTGGTTCGTACTAAGGTGGATCTTACTTCAGTAGGACCATCACGAACCAGCAAAAATCATTGTGTGCTTGCTTATACCATCAGTATAATAACATCGGTGGTTCATTACAACGAAGGGAAGGAAATAACATTGTGTGCTTATACCTGTTGCTCTTACTGTCCGTTCCTTTGTGCGACAGTCCTCCCAACTCCCACCATCACCACCCCTTTCGCCCTTGTTTCTATCCGCTCCTTGTCTCGCCCTCTATCCGCTCCTTGTCTCGCCCTCTATCCGCTCCTTGTCTCGCCCTCTATCCGCTCCTTGTCTCGCCCTCTATCCGCTCCTTGTCTCGCCCTCTATCCGCTCCTTGTCTCGCCCTCTATCCGCTCCTTGTCTCGCCCTCTATCCGCTCCTTGTCTCGCCCTCTATCCGCTCCTTGTCTCGCCCTCTATCCGCTCCTTGTCTCGCCCTCTATCCGCTCCTTCGCCCTCTTCCTCTCTCTGTGCCTCACGCCCCCACTCAGATGCAGCGAGTGCTGCAGCAGGAGCTAAAGGGCCAGGATGCGGTTTACATTTGGGATGGTCAAGGTGAGTACCATCATGTTTTTTCTGTGTTTTTTTTTCTGTCATATGTCTTTTTTCTAGAAGTACCCACATTCACGAAGGTCGGCCATTACTGTGCTATGCTGTGCTATGCTATGCTGTGCTATGCTATGCTGTGCTATGCTGAGCTGTGCTGTGATGTGCGGTTCTGTTTAAAGTGCAGGCCTGGACCCCCACTTGGGCAACCTCGCTTGGGCTGACGCGTTCATAATCACAGCGGACTCTGTCAGCATGATCAGTGAAGCGTGCTCCACAGGGTAAGCATTGCGATAATATGGATACGAATTTCAGAGGCAATATATGGTGAGCGCTACGGTGCATACATGTTGCATTACGTATTGAGTCATTTTGTTGCTCTCGCCCTGAACTTATTGCTCTCACACTATGGTCATAATGCGTTCAACCAGGTTTGTTTCCTCGTTCCTGCTTTTATGGCTAAGATTCTCGCACCCGTGTTTCGTTGCTCTCACCCTGTGCTGTTCTTTATTTTATCCACATCTCTGACCCATGGTCCACCCATGTGTTATTGCAGCAAGCCGGTGTACGTGGTAGGCGGGGAGCACTGCAAGTGGAAGATAGCCGAGTTTCACCGGACCCTCCAACGCAGGGGAGCCATTCGGCCTTTCAACAGCTCTGTCAATGTCAGTTTACTCTATCCATGTCAGTGGGTGTTCCGTTGAACGTCAGTTCATTCCCTGCCAGTGTTGCCTCATCCTTGGCAGATGTCGGTCGCCAATACTCATATCATTCCTCCTTTGGTACCTCTCGCGCCAACCCATCTTCTTGTCCTATGTATCAGCTTGCAAGCACATGGAGCTACCCACCGTTGACAGACAATGTGGACGTTGCAACACGAGTCCGCGCGGAAGTGGCCAAGCATGGATGGGTCTTACACCCCCCTAGATACCTAGATATTTCTAAAACTATATAGCACATGTGTTGGATGATCCAGCCTATATGCGATCGTGCCCACAGGCTGCAATGTACCATGTATACTATCATGTGTAAGAGCAAAATTGAATTGACACCAGGGACTTTGTTAGGGGGGGTCATCAGCTTCATCACAACTAAATTACAACGCTTAGTGTGTTGAATTGCTGAAAATATTTGCCTCCTTGGTACCGGTTGTGGGTGTCAGTGAATCGAAATTTCTTTGGACAACCCCAAGATGAAATTGCCGCGCGTCAGAATTTCAAAATCCGAGGGCCCCGCGGGAAACGCGTTTCTGACGCAGCACACAAATGCCAGAAGTGCCAACTCGCCGCGCCATGCCTGGGGGGATCAGCATAGTCAGTTCAATCAGCTTCTCCCGGCACCGAGCAAGCCGCACACAGCGACATCCAGCCTAACCCTTGTTAAAACTTACAATACCGAACTGAACCTATTCTTACCCGTTCTCTCATAGCTTCTCTTCTGGGCTGATCCTCCCTTGGAATCCAGAATCCAGAATTTCCTGGACTAGCCTCCTCTCTCCCCATTGCTCTGGCCTACTGGTCTTCTGAAACTCATTCCTCCGTTGAGCTTTCGGAATTCCTCCTGTTAATCTCTGAAAAGCGTCCAGCTTCCTGGGTCGCGAGCGTGCCTGACTAGATCCTTCCCGTACTTACTGTTCTTTCTAGTTACTATTTATTAGTCAAACAGCTGCAACGCGTACACTTCCCTTCTGGTACTGCTCGTAACACGCTGTTTGGCTCTCATTTGCATCCCCAACCGAGTCTATAAATAAAAGGCCTCTTGCTGGTAGACCAGTAGATTTCGTTCCGTTTAGACCTTGACGACTGACTCTCTTGAAGTAGAAACCACTTAGCCTTTACCAACTCCAGGATACTCTGGTTTCTGATACAGCTGCTTAATCAGAACTGGCGCTCTCATTTTGGATACTAGCTCTCGCGGTCCTTCACTCGTTGCTAATAAAACTACTCATAAGTATTTATTCAGTACTGGATCCTCAGCCTCCTAAGAGAGCTCCTTCAATGGACGAAGCACAAGCAGTCAGTCCGACCGTTCCGAAGGAGAGTACAGCAATGGAGGTTGAAGAGAAACCGAAGCCATATATTGACCCAACATACGAGTTAGTGCAGGCTCCCAAGTATTTTGATTTCGTCAATGGTGACATGGAGGATGCCTCGGCCGATGAATGGTTCCGATCGACACCAGGACATCCGAAGTCTCGTGAGTATACTTGATGAACTTCTCATATTACATTATGTTTATTGGGTTATTTTCCTTACCATTGTAATAAGTCGGTTTAACGGACTGGTTGCTGTTTCTACTTGCAGCACTGGTTGTGAAGGCCATGGCTTCTGGTCAACGCATGATGCCGAAGGAGGCGATACCGCTTCTTAGCGCTATCAAGGTATGTTTCCGTTATCTAGGGAGCCATACGGTTTTTTAAATTTCAATGTTGGAGTATTTTTGCATAGAAGCTTCAAACTGATGCACGACTTCTCATGGATTCGCAGATTCCTGAACCGACTCCTCGTCCTACGCGGTTTATGACTAAGTCTGATGGGCCACAAAGGTGATTAATGAAACGTTTTTTGGTACTTCTCTATACGATTGATCTTGTGTGTTAGTACAGGTACTGATTGTTCTTGTTGTTACCCCAAACTGTTCGGCATCTACAGAGTCAAGTGCGATGACGTCTCTACAATGGATGGTGCTGGAGAGAACGCCGGGAATGACGGCGGAAACGGCGGAGCAGTGAAGGAGGATGAGGGGGGTAAGCAGTGGTCCGACGTGGATTTGAAGGACGAAGGAGATGCGCTGCAACAGGAAGGAACCAAAGCGGAAATTGCGTTGAACGTTGAAAATCCAGTGGGTGCTGAGGTGGTAGAGCTACACGCTGCTGGCGTGAATGTCGCTGCGGCAGAGGCTGGTTCGGACGCTGCAGCAGAAGGACCAGAGCCGGAAGTGGAGGTTCAGCCTGTAGCGGAACAAGTCGAACAAGGTACGGTAGTCGTTCCATTGGTAGAACGCATGTTAAAGACGGGATATTTTGTGAATTCACTAGCGATTTTGTAACGACCGTGTGTGAATGTCTCCGTTTGCAGGTTCCAAGTCTGCATCGTCAGGAGCGAGGATTCACGGCATGCAGACTAGGGCTATGGCGTCGGCCTCGCACGCGGGAAATAGCAACCCTCTGCCACCCCTCAGTGGTTCTGCGAGTAAGAGGAGCCGCGAGGAAGAGGAAACGGATGGGATTATCACGGCCGTTTTGCCGGTCGAGGAGATGCTTCCGTCTCCGTCAGAGAGTGGCGGTTTTCCGAAGAAGAAGCTCTGGGATCAGCTGAGGAGCATGCGAATCAGCACGCCCCGCTCGACCCGCGCAAAATCAAGGGTTTCGAAGGTGCAAAGTGCTCGGAAGGCTGGTGCTTCCGGTGGGGAGAGTGAAGCGCCTGGTGGAGCTGATGGTGTGATGCGTGGTGCTGATAATACGATTGATGCTGCCGCTGGTAATGTGTGCGATGGTCAAGCAGCTGCTGCTGGCTCGGCTGGGTTGCCTGCTGGCGCGGGCAATGCCTCGGTTATTGTCGCTTCTTTCATCGCCAGTGCTGCTGAAGCCACTGCCGCAGCTTCCGAGGCTGTTGCGTTCCCTTCTGCTGCTCCTGCTCCTGCTGCTGCTCGAGCAGCAGCGGGCCGTCGTGCCACTGCCCCGGCATCCACCCGTCCTTCGCTCCGACGAGCCTCTGCAAGGCTGAAAGCCCGAGGAGGAGCTCCTCCTTCACGGTATGTCAGGTCAGCGGAGCCAGAGGAACATTGTCCCCCTGTAGGAGTGATTACCTGCGGCCTGGCCAGTGTTTCTATCCTGCTACCATCTTGCGTCTCGCACGAGAGTGTACAGATTTGAACGTGCTGACGGTTCCGTTTGTCGTGTGTGATTGCAGGGCTGCTCGTCCGTCTATCATGGCGGCGACGGCAGCTTCTGCGGCCAGAAGTGCGGCCGCCAGCGGGGCGAAGGCGAGGTCACGCGAGAACAAGAGGCAGAAGGTCGACAGGACCCCGCAGCAATGGAAGGTAAAACGCTGTTACATAGCCTCGTATTTTATTTCATTCAGCGTTTCTTCGCTTCCAATACGAATTGCAGAGCCTATGTGCTGATTGTCGTTGGGACTTCATGCTGGCTCATTGCCCCCTAGCTCGTGAATAATATGGCGCATACACCACACCCCCCCTGGTCGTGCGCATGCAGGCTCCTCCCAGCAGTCGCCCTACAGGGCTCACAGTTCCGCAGCCGTTCAATCTCCGAACGGACGTCAGAAGCCGCCCAGGAGAAGCGAAGCTGAAAAACGATGTGCGTCACTCTCAAACGTACTGCTTATACTGTTCGTCCTTACCTACTCTCAGGGTATCGCCAAGGAAATCTTGCATTCTGCCGCACCATTGCAGCAAATAACTTCGCACGCAATTCCTATCTGCCATCGTTTCCCTGGTCGCAGGCACAGCCCTTCGTCTCCCTTGCCCAGAGCGTGCAAGCCTTCGCTCGCTCAAGCCGATCGTCAGATGCGGAGGTACGCAACACGACGCAGCTGGCAATGTATCTGTAACAACAATGTCAATCCACGCTCCGGTCCCCTCTTCCACTCCACCCGCCTTCTCCGCCTTCAACAATGTCAATCCAAGCGCATGGTGTTTCTTAACTTCTAGTTTGTTTTGGCCAGGCTCCACGTATTTCCTTCCCCGTCAGATTTTCCTCCTGCTCTCACAAGCTATCTAATGAGCTCTTCTGCCTCTGTTTCTCTCTGCCGTTCCCTCTGCCAGGCTGGTACTGCGCATAAGTCTCGCCCGGGAGTCTCCGCAGTTCCTGCAGCAGCAGCAGCAGCAGAGCCTCATCTTACGGTGCCCCAGCCGTTCGTTTTCAACACGGAGAAGAGGCGTGGCTCTCAGAATGAGAAGATAAAGGAGGTGAGGGACGAGCTTTGACAAGTATTCAGACCGAAAGAGCTAGTGCGAAATGCATAGAACTTAATTCTCGAGATGCGTTATAATTTTTGAGGCCCTGAGAATAGACTGTTTCGCGTGTCATTACTCCTGTTGTCTCATCGTCTGATGTAACCTGACTGTTCGTATTCACGGGTGTGCAGGTGAAACCGTTTGTGTCCCTCGCTCAGAGCGTCAGCATGTTTGGCATCAGGAGCAACCGATCATCAGAGGTTGAGTCAAGCTCACACATGAGCGGAACCACACACGAGCTGGGCCTGACCATACCTGAACCGTTTGACTTCAAGACAGACAGGCGCCTGCGACCAAAAGACGAGCAGTTGAAGAAAGAAGCCAAGCCATTTGTGTCCCTCGCTCAGAGCGTCAGCACGTTCAGCGCCAGGAACGATCATCGATCGTCAGAGACAGAGCACAAAGTGCATGAGAGTGGGCCTTCCCATGGGGCTACTCTAACCGTACCTGAGCCGTTTGACTTCAAGACTGACAGGCGCCTGCGACCCAAGGACGAGCAGCTAAAGAAGGAAGCCAAGCCGTTTGTCTCTCTTGCTGAGAGCGTGAGCATGTTTGGCGCCAGGAGCAGCCGGTCATCAGCTGGAACAGAGTCCCAAGCGCATGATGGTGGGCCTTCCCACGGGGCTGCTCTAACCATACCTGAACCGTTTGACCTGAAGACGGACCGGCGCCAGCGACCCAAGGACGAGCAGCTGAAGAAGGAAGCCAAGCCGTTCGTCTCCCTCGCCCAGGAACTCAGCGCCTTCTCAGCACACATGAGGCCGGCCGGGGAGGCTCCTAGTGCTCCTGCTGCCGCCTCCTCTGGTGCTTCGGATGCTCCCCGTGTGACCAAGCCTGTGACGCCGAAGCTGCTGACGGCGCAGAGGGAGCGGCCGAGGAGGTTCAGGGTGCTGCAGGAAGGGGAGGCTGCTGGCTGTGGGGTCACGACCCGGTCTGCTTCAAAGAGGGGAGCGACAGCTGCACCCGCTGCTGGTGGAGCTGGTGGTGATGCGGCTGGTCCGAGGCTTCCCACAGTGCCTTGCTCCCCCATGCTGACCACCAAGCTGCGTGCACGAGTAGCCAAGTAAGTGGTGTGCTGACGCGGCCAGGTTGAATGTGCAGGCTTGTCTCTTTCCTTCTTTCTTATTTGATCGGTTTCTTATTGTTTTATTTCTGGTTTGTGCTTCTCTCAGGGTGAAGAGCAGTGAGGAGAGGGAGCTGGAGGAGATGGCGACTGCGGCTAAGCGCATGCATACCGGCATGCACGGCAGCTCGGAGGTACTTGGGGCAGTCTTTCATGCATCCTAATGTCGCTCACTCAGCCGGTTTTTGAGAATTCTCAAAAACCAACTCACTCAGCCACTGTACCAAACCCCCCTTGCGCCTTGTAGCATTCCGTCGAGTCGAGTCGGCCCTCAATTCGAAAACCCAGATGCTGTTTGTTTGAGGCGCATCGAAGGCAACGAGAGATCCATTTGGTTCCTCCTTTTCTCCTCCACTGCAGGTGCCAACTGTCTCTCACCCACGGGAGTTCCACCTGTTCACTGAGGTCAGTTCGCTGATCCTGTTCTCCCGCTCTAGCACACTTGACGCATGATTCCACGCAGCCGACCCCATTCTGGATGCCTCCTTGTTCAGCCCTGGGTTTCATCACCAGCATCCTACTCACCTGCAAACATTCCTACCCTCTTACATGTCCACATGTCTACAGGAGCGCGGCCAGGCAAAGCAGCAGAAGCTACAGCAGAAGCTGGCAGAGGAGGAGGAGGAGAGGCGCAGGGCAGCCATTCCCTTAGCAGCACCCATGCCATACACCACCCTCGCCCCAGAATTCCTCCGCAAGCCGCCCACCAAGCCTGCCACAGAGCCGCAGGAGTTTGACCTTGAATCAGTGCGGCGGCACCAGATGGCGCAGCAGCGACTTGAGGAGGAGGCGCAGAGGAAGGCAGAGGAGGAGGCTGCTCAGAAGGAGTTCCACGCACAGCCCCTGCCTGACATGACCAAGCGGTGAGTTCTGGCTCCTGAGATGTCTGAGCGGTGAGGTGAGTTCTGGCTGTCTAGCTAACACCACCCTCGCTCCCGAGTTCCTATGCAAGCCGCCAACCAAGCCTGCCACGGAGCCACAGGAGTTTGACCTCGAGTCAGTGCGGCGCCACCAGAGGCTGCTCAGAAGCAGTTCCGCGCACAGCCGCTGCCTGACATGACCAAGCGGTGAGTTCTGGCTGTCAAAGGAGAGGCTGACTGATATGACCAAGAGGACAGAGATTGGGTGAGTTCTGTTCTGGAGCACAGAGATTGGGTGACTGGGTGATTGGGTGATTGGGTGAATGGGTGATTGGGTGATTCAGTTCTCCAGTTCTGATTGAGTGTGATTGGGTTTGGTTTGCGCCTGCAGCTGGGGCTTCCAAGGCTGCTCGTGTTTCCAAAGTTGCACCGCTTTCCTATCTCAATGTTGGTTTTAGTCTCTGCAAGCCTCTCGCCCCAGTCGTGTTTTGATCTCCTGTTTGTTTCTTCATAGATTTTGTCGTCCCTGTTGTGCTCCTGTCTGGTTGTGGCTCTGTTCCGTCCCAATCCCGGATACGGATGATTGGTCCCTCCCAGTCCGGAGCCCCCCAGGCGCAGCAATCGTGTGTTGACGGAGGTGGAGCCGTTCAACCTGAACATTGACCGCCAAGCAGAGCACCACGCATGCGCCAAGAAAGCGGTACGTGGAGGGATTCATGCTGTTGGTATATCCTGAAACAACTGGTACTCTCGCCATTTTCAGTCCCTGAGTTACCATGACTCAGAGTCTCGTTGTCTGTGTTTCTTTGTGATCTTTTACTTAGTTGATGGCTGGACGATTTTGACTTTCCGTAGTTGATGTCTCGGTTACTCTGTAATTTTTCTCATTGTGTTGTTGCAGTTTGCTGAGAGGTGTCAGCGGGGGGAAGAGGAGTATGCCAAGATTCAAGCACGTCTCAAGGTGAGTTTCCCTGCATTGTCAGTGCACGATCTCGCACGCATTCTTTTTGTGGGCGATACTTTGCCGACTCGACCTCAAAGAGCCTCAAGGATAGAGTTCTTTGCTACGACCATTCATTGCTGACTTCTTGAGTATGCGCTGTGGGCCTTGCAGAAGGAAGAGGAGGAAGAGATCAAGAGGATGCGCAAGGGGATGGTTCACCATGCAGTTCCCAAGCCCTCCTACGGGGAACCCTTTGTTCCAAAACGGTGAGATTGGTGTGATACAGCCAGCTACGGGTCAAAAGTCCTGCTTCCACCAGCAAGAGATTTGCACGCTCTTGTTTTGATCTCATTCTGATTTGTGGCTAATCTCGTTCTTGGTCTTCTTAGCAGGTCAGGGAAGCCCTTGACTCAACCAGTGTCCCCCTGTCCAGGCATAGTATCTGTGCGGGCAAGTAGGTTGCAGCAGGAGGACATGTTTTAACTGTGTGCTCAAAGCGCCCAGGACTTGCAGCTTATGCTGCCTCTCTTCTGGTCCAGCACCTCTTTACATTGGTTGTAACACTGCCGCAGCTGACGGTTGGTAGACCTCGGCACGATTCTCTGTGCCCTGGGAGTAGTGTGCGTAGTCGGGTAGACTTACTAAGGCCTGGTATGTTTGTTCCTGACGTTGCAACAGTAGCACAGTCCATGGTGCCAGGCAATAGGACTGTGTGGCATCATAACCGTATGATGCCCTATGTATGAAGTTTGAATAACAGTAGCAGGTATTTTTTTGAGGTCTCCGTCTTCCCATATGGTGACAAGGAGAGTGCCAGATCAAATAAATTCATGAACCACCAGCATTAGAATGCCAGAACAAGCGCAGTTGAGAACCAGCATGAGAACGTCAGAACGAGTACTGGCAATTTTTAAGAGCCACTGGCATGAGGGGAATGCCAGAACAAGTGAATCTAAGAACCATCAGCATGGGGTGGGGAGGATGCCATAACAAGTAGCCTCAAGATGCATGAGGAATCTCTGTCTGGTTATTGCCAGACCAGTAAATTCAGTTATGCCCTTGCATTTACTAGAACCACAGAGACTATGCTTATTGAACTACTCCCACAGCATACGTTGGGGGTCATGTTAATAGCCAGTGCGGATGGACACTGTATGGGAAAAAAGGGCTCTAACATGCACACTGCCGGAAGGCACACTAGCTAAGGACGACATTACAGCAAAAATGCAGAGGCTAAAGGGATGCATCTGGGTACCCGGTATGAAACCTACAAACAGCATGTGTTTCCTTGAGAGCAGCAGACAGGCGTAGCAGACCCACTGCAGCAGTTAGCAATGGGACAACACACCCCTCCACAGCACGTGTGATTCAACGTGCTCTCGCTCTGCATCCACCCATAAGAAGCACAATACGAATTAGTTATGCGTTGGAAGATCCTCACCAGGAAAATAGCTCAGCGGGTATAGAAAAGTGAAAAAAGATGTGAAAAAAAAAAAGAAAAACGCAGGTGATTGCAAAAAAACGCGGAGATTAATCGCGAGGCATCATACTTACAACGCCACAGCAGGTTGTGTTTCCGCACACGCCCCAGCAAATCGCAGTGTCGCCGCTGCCGCAGCACGTGGCTTCTGGAAGGCAGCACGGTCGCGAGTACGCGCCTCCGCCAGTCACCGTGAGGCACACGGGACAGCTGGCGCTCGCAGGAGCAGGCGCTGCCGCCGAGGTGTTCGACGCGATCGCTGGCGACGGCGCTGGCGACGATGCTGGCGACGGTGCTGGCGACGGTGCTGGCGACGATGCTGGCGAGGGTACTGGCGACGGTGCTGGCGACGGCGACGGCGACGGTGAACACAAAACGGTCACTTCTAACGAGTCGTCGTTAGATGTCATTGTAGCAGGATCGGATTCGGTAGCATCATTAGCTTTCGCCGAAGGTTCTTGCGCGACCAACGACAGATCTGAGCCCGAAGCTTCTCGTAGGTTTCGCGAGGAGAGCCATAGCCAATCTTTGTTGCTCGTAACGCCGGAAGGACGAAAATTTGCGGAAACCGACGGCGTGACGGTGACGCCAACGAAACGCGCATCCACGGAGAATGGATCTGAGCAGAGAGTGACGAGAAGCACGAGAGTGATGACGGCGACTGTCCGATTGACCACAGCCATGGCGTCGGGACAGAGATTGCCGAGACAAGAGTTGTACTAGAGACAAAGAGGCCGAGAGACAGAGAGTCTTCGGAGGAATCGTGATTTCCACCGTCTGTGAGAACGAAGATGGTTAGACGACGACCGTCTTGGAGGATGGAGACCTAATGAGATTCGCGCCGGAGCGAGAAGGACTCGTGCTGGTTGCGATTTGCGAGTCAACGAGGCGAAGAGTGAGAACGAAAACGGGAGCGTTGAGAAGGACCCCAGGTGAGACGACCGCGCTTTATACTTGCTAGGATCCATCGAAAGGGCTGTAAGTCGCTTCGTCCTTTGAAGGCTTTTGAGTCGCGCTTCGTCCATTGAGGGCGTTCCATCGAGTCAGGAGAATTCGATAGGGTTGACCTTAGGCAGTTGGCGGCTCTCCTCCTGACACTTCTCCTCAGCCTACTTTTAGCTGTCTTGATATCGTCGAACGAGAATCAACTTGCGTCGCGACTACGCCTATACTGCTAGTCAGTCTGCTGCACCCGCCTTTATTCCTCCCTAACTCTCGGAACTTCGGCTGTCTGACGTAAAATGCGTCTCGCATCTGCCGCTCCCCCGTTTTGCCGAAATTCGGCCGCCTGATGAAGTTGTTTCTTCGCGAACATTTGCGAAGCATTGCAAAATGCTTTGAGCGGTTGCCCATGTATACAGAATTTGCGTTCCAGAATGGCGAGCCACGTAGTTACGAAGAGGTTTGCAACAAGGAATACGCGCTGTTGCAGTCCTCGAATTACCGTAACAATCAGGGATATGTACATAACAGCCACCAAGGAATTTCGGTGCCTCCAAGTGCAGACACAGCTGCAAGAGACAGGCAGCTAAGGTTTCTCAGCGAAGTAAAGCAGACATACATTGAGGCATACACAGAAACAAGAAACAGACAAGCCTACCAGACTCAAGTACAAAGACTCTGCGCCAGATACAAATAAAATTTAAACGGCACCTGCTGTCAATTCTACTGAAGTATCTTAGAGCACACTCCATTCCACACCACGCCCTAGGGATTGATGAAACACCACACTGAATTCTGTCTTTTGCTGAAATTTGATAGCACCAGCTCCAGCCAAGGGATGCCAGCCAAGCAACTCCAGTCAACCAAGCAAAGGCCACAGGTGGATGCTGAACCCTAAATGCAGGATTTGAGAGAGTCGCACTACTCCCTTCCCTGCCCTCTTCCGCTGCTTTCACCATAAACCCTAGCAGCAGCTGCATCCTTGTATCACCCAGCACACTCACAACAGACACCAGAGCTTTGACAAAACGTCTTAAAACTTTCAAAAAACCCCAGACAGAAATGACGCCATAGCATGGGCACAAGGCAAAGCACAAGCGCACAACCCACCACAACTGCATGCCAAAACTCACAACATCACACACACACGACGACCCATTTGAAACCCAGTAATGTCGGCTCCAAACATCAAGCACCAAGCTTTGACGCTTGCCCAAAGTTCATGCAACCCTCGAGACAACGATTGCCTGCAGCCACTGCCACAGCTGCGGCCACTGCCACTTATGCCGCCACTGCCGTCACTGGAGGTGCTGCCAACACTATCACTACCGCCGATGCTGCTGCCACACTGCCGCCGCCGCCGCTGCCGCCCCCGCCGTCGCCGCCGCCGCTGCTTCTACTGCCACTCTGCCCTGGTGACTCCCGAGTCGACTCAAAAGTCGCTTTGAGTCAACTCAGAAATGCTACTGCCAGTCTACTACTGCTGCCACTTCTGCTACTGCTGCCACTTCTGCTACTGCCACTCTGCCCTGGCCCAGCGACCGAAAGCCTGCATGTGGCACTTATGATGTGGGTTGACTGGTGTGAACCTTCAAGAACCCCTGAGGATACAAGAACCCCTGAGGATAAGCGCCTTTGAAAACCAGCCCCCCTTTCCCGCAGGCATCAGCTCACACCCCTACTTCCACCGAGCATTAACTCACAGCCCTACCTCCCCTCTCCTCCCCTCGCCCACCACCAGAACCCTCTGCTCCCCCTCGCGGCCTCCAACTTCCCCCACCCGCTGCTCCCCCTCCCCCCTCTCTCCCTCTCCCTCCCCTCCCCCCCTGCCACCTCCCACCCCCTCGGCCCTCCCCATACCCCCACCGCCCCCCTTGCCCCCTCCCTTGCCAATCCTGCGCTCCCCCTCTCCCCGCTCCGTAACCTCCCCCTCCCCTGCCTCCGCCTCCCCCTCCGCCCCCCCCTCCGCCTCCCCACGCCCCTGATCTACCGCCATAGCCCTGTCCTTCCGCCCCCATGCCTCTGCTTGCGGATTCCCTGTCCTGGCCGCCCCTGCCCCCCCGCCCAGAACCAACTGCTGCTGCCGCTGCTGCCGCTGCAGTTGCTGCTGTGGCTGATGCTGCAGCAGCAGTACCACCAGTACTGGCACCAGTACCGGGACCAGCAAGGCCACGGCCAGCAGGCCCTCCCCGCCCGCTGCCTTGCAAGCGGCTCCCTTGCTGCAGCGGGGTTGCGGCAGAGGAAGGGAGCGGCAGGATAGCAGCAGCTGCTGCTGCCGCTGCTGCCGCCGCTGCTGCCCCTGCCGGTATTATTGTTGGACCCACTGTTTTCACTACCCCTCCTGCTCCTGCTCCTGCTCCTGCCCCTGTCCCTACAGCTATTCCTGTCACTCCTGCTGACGTGCTTCCTTGTATTAATGTAGCAGATGCAGCCCCATCACTCGAGCCTGAGTACAGCGGCACGGATGGAGAGGCTCGGGAATCCATCCGAGCCTCACCAGCAGGTTCGGCGCCCGTTCCAGTCACAGCGGAATCTCGCACACTCTGCTGATTAACCGACAACTGCCGCTGCTGCTGTTGCTGCTGCCGTTGCTGCTCTGCTGTGCTTGCAGCAACGCCCACACCCGAGCCTACCCCTCCTACTGCCGAATTCCCCACGCCTGCCCCTACATGCCCTCCCACATCCATACCTAGAAGAGCCTCAGCCATCGATCCATCCAGGATCGGCGAAGGGGACGACGCTGGCACGCCGATCTGCCCGAACTGGAAAACGGGCAGCTGAGAGCCGGAGTTGTTTTCATCCTGCCCGAGAGAGCCCATACTGAAAGGGATTGGCATGGAGCCGATTTGGATCATATAAGGGGCCACTCCTGACTGTGCTACAGACGGAATTCCCTGTGAAGATGACGAAGCAGACACAAACGAGGATGACACAGACGGGTATGAGGACGCACCAGAGCCAAACGCGTCAACGGTATGCGGAGGGAGGGTTGGGGGAAGACTTGAGGGAAGGGTTTGGGGGAGAGATGGGGCGAGCGCCTGGGGAAGGGACTGGGAAGGAGAGACCAGGCCCACAGACGCGTCTGGGCCAATGGGGGACCGGGAAACAGGGGAGGAAACTGAAGGAGCGATGGGAGTGAGAGAGGCGGCAGAGGCTGAGGGGAGGTGCGGACTGGGGGAGGTGGATGGCGTTATCCCGCTGGTTCTGCCACCTGGCAAAGTCGCGGTGATTGATGACGTGACAGCATCGGTGACGTCAGCATCTGACGTGGCAGACGGGGATATTTTTGAGGCCGATGAATTGGGTTGGTCCTGAGCGTCGACCTCGAGTTTCGAGGCAAGAAGCGCGCCAAGCTCGTCCACCACGTCTGCTGACGTGGCATCTGGTGAAGGTTTGACTTGCATTGACCCTGTCGATTGCTGTTGAGTCTGCTGTCCCCCCTCCTGCTGCTGCTCTGGCGTTTCCCCCTTTAACTTCTGTGCTTGCTGCTGCTGCTGCTGCTGCTGCTGCTGCTGCTGCTGATTCTGATATTGCTGTGACGCTGCAATCCCCTGCTGCTGATGCTGCTGGTGTTGCTGCTGCGGGTGCTGATGATGCCGCTGCTGCTGTTGAGAGCATCCCCCCTCTGGCCCTAAAGGCCCCCTCCGTCCCTCCAGATGATCCCCCGGCGCCCCCCACCGCCTATCCCTTCCGCCCACGCCCCCATCCACGCCCCCCAGTCCGCCTTCTTCCCGCCCATAGTAATCCCCCCCCTGGCCATCCCCCCTGCGCTCTTGATAATGTCTCCCCCCAAGCCCCGCGGGGCCCAATCCCCCCGGCTCCCCCACCACCCCCACCGCGCGCCCCATCCCGCCCCCTCCCCCCGCAGCCGCGCCGACCGCGCCTATGGGGTTGCCTGGCAGAAAGCGCCCCACGGGGCCTGGTCCGCCAATGTACTGGTTCCGCATGGGTGTGGGCCCCACAGACTTATCAAAGTACTGGTGCGGCGCACCCGGGGGGGCTCCGCCTGGCGGGCCCGCGAACGGCCCTCCCCCGCCCCCTGCTCCCCCTGCGCCCATCCCCATGGCAGAATGCGCCCCTCCGCCTGCGCCGCCGCCTCCGAGCATGTGAAACCCGCGCGTGATGTCCCCGTTTCCGAAGAACGAGGAGGACGGGGGGGATATGGTGACGGGGCGGTGCAGCAGGGGGGGTTGCTGCCCATGCAGGTGGTGCTGCTGCGGAAGGGGCATCCCGGGCGCGGAGTGGTGCGCGTGCGCGTGGTGAGGGTGCGCGTGGTGCGGGTGCGCGTGAAGCTGCGCATGCGGGGGCGCGTGCGGGGGGACCAGGAGATGCGACGCACCGGGAAACCCCCCCCCGGGACCAATCATCCCCGGCGGAAAAAACTGCTGGTGCATCTTCCAGGGAGCAAACCCTAATTCCCCGCCATTTCCCCCCGCGCCACCAAAATCCCTCCCAATCCCGCCCATCTCCCCCATACCCCCAACTCCCCACATATCTTGCTGCCTGTCGCCTAAATACCGCTCCTGCGACCCGTGCGTGTCTATGTGCGATCCAGGATAGAGCGGTTGATTGTAGGCAAAGGACGAGAGCATGGGGCCTGCGCCGGGGTGCCTAGAGGGGTACGGCGCATGGTACGGATCCATTCCGCGCAACTCCGCCCCAGGGGGAAGCTCTGGCGTTGTCCCCTTGTTCTGCTCCGCCGCTTCCCACTGCCGCCGCCGCCGCCGCCGCCGCCTGCTGCTGCTGCTGCGGCTGCTGTTCACGCTGCTGCTCCTGCTGCTCGTTGAGCGCTTCTGCTTCCCCGCGCGCCTGCTTCTCCGCATCGCTTTCCGCTTCCACCGTCACTTGCCCCGACCCCGCGCCTTCTCCCGCCGACTTCCCTTCCCCTCGCCTTGCGTTCCCCTGGCCATCCTCCAAGCTTCCAGCCTCCGCCCCCGCCTTATCCAATATCTCCTGCTTCACAGATTCTGAGACTTCCGCCGTTGCGCCACCCACATCGCCTAACACCTGTCCATCGGCCCTACCGGCTGCCGCTTCTGCCTTGCCACTAGCTGCCGCTGCTTCTGCCGCGTCTGCTGCAGCGTCTGCCCTATCCGAGTCTTCCCAGCTATCTGCCACCTGCTCCGGCTGCTTCTCCTGCTCCTGCTCCTGCTCCTGCTCCTCCTTCGAATCTCCCTCCCCGTCGCCTCCCCCTTCCGCTCGTCTCGCCTCCTCCTCCGCTCGCCTTTTCGCAATTCTCTCTTCCAGTTCCTGCAGTTTCTTCCTCGCGTTTTCCTTCCGCCGCTCCTCCTCGTCCCGGATCCGCTGCTTCTCCTCCTGCACTTTCCGCCGCTCCTCCTCCAGCCTCCGCGCGGCTGCTTCCGCCTCCATCTGCGCGCGAAGTTCCGCCTCCCGCGCCTCCTGCTCCGCGCGCGCGCGCAGCTCCTCCTCCTCCCGCGCTTTCCGCACCATCTCCTCCTCCTGCTGCCGCGCCATCTCCATAGCTCGCTGCTCCTCCTCCTCCTTCCTCTGCTTCTCCTGCTCCTTTTGATTCTGAACCCTTTCTAATTCCGCCTCGAACCTCTCCCGCTCCAAATCGCGAAATTCGCTGGCGGCGGCGGCGGCTTCCGCTTCCTCCTTCTTTTTCCGCGAAAGCGCAAGGAGAGCCAGGCTAGGAGGCGGCTCCACGCCGACACGTGGCAGCGACTGGAACTCAGGCCGAGGCAATGACACGTCACCGAACACGTCACCTCCCATAAACCTCTCCCCGCGCTCACGCGCCCCTCCCAGGCCGAACGACCGCGAATGTAGATCACCACGGCCACCACCAAACCCGCCGCCAAATCCGCCGCCGTATCCGCCGCCAAATCCGCCTCCTCGCCCGGAAAATCCCGGGCCGAAACGGTCGAAATCAGGCTGATACCCTGGACCTCCAATCCCACCACCTCCACCCCCACCACCGCCGCCACGCCCCCCACGCCCCATAGCTGCCCCTGGCGGCCCATCTCTATACCCCCTTCCCCTGCCCATCTGCCCTGGACCCATCGCACCTGGACCCATCGGGCCTGGGCCCATACCGCCTGGATGCATTGAACCTGGACCCATCGGGCCTGGACCCATGTGCCCTGCACCCATGCCATAAGGAGGCGGCCCGTCCCACTGCCCCGGCCCTCCAAACCCTCCTGCGTCCCTCCCACCCCTTTCGTCGAAGTAACCGCCGGGTCCCGGCCCTCTGGAATCAGCAGGGCCCCTAGAATCGCCATAGTAACCAGGCGCGTTCCCTCTCGGACCAGGGCCGCCGCGAGGAGGACCCGAATCTCGCTCGTCGTCGGCCCACATGCGACGGGGCGGGGACGGCAGGCGAAACGGATCCGGTCGCATGGGCCCGGCGAACGGATCCGGTCGCATAGGCCCGCCATCGCCGGACCCGCGAGGAGGAAAATTCGGCTCTTCCTGTCTGTCTCGATTCAACGAAGGCTTCCCAAGCGGCGCTCGATCGTCCTGCTCTTGATCAGGCTCGTCATCCGCCCAACGCCCCATACCTCCCAGACCTCCCATAGCTCCCATAGCTCCCGTACCTCCCCTGTTGCTTCGGCTGCCCCCGCTATCTGGCCCTGCTCCTGTCTCCTGCCCGGCGACGCTGCTTCGGCGACCGCTGTCGTGTTCCCCTGAAGCGTCCACTTTGTTGCCAGAGCTCCCCCCTGAGGGTACAGGCGGCTGGGGGCTCTTACCCCGAGAGTGCTCCTTCGTCAGCACCTTCTTGGCAGCTTCGAGCGACGGGAAATCCTCCCCGCTGATGATGGATGGCTCGTTCTGCCGCCCAGGAGGAGCAGGTTTCGCGGAAGGTGCTGCAGGTGCCATTCCGATTCCGGTCCTAGCCCCTGGGGGTTGATATACCCCCGGACGAGAGGCACGGGAAGCATCGCCGGAATCTGCTCCGGAAATTGCGGAAGATTGGAACCCGTGCTGTCCAGAAGCAGCATTGACGTCAGAGGCCGATGGCGTGGACCCCAGTGGTTTGGTAGACGAGGAATCACTAGCGGATCCGTCTGAAACGAGTACAGGTTTCTGCCAGCCGGATCCAACGCCGGTGGGCTGTACCAGGGACACGGATGGGTCGTTTCCTGCGTGCTCTCGCCGCAAAGACGGCAAGTTTACCGGTTTAGGAACGACTAGCCGTGACTTATGCGCAGATCCCATTGATGTTGACCCAGGTCCTGTTTTCCCCAAGACGACCATTCCACCAGAGGATGCAGATTTTCCGAATTTCCCGCTGCCATGGCCGCTTCCACTTTGTGAATGACTTGAGCTTTGCTTTCCGAAGGAGTTGTTAAGGTTGACACTCGTGAACTTATTGCGATTGGCCATTCCCGGCTAAAAGCCGCGAGAAAAGAAGAACGAATAAGAAACCGAGATTGACGACCGATTGTGAATCGCTGTGGAGCTTGTAGAGCATGGCAAGACGGGGTACGCTCTAAAACTGCTCACAAGCACTCGTACGCTTAGAACAAATCCCAGATACGCATACAACAGACACCAGTGTTCCAGCTACCAGACTAAGGCTTGATCTGGAGAAACCCTAGACCAGATCTGCCAGCAGAGGTACGAAAAAAGAAACGTTGGATGGAGGTGAAGCAGATCGGGCTGGGAATCCCGCTTGAGGGGGGCCTCGTGGGGGGTGCGGTGTGGTGGGACCTTGGGAATGTCGCGGTACTTTGGGGGAGTCTAGGGGAGTGGTGAGGAGCTGGTAGTGAAGAGTTGCGTAAACCTAGGAACATAAAAAGGATTGAGGATGACACCCTGTGTGAGAAAAACGATGCTTCTGGATGGATTTCCGATGAGACGAGCTTGCGCGAAAAGGTTTGCGGTCGGTGTACTGATGTTACCAGCAACAGCGAGGCTGAAGGAGATATCTGTGGCGGGAACGAGTTATCATCATGATGGGTGCTCCGATCCTTCACCCCAACTGTCCAATAGGCAACCAGCAATTTACGTACTTGGTGTGGTGGTGGTCATCCACATTATAAAGCCCCGAACGAATCACTTTGTTGCTGAAGCGTTCGACTTAAAGAGTTTACTAAACTTTGGAAGTTTTATACTAAAGATATACCATGCATGTTGTGATGCAGATCCAACATACCTAAGTCTAAATATGAAATATCTATATTTTTATATGCTTGAACATGGTGAATACTCGATATAGGTAGAATTTTTTACCAAACTCCTGTAAGGTCAAAGATTACTTTACCATTGTAAGGGTTTAGTTTCTGGAACACCAATATAGAGCTCTAGCGTCATGGCATTCACCATAACGAAGTTCTCCAAGAGATCGGCGTTGGCGAAACCCCAACCACCAACATCTTCGTTGCGTTTGTTAGCAATTCGCTTTGGGCTTTTTTCGCAGGGTCAGCTTCGAATCGCGGATGAAGGAGGTGTGCCTCAAACGAAGAGTGTGGTCCTGGGCAGCGGTAAAAGTGAGGTCTAACCCAATGGACAACAAAAAAAAATATGATTGTATTGAGGAGGCAGCACGAATACCCCGCGTCCTTTCTCGGGAACTGTTTTCTCGACAACTGTTTTCTCGAGTTCTTTCTCGTCAACCCCGGGAGTCCTCTTCCTGACCCTCTCAAAAGCCAGCCTCTTGGGCCGGACAGGTGATGGTTACTCAGAAGTACGGGAAGTGGGTGGGTTGTGTTTCCATCTTGAGTAGGTTTGAGTTGCTTGCGCCTTTTTTCGGGTTGTAAGGAAGGCCTACTTGACAATGGGAAAGGTGGAAGACGATGGAGGGTAGAGCTAGCTTGTCTGGAGCGAGGAACATACAGGTTTTGAACGATTAGGGTTGCGTTAAGTTATAATTTCCCGGTTACGGTAACAGCGTTTGGACAGAACCAAGCGTCGAAGTTGAGTGTCTGATGTTGTAGAGAGGACAGGCAGGCGTCAATTAACATGTATTTTGTATGTCGGCAAAGTTAGGTATTTTGGTGCGGGTCGATCCATCCGAGCACCACATATTACCTCGCGCATTTCGCCTCACGCATCGCGGTTGACGTTTCCGCTTAACAGTTTAATACAGCTTTCCAATCGGGCCGCTAACAAGTTTCTACCTGGTTATTTAGTGACACCGTCCCTGCAGGAGTGATCGTGTTGCTAAGACTAGTCTGTTCGCAAATAAAAGTAGTTAGCTTGTAGGGAGGACGGTGCTACACGTATTATGAATAACGTCTCGTAGTTCTTCTTTTCCTTCTCATCCTCGGACCGCGAGAGTACGGCCATGAATAACGGCGGTGGAGGTCTTCCCGGCGCGCCTGAGGTGAGACTCAATTTTCGCGGATTGAGGACGGCATCACGTGTGGTTTTTTTACTAATAAACAACTGCTTTTTTAAGACGATGAAAGGAAAGTATCGACCCAAAACTCCCTTTCCGCCACGGCTCCCAGGAGGTGAGTAAATCTGCGCGAATTGAGAGCTCCATAACGTGTGCTCAGCTGGTTATAAAACTCAGTTTTAATAGATCCCGTACTCCCATCGGGGTCACCGGATGGGAGGTAATCTGCTGTTAGATTGAGAGCGACATCTCTTCCGATTGGTTGGTTTGAAAGGTACACCTGTTGCTTTACGTTCCCCTTTCCCCCAACCCGCTTCTGGCCCCTTCCCCGCTTCCCACCCTGTCCCCCGTGCGCCAGCCATGGGTGGAGCGCGAGTTTGAGAAGCGCATGAGGCAGCAGCTGCCGCTGGGTGGTCCCCCCTTCCCGCCTAATTCTCTTTCCGCGTCTTCCGCCTTCGTTTTCCCCATTTCCTTCTCCCCCTTCTCCCTGCACCAGCCATGGGTGGAGCGCGAGTTGGAGAAGCGCATGGGACAGCTGCTACCGCTGGTGGAGGAGTCTTTCTCCGTTGCTTCCTCCCTGGCTAAGGTCCGTTGCTCCGTTAATTTGTTTCACTCTTGCTATTCCTTTGATCTTTTCGCTCTGAAGTCTCTCAAACGTACGATTCTCATATTTTTTCTTCCCCATTTCCGCGTCCTAAATATTTGTCTTTTCTGCCCCATGTTGATGTTTTTCCCTCCTAACAGCAATTCGTGCAGGACCCAGCAGTGGATGCTCTAGTGGAGGATGACGATACAGCCTACGCTGTTGAAGAGCTTGTAGCGGATCTCGCTTCTAAAGGTGAGCCAGCTTGTAACGCGGATGCAAGACTGAGTCCCTTGTAGCATGGATGAGTGACTGAGTCTGCTTGCAGCGCGGATGCAAGGCCGAGCCTCTTTGAAACGCGGATACGAGACTGAGTCTGCTAGTAACGCGGATGGTGTGACTTTTTTTCTTGGGAGTTGCTGCTTGTCCCATGTTTTGCCCATTTGTGGCCCGCCCCTCCCACAGGCATCACAGGTGCAGCGGATGTGAACGATGCTGCTGCGTGCCCTTTCTCCTCCACCCACCTCTCCTTTTTTTTTGTCGTTTCTCTACAGGCATCCCAGGGGCAGCGGATCTGGACGATGCGCTGCAGCAGTTTGGGTCGGAGCAGATCGCGGAGTCTGTGGTGGCTTACTTCGATGTGCTCATGGCGGCCGTGGATGGGCACCTGGAGAACGAGGGCGCGCCCAGTGACGGCGAGGCCAGTGAGGGAGCGAGTGAGGGAGCGAGTGAGGGAGCGAGTGAGGGAGCGAGTGAGGGTGCGAGTGAGGGAGCGAGTGAGGGTGCGAGTGAGAGGGGAAGTGGGAGCGATGGGAGTTTCAGGAGGGGGAGGAGGGGCGTGGGGAGGGGTGGTAGAGGAAGCGAGAGTGGGAGTGGGAGTGGGAGTGAGGAAGGGAGTGTGATAGATGGTCGCGAGGAGGAGGAGGATTATGAGGGGAGAGGGGGGATGAGGGGGGGAGGAAGGGGTGGGATGGATGGGCATAGGCATGAGAGAGGGGAGAGTAGAGGGAGTGAGTCGTGGGACGAGGAAGGGGAGGAAGGGGATAGCTATGGGGAGAGTGAAGAAGAGGACGAGAGGGGAGGAGCAGGAGGAGGAGGGGGAAGAGGAGCGAAGGGAGGAGGAGGGGGCAGGATGGGAATGGAGGTAGATGGTATGGATGATATGGATGAGGAGGGGAGGCTTGATGAAGGGGAGGGTGATATGGACGCAGAGGAGGAGGGGTACAGGCGAGAGGAAGGGGGAGTGGGGAGGATGTGGGGGGAGGAGGATCGAGGGCTAGAGGTAGTAGAGGAGGAGGATGAGGAGGAATTAGAGGAGGAAGAGAGAGAAGGGGAGGGTAGGGGTACGGGGAGGTTGCTGGGCGCTGGGAGAGTGAGTTTTCGAGAGGGAGGGGGGAAGGTGGTGTATGGGGGGGAGGAGGAGGGTGGGAGTGAGGTGGAGAGTGGGAGTGAGATGGGGAGTGGGAGTGAGAGGGGTGATGATAGCCGGGGGGATATGAGAGGGCGGGATGGGAGAGGCGGAAGGGTGGGGGAGGGTTCGGAAGGGGAGGGGGAAGAGGATGGTATGTCAATGAGTGGTGGAGATGAGAAGCAGATAGATGTAGGAAGGGAGGGGAGGGAAGGGTCTGGAGATTGGACAGAGGATGAGGAGATGAGAGAAGGGGAGGAAGGGTTGAGTGGGAGTGATGTTGAGGGGGGAGTGGGGGGAGCGCGGGTGGGGGTGGGGGGATGAACGTTGGGGAAAGGCAGGGGAGAGGAATAGGTGAGTTAGGAGGAGAAATGGGAGACTCGGATCAAGGGTCGTTCGACGACGATGATGATGATGACGACGATATTCCCTTGGCCGAACCGGGAAGGGAGTATCATTCAGGGTCAGAGGAGAATGAAGGGGAAGGGGAGGAGGATGAGGAGGGGGTGCGGGGTGATACTGGCAGTGTAATCATACACGATGGTATGAGCGCCGCTGGCTCAGCCCGAGGCTCCTTCCGAGGCTCACTTGCTGACTCGGGGTCTTTCCGAGGCTCTGTCGGAGGTTCGGCACGAAGCGGGGTTGGCGCGTACCAGGGTGCAGGCATGGGATTTCCGGAGCAGGAGGAGGGGGTTTTCGATGATGATGATGATGATGATGATGACGATGACGAGGATATTCCTCTTGCCGAAGCTGGAGGTTCGGGAGATTATGGTTCAGGTTCGGACAGCGATGTGGTGCCGATTGCACAGCCAGGACGATTACTGGACCTGGATGGGGAAGGCTTGGGCGATTTTCAAGGCGAAGAAGATATGTTCGGGGAGGGGGATTCCCAAGGGGCGGCTTCTCAAGAGTCTGGCTCCCAAGAGGGAGATTCCCAAGAGGGAGATTTTCAAGAGGGGGCCTCTCAGGGGGAAAGTGATTCTCAGGACGAAGCTGGGTTGCCAGAAGAGGCTGGTTCTGTCACTCCTGACAGTCTATCAGGGTCCGGTGAAGAGACAGAGGATGACGACGATGATGATGATGATGATGACGATGATGATGATATTCCGATAGCCATGGTGAACCTGTCAAGCCAAAGCAACAACAGTAGCTTCGGCAGTCTGGGGGGCAGTGGCGGTGCTGGTGGTGGTGCGGGTGGCAGCGGCAAGCACGATTTGCCGCACATTCCAGCGGCAATCAAGGCTTTAAGATCGCAGCATTTCGACGTTCCCCACAAACCGCTTACAGGGTCAGGGGGCCTGGGCAGTCCGAGAGTTGCTGCCCTCAGCCGCCCGGGCGCAGCCGGTTTCGTTCGTCCGATGCCACCCACCGCCGGCCGCGTCAACTCTTTCTCCGTCTTTTCCGAGCCGCCCCAGAAGCTGCCGACCAACCGGGTGAACTCCTTCTCTGGACACCGTTTGCAGGGGGACGGCGTGCCTCTAACCCCGACTCCCCCGCCTCATCCACACCCGCCCATGTCAGAACGAGACCGGCTACTAGCCGCACGAGTGAACTCTTTTCAGATGCGAGCTGTTAGCAGCAGCCCTCGGGCAGCAGCAACAGCGAATAGAGTGAATTCCTTCTCGCATCCGGCTAGTGGGCTGGCATCCCCCCTTGCTATGGCGGCCGGGCGGGTAAATTCGTTTAATGTGGACAACCGGCCAGGGACTGGGGGCGGTGCAGGTGGGATTCCGTCCTCTCCTCTGGCCAATCGGGTGAATTCGTTTAATGTGGACGGGAGGGGTGGGAGTGGAAGTGGGTTTGCAGGGTCGCCGCTTGCCAATCGGGTGAATTCGTTTCAAGGGGTGGGGGTGGGTGTTAGGGGAGGGGGGGCGATGGGGATGGGTGAGACAGGGGTGGGGCATGGGCGAGGTTCGGTTGGATTCGGTGGTGGTAGGTTTGGGATGGGCGTGGGAAGGGGGAGGGGGGCGGCTGGTAGTGGTGGTAGTGGCGGTTTTAAGGTGCCTTCTCGTGATTCCTTTGACGGGGAAGTGGAAAATGAGGATGAGGAGGATGAGGAGGAGAAAAAAGGGAGAGGAACGGGGGAGGGTCATAGGGATGGGGATAAGGGGAGTGGCGGAATTAGCAGGAGCGGCAGTGAGAGGAACGAGGAGGATGAGGATGATGCTTCGTCAGCAGCAACAGATGAAGGGGAGGGGAGCAGTGATGGGGAGGAGATGAGCGAGGAAGAGGAGGGAGATGGGGAGGAGGAGGGGATGGGGAGAGGAAGAGGGAGGTTTGGAAAAGGAGGGGAAGAGAGTGCGAGCGGGAGTGGTAGTGAGGGTGAGAGTGAAGGGGAGAATGGCAGTGAGGGCCGGAGCAGGAGTGGGAGCGAGAGGGAGAGTGGAAGTGACAGGTCCGTATCTGACAATGAGGATTATGGGGAAGAAAGATCCGATTCTGCTTCTGCTGGTGCTGATTCTGTCAGTGTGGGCAGGGGGCGGGGGAGAGGGAGGGGGAGAGGGAGGGGGGTGGAGGGGGTGGGTGGCAGGGAAGGCAGGGGGAGGGGGCGCGGGCGGGGCATGGGGAGGGGCAGGGGAAGGGGGGTAACACCTGCTGGTGACGATGGAGAGGGGGAGAGTGGAGGGGAGGAGGCAGGGGAAGGGGTTGGTAGAGGGAGGGGGAGGGGGAGAGGGAGGGGGCGGGGCAGAGGGTTGGAGATAGAAAGCCCAGGAGTTGTGGGGAGAGGCAGGGGAAGGGGGCGGGGGAGAGGGGAGGGGGTGGAGGGGCGGGGGAGAGGACGGGGGGAAGGGATGGAGGGGAGAGGCCGAGGGGAGGGGCGGGGGGAAGGGGCGGAGGGGCGAGGGAGGGGGAGGGGGAGAGCGGGAGAAGGGGGGTTGGCAGGAGGCCGAGGGCTTACAGGCAGAGGTTTGGGGAGAGGTGGGAGGGGGAGAGGAATAGGACGGGGCGGAAGAGGGGCCGATGGGGAATTAACCCTAGAAACAACTTCTCCAGGAGCAGCAGGGGCAGGAGCAGCAGGAGTAGGGGCAGGAGGAGTAGGGGCAGGAGGAGTAGGGAGGGGGCGCGGGCGGGGGGTAGGAAGGGGCGTGACAGGGCGGGCGTTCATACACACAGATAGTGACCCGGGCTTAGACCGCGTGCCAGGAGGATCTATGGAAATAGACGACGCGATGGCCCAGTACAGCCGTGCACCGACCCTGCCTATAATGAGACAAGCCAATGCCAGCCCAACGCAGCATGTGCCGCCGCCCCTTCCGGTTGCTCCGTCCCCTAGTGGCAGTGTGGGCGGTGCTAGGGGCGGGTCTAGCTTCCTCAGATCTACCTCCACCGGTTCTGCCTCCCCTGGGTCTGCTGGTCCTTCTCCTGCCGCCTCTCCTGCTGCACTTGCAGGAGCAGCAGGAGCAGCAGCAGTGGGGGCTGTGGGGGAGGTGTCAATGTCTCCTAAGCCGTTTCCGCCAACGAGGGACAGGAGGAGCGGATCCGGAGGGGGGAGTGGTGGAGCAGGGCTAGGAACGGTGGTGGAGGAAGGGGCTGAAAGGGGAGTGGAGATGTGGACGGGTGAAGACGGAGCAGCAGCAGCAAGACCAGGGGCAGCAGGGGCAGCAGGGGCAGGGGCAGGGGCAGGGGCAGGGGCAGGGGCAGGGGCAGGGGCAGGGGCAGGGGCAGGGGCAGGGGTAGGGGCAGGGGCAGGGGCAGGATCAGGGGCAGGGGCAGGGGTCGGGGCAGGAGGAGGGAGTGTGGGAGTGGGAGAGGGGGGGTGAAGCGAGTGAGTGTGGGGGTAGGAGAGGAGGTGTTGATTCCCCTTGTGCCCACTCCCCCTGGAGGAGCAAAGAGAAGCCCGTGGGGGAGCTTTGGGCGGAGGAGCTTCAAGAGGGTTAGCAGCAGGCAGGAGGCGGATGTAGAGGCGGAGGAGGATGGGGGAGGGGGAGGGGGGGCGGTGAAGGGAGGGGGTATGGGCGTGACAGGAGCGGGAGTGGTAACTGGCATGGGTGCTGTTGCTGCTGCTGCTGTTGCTGCTGTGGGAGCCTCTGGGTTTGAGGAGAAGGAGAAGGATGAGGGACTTGAGGGGAGAGAGGTGGGAGGAGGAGAGGGGGGAGAAGAGATGGGAAGCAGGGATGTAGTGGCAGCTGCAGCTGTGGTTGACGATTCGAGTGATAGTGATGAGGAGGAGAGAAGGGAGAGGATGGAAGAAGAGGAGCATGGGGATGAGAGGAGTGTGAGTGGAGGAGAGAGTGAGGGGTCGGGAGTGGGCGGCAAGAGGAAGCTGGGAGAAAGATTTGGGCGGCTGCCCGGATCGCCTGGGCAGTTTGGGGCAGGTGATCTGGATGAGGAGGTTGGTGCGTCCCCGTCTCGCCGGACCAAGCTGCAGGATGGTTCGGGAGCCGATCAGTGGCAGCTTCGGAAGCATGGCCAGGTTGGGGATGCAGGTCTGGTTACAGGCTCGGCAGCAGGCTTGGTGGAAGCAGCACCTTTGCAGAGCTTCGGAAGCGTTGACATGACAATGGGGGAGGCTGGAAGAGACGAGGAGAGAGTGAAGGAGGAAAGGGAGGGGGAGGAAGAGAGTGTTGGAGAGAAGGGTGAGGACTCTGGTTCGGAAGGGTCAGGTCCGGTGGAGGGTGAGAAGGGTGAACAGGGAGAAGAGGGTGGGGAGGGAGAAGAGAAAGGATTGGAAGTTACTGGTATTGACCAGGAGAAAGTTGGGGGAGAGGATGAGAGGGAGGACGGGAGTGCGAGAGGGAGTGAGGAGGGGAGTGAGCGAGGAAGTGAGGGGGGGAGTGAGATGCACAGTGATTTTGAACAAGAGTCTGACCACAGGTCAGAAGGCTCGGCAGGAGGCTTGGATCATCACAGGCAAGGCTCGGGCGACTGGACTGGTTCGGAACGAGGCTCGGAGCGAGGCTCTGGACACTGGTCTGGTTCGGATTATAATGAAGAGTATGATGAGGAGGGTAGGCCGATAAGCCGAGATGGTAGGAGGCCGATAAGCAGAGATGGGAGACCTGATAGCCGGGATGGGAGGCCTGACGAATATGATGAGGAGGGAAGACCGATAAGTAGGGATGGGAGGCCTGATAACAGTTATGGGAGGGATGAGGATTATGATGAGGAGGGAAGACCGATAAGCAGAGATGGGAGGCCTGATAGCCGGGATGGTAGATGGAGAAGGGGAGAGGAGAGGTGGGAGGGGGAGGAGAGGTACAGTGGTAGTGAAGATGGGAGTGAGCAGAGGAGTGAGAGGGGCGAGGAAGAGGGGAGTGAGAGGGGGAGTGGAGAAGAGGGAGGTGAGTTGAGTGGGGAGGAGGAGGAGATAGAGGAGAGGGCAGACCAGGAGTGGAGGGAATGGGCTGCAAAGAGAGAATCAGATGAGGATAGGGGTTCAGGGAGTGAAAGGGGTTCGGAAGATGAAAGGGACGTTGAGGTTGCAGGGGAAGCTGCTGATGCTGGAGGTTTCGAGGAGGAAGGGGATGGGGAGCAGCGTAGGGGGTTGAGTGCGGTTGAGAGGGAAGATGGGGAGGGAGGCGAGGAGAGGAATCGGAGCGAGGAGAGCAAGAGGATGGGGTTGATAGGGGGCCTGAGTGGCCGATTAGGCTCAGGTTTGATGGGGAGGAGGGGGTCAGGCTTGGTGGTGGATGTGGGTAGGCCGAATGATGAAACAGAGGAGGAGGATGAGGAGGGAGATGGTGAGCATAGCGAGCATAGTGACGATCATAGTGAGCAGCGGGAGCATGAGGAGTGGTCAGGCTCGGACAGAGGCTCGGCCGAAGGTTCGGAGGGTCGCAGGATTGGCAGCGACCGTGGTTCGGCGGGTGTTTTGACTCCAGAGATTACACCCCAGGGTAGCTGGAGGGGTGATGACGTCACACCCCTGGGCAGTTTCAGGGGGGATGATGCGTTAACTCCCCTGGGCAGCTGGGGGGGCGAAGGGGAACTTACCCCGGTTTGGAGGGGTAAAGGGGAGATCACCCCACAGGGTAGCGGGGACTGGAGAGAAGAGGCAGAGAGGGAGAGGGAGGAAGAGGGGGAGGGGGTTTTGACACCTGTTCTAACCCCCCAGGGAGTTGGAGGGGCGAAATGTCAGGGAGCGAGAGAGGGGAAGGGTCAGAAGGGGAAGGGTCTGTCATTGAGTTGCATCAGAGGGAGGGGGATTTGACTCCTGAGCTATCGCCCCAGGGAAGCTGGAAAGACGAGGGGGAGAGGGAGGGGGTTTTGACACCTGAGTTGTCGCCACAGGGGAGTTGGAGGGGGGAGTTTTCAGGGAGCGGGAGGAGGGAAGGGTGGGACGGGTTGGAGGGGGAGAGGGAGGGCAGGTACGAGGATGAGAGGGGGAGTGAGGAGGGAAGTGAGAGGGGGAGTGAGGGGTCTAGAGGTGGAGAAGAAGAGGAGGAGAGGGAGAGGCAGTGGGAGAGTCTGAGGGATGGGGAAGAGGAGGAGGGGAGTGTGAGAGATGAGGATGAGGAGATGGAGAGAGGGGAGAGTGAGGGGGAGCGTGAGGGAGAGAGTGAGGAGGAGGAGAGGGAGAGACAATGGGCCAAGATGCATGCTGGGAGTGAGGAGGGGAGTGAGGATGGGAGGGAGGAGGGGAGTGCGAGGGGGAGTGAGGAGGGAAGTGAGAGAGGGAGTGAGGGTGAGATGGAGGAGGGAATGGAATTGGAGGGAAGTATGGGTGAGGGGATGAAGGGATTAGGACAATTGGAAGAGGGAAGTGAGAAGGAGGGGGAGGAAGTAGGAGAGGAGGAGAGAGAGAGTGGGAGTGATGATGATGATGACGATGATGATGTGGTGGTTGCAGTGGCAGCAGCAGTGCCATCACCACCAGAAGAAGGGGATTTAGATAGAGACGAATACCAAGGCTCGGAGAGAGGCTTGGAGGGCGGCTCGGAAACTGGCTCGGAAGCAGGTCGGAAAGCGACGAGGAAACGGAAGAAGTGAGAGATGGTGGGGGCGAGGGAGTGAAAAGAGAAGGGTTTGGGGGAGGACAGGAGGAACAGAGGAGCAGGAGGAGCAGGAGGAGCAGGAGGAGGAACTATATGAGCAAGACGAACGTTTGAGTGAGGACGAGTTGAGGGAAGGGGCAATGGGGAATGCGAATGGGGACAGGCCTTGGGAGCAAAGGGACGATGGTGATGCTGCAGGTGGGGGTATGAGCGAGAGCGATGGGAGTGATAGCGATGACGATGTTGCTGTTGCTGTGGCCGCCCCTTGTGCTGTGGCAACCCTTTCTGCTGGCTTTGCTGGGGTGGGGCTGGCAGTGGGAGCTTCGACAGGAGAGGGTGGAGAGGGAGTGTATCCGAAGCAAGGCGATGCTTCAGTTGCTCTTATCGAGTCTGCTTTTGACGAGAAGGGGGAGCAGGAGAAGGAGGAGAAGGAGGAGAGGGAGGGACATGAGGAGGAGAAGGAGGAGGAGGAGCAGGAGGGGGAAGACAGGCAGCTGCAGGAGAGGGAGTGGAGGGAGGGGCGTGAAGAGGATGAGGAGGTTGGTGGGGAGGAGTCCAGTAGTGAACGGGGTGGGGAGGAAGAGGAGGAAGAGGTGGAAGAGGAGGAGGAGAAGCAGAGGAGGGGAGCAGAGGCAGTGAGCGGTGGTCTTATGGTGGGGTTGAGGGAAGGAGAGGAGAGTGAGGGGGAAGTGAGTGAGGGAGAAGAGGGTGCAGGGGAGGAGAGAGAAGGGGAAGAGGATAAGGGAGAGTGGAGTGAGAGGGAGGGGAGTGAGAGGGAGGGGAGTGAGAGGGAGGGGAGTGAGAGGGAGGGGAGTGAGAGGGAGGGGAGTGAGAGGGAGGGGAGTGAGAGGGAGGAGAGTGAGGAGGAGGATAGTGACGGGGAGGTGGGGAAGGAGAGGCGACACCGATACCATCAGAACCAGATGGTAGAGGATGAGGAGGAGGAGGGGGAGGAGGCGGATGAGGGTTACAGAGAAAGGGATTATAAGGAGGAGCTTTATAAGGAGTACGGGGAGGATAGAGATGAGTATGAGAATAATGAAGAGGAGGAAGAGGAGGGCAAGTTGGCAGAGAGCAAGTTGGCGGAGGCCAAGTTGGAGGAGGACAAGTTGGAGGAGGACGATAAGCGGAGTGACGTATCGGGGGAGAGTGGGGAAGGGCTGTTCGAGAATGGGGCGGGGGGTGAAGAGGAGAGTGAGGAGGAGGGTGAGGAGGAGGATAGGAAGGAGGAGAGTGAGGGTGATGAGATGGATGTTGGTGAAGGGATTGAAAGACAAAGTGCTGGAAGGATGGAGAGGGAGGAGGAGATGGACGAGAGGGAGGAGGGGGATTACAGGGATTATAGGGATGAGAGAGATTTTATGGTGGAGGGTGAAAAGAGGGAAGATCTTGAGAGTGAGGAGAGTGAGGGAGAAGGGGAAGCGGGGGATGCGTGGAGAGTAAGAGGAGTGGCCGAGAGAGTGGATGAGAGGGATGGGTCCGAGGAAGAGGAAGAAGGGGACAGGGCGACAGGCAGTGATGGTGAGGAGGACGAGGAGGTTGCGACTGGACAGGCTGTTCTGGGGGAGGCCGTATCTGTGAAGCGGGAGGAGGGAGAAGGTAGTGATGATGATGAGGGGGAGGTGGTATCTGTGAAGGAAGATGAGGGGGAGGTGGTATCTGAGAAAGAAGGGGAGGGGGATTCGGAACGGGTATCAGAGGCAGGTGCTTCTGAGGAAGGTAGATCTGAGGATGGGGAAGGTATATCTGAGGATGGAGAAGGTAGATTTGATGATGAGGAAGGTAGATATGAGGACCAGGGAGGTGGGTCTGATGATGAGGAAGGAGCAAATGTTTGGACGGGTGGAGATGAGAGAGTGAGAGAGAGTGGAGAGAGTGGGGTGGAGATGGATGATATTGATAGTGGGGGAGGGGAGGAGAGCAGTGAGGGAGAGTGGAAAGGGAGAGGGGAAGAGTGGGAGGAGGACGAGGAGGAAAGGGAGGCGTTAGCTGCTGTTTCAGCAGCTTCGGCCGCCGCAGCTTCGGCAGCAGGTTTGGCAGCAGCTGCTGCTGCTGCTGCTAAGGCAGCAGCAGGAAGGCGCGGGGATGGGGAAGGGAGGGAGGAGGAGGAGAGGGAGGGAGAAGTGGAGGAGGTAGTGGGTGGTAGTGTGGCAGAATGGGACCAATCTGATGGGGAGGAGGAGAAAGAGGAGGGAGAGGAGGAGGAAGAGGAGGAGATAGAGATGGAGGAGAGAGAGAGGGAGGATGTGGAGAGTGTAAATAAAGAAGTGGAAGAACAAGTGGCAAAAGTGGATGAAGGAGGAGGGAAGAGGTGAGTGATTTAGAAACAGATGGAGCAGCGGGAGCAGAGGAAGCAGATGTAGAAGCTGATGAGTCCCCTGCGGCAATCGCTCTCACTGCTCGCTCCCACCGCAGCGCCAGCTGGAGTCCCCACTCCGCCCACGAGGCTGCTTCCCCTGACAGTCACCCCTCGCCCTCTCTTGGCACTGGAAGCCTTGGCTCCGCTGCTGCTGCTGCTGCTGCTGCTGCTGCCGCCGCCGCCGCTGCCGCCGCCGCTGCTGCTGCCGCCGCCACTGCTGCTGCCGGTGGCGGTGGTGGTGCTGGGGATGGTACTGGCTTAACTGCTGGTGGTGCTGATCCATCTGGGTTTACCTTCGCCCCCCACAAGCCTTCTCCCCAGGTTTCTCTCACCCTACCCGCCCGCCCCCCCATCCTCCCCTCACCCTTTCCCCACACGCCCCCCTCACCCTTTCCCCCAAAGCCTCTCTGGCGCTCTCCCCGCGCCATCCCCCCTCCCCCCCGCCCCAACGCCCCCCCCTGCTCTCCCCCATTTCCCCCCGGGCGCGGCTGGCCACGTACCGTGTGGCTGGGGAGGGGTTTGGGTTTGGTGCGGGGAGGAGTGGGGAGGGGGGAGAGGAGGGGAGGAAGGGTGGGTGGGCTGCTGGTGAGAAGGTGGAGAGGAGGGTGAAGAGGGAGAGGAGAGGAGAGGAGGAGAGAGGGAGAGGGAGGGTGATGATGAGGAGGTGAGTGATCAGGCGAGGGAGGAGGAGGAGAGGGAGGAGGAGAGAAAGGAGAGAGAGGAGGAGAGAGAGGAGGAGATGGAGAGGGGCGAGGAAGGGGAAAAGGAAAGGGAAGGGAAAGGAATTGACGGAGAGGAGGAAGGGGAGGAATGGATTAGAGACGGAAGGTCGGATGAAGGAATGGAGGCGATGGTGGAGGAGAGTGAGATGGAGAGTGAAAGAGGAGAGAGTGAGAGGGGGGGAAGTGAACGAGGAGAGAGTGAGAGGGGGGAGAGTGAGAGAGGCGAGGACGATCTGGGAGAGAGTGATAAAGAGGAGAGGGAAGACGAGGAAGGGAGGGTGGAGGAGCGTGTGAATCAGGTGATGAGGCGAGATCAGACGCGGGGTCAGAGGTAGCACTTGATTCAACTGCCGCTGCTGCCACTGCTGCCGTCGTAGGCACTGCTGCCTCTGCTGCTGATGTGTGGGATGATGGTGAGTCGGAGAGAGAGAAAGGGGAAGAGGGTGAGGAGGAGGATGCGTACAGAGAGAAAGAGAGGTATGGAGAGAGGGAGGAGGTTGAAAGCGAGGGAGAAGAGGTTGAGGAGGAAGAGGAGGAGAGAGCAGAGGAGGAGGAAGATGAGGAGGAGGACGGTCGATCAGATTCTCTTTTGTCTCCGGCCGTCACTCCCCAACCTGGCGCAGGCTCGGCCGAGCCTTCTCCTCACGCTCGGTCTGACGTTGGCTCTGGTGGAAGGTCGGAAGAGGAGGGAGAGGTTTGGGAGGGGGAGGAAGATGGGAGAAGAGGGAGGAGGGAGTATGGTGGGGGAGAGAGTGGTGGGGAGGAGGAGGAAGAGGAGGAGGCGGAGGAGGAGGAGGAGGAGGAGGAGGAGGAGGAGGAGGAGGAGGGAGAGGAGGAGGAGGAGGAGGAGGAGGAGGAGGAGGAGGAGGAGGAGGAGGAGGAGGACGAGGATGAGGTTCGGGGTTCAGGCAGGCGTTACGACTCTGATCAGCGTTACGACTCGGACCAGCGTTACGTCTCTGACAGGCGTAACGAAACGGGCAGACGTAACGGCGACTCCGACGGGCGTTACGACTCGGAGGAGGATCGTTACGACTCGGAAGAATGCTACAGGTCGGACCGACGGTACAAGTCCGAGAAACAGTACGAGTCAGAACAGCAATATGACTCGGAGCAGCCATATGAATCAGAGAGACAATATGAATCAGAAACACAAGACAAGGCGGATAAGCGTGGGGAGAGAAGACGAGGAGAAGATAGGGGAAGGCGCAGGAGCGAGGACGGTGGTTCTGGTGGGGAGGATGATAGGTATGAGAGTGAGAGTGATAGGCGTGATAGGAGGGAAGAGAAGGATGAGGAGCAGGATGGGTATAGGCGAAGGGAATATGACAGCGATGCGTTTGGCAGGAGTGAAAGGGATGAGGAGGAGGAAGAAGAGGAAGAAGATGAGAAGGGTGAGAGAAGGAGGTATAGAGAGGAGACAGGCAGTGAGGGGAGTGAGAGAAGGTACAGCGAGAAGGGTGAGGAGGACGAGGAAGGGGAGGAGGGAGAAGAGGGAGTGAAGGGAGAGGAGGGTGAGGAGGGTGAGGAGAGCGACGAGGAAAGAGAGGAGAGGAGGCGGAGGGATGAAGAGGTATCTGAAAGTGAGCTATCGCCCTCTGCTTCGACTGTGAGTGATGCGGTTCCTGTTGCTGCTGTGGCTTCTAGTGCTGCTCTTGCTGGGACTGCAGGGGCTGTTGCTGCTGGTGTTGCTGTTGCTGCAGCTGGTTCGGAGGCTGCTGCTAAGGTGGGAGAAGAAAGGGACAGAGATGGAGGAGGAGGAGGAGGAGGAGGAGGAGGATGAGGAGGAGGAGGAGGACGAAGGGAAGCAGGAGGAGGAGGGGGAGCAGGAGGAGGAAGAGGAAGAGGAAGAGGAGGAAGGGATTGAGGGCAAGGAGGAAGTCAAGGAAGGGGACGAGCAGGAGAAGGACAGTGGGGAGGAGGCAAGGGAGAGCAGGAGACCCGCCATGGAGCCGGTCCCAGAAGGCAAAGCTGTCCTTCTCACAGGCTCGCTTGCTGCTGGAACGACAGGAGAGGTGGGTAGAAACGAGGAGGAGGAGGATAGTGATGATGATAGTGACGATGACGATGCGCCGTTGGCCTTGGCTGCTGATCCGATAGCAGCTGAAGCCGTGGCGGAGGGACGGCGACTCGGGAAGCGCGAGCGGAGGGAGCGGCGGGCGCGGCTGCGGCAGCAGGAGTTAGGCAAGGGGACGTATGGTGGAGAGCGGTACGGAGGTCATGAGAGCGATTCCTCTGCTATGGAATGGCGGACGGAGGAGGAGGAGAGGAGGGCGAGAGGAGGGGCGGCTGCGGGAGTGCTGGTTCTGGGAGGAACGGTGGTGAAGCTGACTGGAACTGGGGCAGGGGACGAGCCTTTGACGTCGGATGCAGGTGCAGGGGGGTTGGGAGGGGTTGGGGTCGGTAGAGGGGGGTTGGGTGCGGCTATGAGGGCTGGTGTGCCAGTGGTTCCTGTGGTGGACGAACAGGGAGGGCCAGGGAGGACGTTGAGTGGGATGGGTGGTGGAGGGGAGAATTATAACCTTGGCTCTGGTTTCCCAGAGCGGGAGGAGTTAGAGTCTCCTGCTGTGGTGATTGCGCCTGGCCCTGGAATGTTTGATATGGGCGCGGATGTGGCAGGTGAAGAGGTGGGGAGGAGTGTGGGGAAGATGGGAGTTAAGGAGAGGAGGAGAGGGGCGGTGGGGAGGAAGGGGAAACCCGTGAGAACGATGAGTGATGGACGGGGGATGGAGAGGGTGAGGGTGGCAGGGGAAGAGGAGGAGGAAGAGGAGGGGGAGGCAGGGGGAGAGGAGAGGGGAGAGGGGGCGGGGGGGGGGAGAGGGAAAGGGGGAGCCAGGAGGAAGGGCACATGGGATGGGGCTAGTCCGTTGGGATCTGGACCTGGTGCCTGGCGGTTTAATGCTAAGGAAACAGCAGGAGGAGGAGGAGGAGGAGGAGGAGGAAGAGGAAGAGGAGGAAGAGGAGGAGGAAGAGGAGGAGCAGGTGGGGATGGAGTCCGTGCGGCCTCTGGGAGGGGGGTACAACGATTTTGATGCGGTTACTGACATCACCGCTGTTACAGATGCAGACAGCCAAGTGCCTCTGGCGCAAGCTTATAACGAGTACGACGCGGCTACTGACATGACTGGTTTCACTGGCATGACTGGTGTGACAGAGGCAACAGATACTGAGAGTCAGGTGCCGTTGGCTTCTCCTGTTCTCCTGCCTGTGGCAGCAGCTGCTGCTACTGCTGCCGCTGCCGCTGCCACTGCTGGCGCGGCTGCTGGCATTGCGATTGGTGTTGGTGCGAGGGAAAGAGGAGAGGAGGAGGAGGAGGAGGAGGAGGAGGAAGAGGATGAAGATGAGGAGGACGAGGATGTGCCAGTAGCGGGAGCAATCCATTCAGTATTGGAACGTGGGAACTCTGTGAGCAAGAGTGCTCTGGAAATAATTCCTGCTGCTATTCCCACAGAAGGAGGAGGAGGAGGAGGAGGATGAGGAGGAGGAGGAGGAGGAGGAGGAGGAGGATGAGGAGGAGAGAAGAGAGGGAGAAGGGAGGTTTGGTGAGGAGGAAGAGGAAGAAGGAGAGGAGGAGGAAAGCTCATATGAGAGAAGAAGAAAGGAGGAGTATGATGAAGACGAGGAGGAAGAGCAGGAGGTTCAAGAGGAGGGGGAGCAGGAGCAGGAAAGGCCGGTGGACGAGAAGGATGGGAGAGAGGTGGATTCGCCCACCCTGCGCATTTGGCCCGGAGGTTCCCTCATTTTGAGAGCGAGGGGGGCTTAAGCGATCTCAACGCTCCCATTGCCATGCCTGCTCGCAGTGTTCCGAGGGGAGACGGAGGAGGAGGAGGAGGAGGAGGAGGAGGTTCGGGAGGAGGGAGAAAGGGAGGAAGAGAGGAAAAGGGAAGAGGAGAGAGAAAGGGAGGAGAGACAAAGGGACGAGGGGAGACAATGGGAAGAGGCGGAAGACAATGAAGCAGAAAGCGTGGAGGCAGATGAGGAGATGGAAGACGAGAAGAAGGCTGAGGAACGAGAGGAGGGAGAGAAGGGAGAGGAGGAAGAGGAGGGAGAGGAGGAAGAGGAGGAAGAGAAGAAGGCAGACGAGGAGGAAGAGAAAGGCGAGGAGGAAAGAGAAGAGGAAGGGGAGGAGGAAGGGGAGGAGGAAGGGGAGGAGGAATGGTCATCAGACGAAGCAGGAGAAGACAGGGACTCTGTTGCCGAATCAATGCAGCTCGGGGGAGCAGAAGGGGGAGGAGCACGTATGGATTCGATGGAAAGAAGATCTTCCAGCGGGCGGAAGTACCAGAGAAGCCTCAGTGAGGCGAGTGATGCTGATACGCCCCTGGCCATGCCAGTCGCAGTGGGAGGGGCGCGGCAGGCTGGAGGGGAGGATGGGGCGTCGGAGATAGGTGATGGGGAGGAGTCGGATATTGGTGTGCCGATCGCCATGCCCATGGGTCCCACGCCGAAAAGACGAGTGGAGGGAGCAAGGCATGCTGCTACTGCTGCTGGTGGGGGCAGTGGTGGTGAGGAGGAGGAGGGGGAGGACGGAGAGGATGGGGAGGGGAGGGGAGGGTGTGCAATGGACGAGGAAAGTGAGCTGGACGCTCCCATTGCAATGCCGTTAGCAGTGAGAGGGGCAGGAGGGAGCAGGAGGAGCAGCGGCGAAGGCAGCGACGGTGGGAGTGGAGACGTTGGGATGGGGCGTGGTGGTGGTTGGACGGGCAGTGGTGTTGCCGATGCCATCCGGGCCGGTGTAATAGATGATGATGGGATGAGCGTGATGTCTAGTGAGCTTGGCGCACCTATCGCCATGCCTGTCGACGACAGCTTCGGCAGGACACCCGAGGCTACGGACGAGGCTCGGCGGCGAGCGCCGAACCAAGGGTACGCTCTGCTTTCCCGCCACATGCCTCCTGTCGCTTCCACCAATTCCACCCCACGCAAGCCAAAGCACCTTCCGAACCAGAGTCAGCAGCAGCAGCACAGTCAGCAGCAGTCTTACCAGCAACACTCGAAGGAGTTTCCGCTTCCGCCGCAGCAGCAGCACCAACACCCAGAGTCTCAGAGACACCTACCCTCCTCCCATGTTCAAACCCCATCATCCCTTGGCATCTCCCCTTCCTTTGGCCGCCACAGGGCTCCGGCGCAGGTTCGGGCTCTAGCTGCGGAAGGCCTCCGAAGCGGAGGGCCAGGTTCGGCCCATTCCTCCCCGAGGGGTGCAGGTCCGGGATCGAGAGCCTCGTCAGCAGCAGGATCGCCGAGGGAGAGAGGGAGACTGGAGAGCCAACGCTCGTCTTCTTTCAGGGCTCCTGTCCGGTATGTTTCATCCACCCCTCTCTCACTCTCTGTTCTTTCGTTGACTCTCTTTTCCACTCTCTGTCACTCACCCTCTCCTCTCCCACCCATTCTCTATCGCTCGCTCTTTCACTTGCATACCTTAACGTTGCGACTTGAGAGTCTATGTGCTTCCACCTCGGTGGTTGTTCTTGGTTACCTTGGTGTCTCGAATCCTTACTCCTTATGATAAACTCTTTGTTGCTCCCCTCCACCGCTCCACACCCACCTCCACCCTCAGGACCTCGAGCCTGCACTCCGAAGCAGCAGCGCAGGTTCGGCACAGCCCCGGGAAGGACACAGACACAGCAGCAGCAGACGGCGCACAGATGGCTCGTGGCGGGTCCTTATCCAGTCGCCACGCTGGCAGCCATGCTGGCAGCCAGGCTGGCAGCCGACCAGGGAGCTTAGCTGGCAGTCCCAACAGCAGCGGTCGTCTTGCTGCTGCTGCTGGTGGTAGTGGTAGTGGGAGGGTGGCAGCAGGAGCAAGCAGCCTCGGTCCTGGTAGTGGTGCTTCTACCCCAACAGCCGGTTTCCTTGCTGCTGCTGGTTCACCTTCTGCTGCTGCTGCATCTGCTTCAGTCACACCTCATTCTGTCACACCACTTTCAGTCACGCCCAATGGCGAGGGTGCTGGTTTTGATGCTCCCGAGCCTGCAACACCAGTTGCCCAACCTGCCGGTGCTTATCCCGAACCTCCAACTCCCATTGCCCAACCTGCCGCATCTTATGCCGAGCCTCAAACTCCCATTGCCCAACCTGCTGACGGCTTTACCGAACCACCAACCCCTATCGCCCAACCTGCACCTTACGCCGAACCTCAAACACCCATAGCCCAACCTGCCCAGACTTATGACGAGCCTCCAACACCCATCGCCCAACCTGCTGAAACCTATGATGAGCCTCCAACGCCGATCGCCAAGCCTGTCTCCCCACCCAAGCCTGCTCCTGCTCCTGAACCTGTTCTTGAACCTGTTCCCGAACCTGCTCCCAAACCTGCTCCTGCACCTGTTAAAGCTCCTGCTCCTGCTGCTGCCTCTAGCTCGGGTTCGACTGGGATTTCTGCTACAGCCGCCCCTACAGTGGCTGAATCAACTGTTTCAAGTGCCGCCAGTGAGGCAGAGAGTGGAAGACTGTGGGAAGACGATGCAGCAGGGGCTAAGCGGCTCGCTGCTGCTGCTGGTGCGGGGAAGAAGAAAAAGAAGAAGTCCAAGTGGTTCATGTGCTTCGGACCCCCGTCTGCTGTTGACGACTAGCCATATCGACTATCACAGGGTAACACAACTCTGTAAAGGCGACTGGAAAATGACAAGGGAAAAAGGAATTCCATAAATTTGTGCGCTGGGCTGCCTTTTGTTCTCTATGACAAGGCATGGCTGTTCACTTGGCCTGCTTGCCCTTTTGCATGTTCCTAATTTCCAATGTAGCTTATAAGCAGTGACATCCAGTATAGGGTGTCTCCAGCTAATTACTAGCCTCTGTTTTTACACAATAAACTGATAATTGCCCATTGTAGTGTGAGAGTGCTAGGAGGTTCCCTATGGGTTGTGCGCTCTAACTTGGTATGATTCCATGGTAACTTTTATCCCTGATACGGTACACATTTGGTCCCAAAAAATATTTGTTGTCCTCTTCCAAATGGAGGTTTGGGCATTGACTTAGTGTACTCGCTATTGGAAACTCGACACAGTTTAGCGGCTCATACTTTACCACAATAATAAGATCTTAAACAGTCAATCATGCTGTACTGAATGGGAGCTGTATTTTAGTTTCGAATAAGGATTGTGACTGCCAGAACTGAAACAGCTGCAGTTAAGTGCACTCGTGAACTTCCTATAAAGTAGCTCTTCACTACCAAAAAAAGAGAGAAAAAGACAACCGTGCAGTATTGCCATCACTACAAAGTCCAGCATGCCGAGCAGCACCAGGAATGGAATGCAAGCGTACTCCTTTTTTTTCAGAAGTTCCTTGTGCTTTCATCAATAAGCGCATGTGCTATAGTCTCTAAGAGAACACTGCCGTGTTAAGGAGCGATGTGAGCATGCCGAGCACCAGGAACGCGAGCATGGGACTCAAATCCAGAGCTCCAAAGAAAGGAGGCTGCATGGGTATGGGGGGGGGGGGGGGAGGGTGGGGTGGGGGGAACATGTAAATGCAAAAGAACAAGAGAGGAGCGATATGAAGAGCGATGTGAGCATGGGACCCAGATCCAGACCAGAGCTACTAAGGGTGGCTGTATGGCACAGGTGGGCGAGAGAGGGGAGACGTAAGGAGGGGAGTGGGTGGGGGGGGTTGTTGTGAGGGTGGGGGTTAAACGCATCAGAACAAAAGAGAAGCGATGTGAGCATGCCAAGCAACACGAACGCAAGCATGGGACTTAATTCAGAGTTCCAAAGAAAGGGGGCTGCACGTCAAAATGCCGGAGGTGGGAGGAAGGGATGGGAAAGCGGGAGCAAGGGTGGGGGTGGTGCGAGTGGGGAGGAAAATGCAAGAAAACTAAGATACGTGGATGGGTGGGAAAGATATGCCGGCTAAATTCACCGCTATAACAATCTGGAATACTATACGCTTAGTTGATAGGTGTAGGTTAACGAGCATGAAAAGGGGGCGCGAAATGAGGAATGTAACACAAACGAATGTGCTGCAAGAGGACGTAATGAGGTAACAAGGCATGCGTGGCATCGACAACCATGCACGGATCACAGCTACATTCTACTACGAGTGCAGAGACCGGCGGTTACAGTCAGTGCGATCGCACATCTTCATTATTAAAATTTCTCTTTGAAGAACTATCTTTTGACAATTCTCAAAAGTGACTTGGACGAGTGCCGAGACCAGGCGCCTCGGTCAGTGCGTTCGCACATTTTCACGTCATGTCATTTTCAGATTCCATGCATCGCCGAAATAGCGGGAATTGCATAAGTTGCGTGGATCCGTTCGTACCGCGATTGAAACGTCAGCATTGTGAGAAATGCTCACCAGATTTCTTTCTTTCTTTATTTCCTTCTTTTCTACCCGTGTACTCACCAGAATGTTGCGGAAAAGGTTCAAGTAGGGGTCGCTCATATCGCGGATGGCTTGCATTGGCTGCCTCTCCCAATCGATGTTTGGGAACCACGACAGCAGCACGCGAACCAGCAGCAATCCACTGTACAGCTCCAGCCACTTCGCCATGCCGCTCGCAATCACCGTCAGCGGCGTGCTCGTGCTCGCGTTTGATTGGCTAATCGCTGCGAAAAAAAGCGGCGCGGCGCACGCCGCTAGCCGTTTCCCGGAGGTGATCATAGATTGCGCGCGGCCCGTGAGGGTGTCCAATTGGAGCTGCTCGGCGGCAGACAGCGGCGCGAAGAGCCGTCGAAGCGGCTCGAGGACTGCGCGTGCGACGGTAGCTGCTGTCGCCGAAGCGGCTGCGACTGCTGCGACGAAGAGAGCCGCCGGGGGTGGGGGCGCGGAGGGCTGTGCGGCGGCTTGCGCGGATGCGGAGGCGGAGGCGGAAGCGCGGATCGACAGCTGGGCGCAGGATCGGAGAGCAGGAAGGGCGGCTTTTCGTTGTGGCGAAAAGACGGAGATCGCCGCTAGTCTGTGCGACGGTAGCTGGGTCGCAAGGAAGGGAACGACGACCGGGCTCGCCGCTCGCGTCGCTGCTCCGGTCGAATGCGATGATTGCGACAACTTCGCTGAAGCGAGCGACGCTTTGAGGTGAAGCCCTGTGGCTGCCATGGCGCCGATTCAACTGATACGAGAAATTTAGTGGAAAATAATGTGCGACGTACTCTAGCGAACCTTTGCCAGAAACGTTATTACCAGCAGCTGACCAGCCAACAAGCTTGCACAACGAGAAATGAGAAAACGAGAACTCATGATGAGTGTCAAGCAAGATGATATATGTAATCTATCTGCTGTTCAGAGTGGTAATGAGGGAGTGAGGTGTAGCGAGATCGTTGCGAAAAGGGGCTTGGAGCCAGCGAACGAAAATTACTTTCGCGAGCAGCCTAAAGACTACGCAATTCTGGTTAGCGACGTGTAAAGGTATTCACGAGCTGCTCCTCAAGCCCTACTGGTTGAAGTGATTGGATGAGGTTCCAGAACTTTTTGAGGGCATGAGCTGCTGACACGTGCCATGACGACTTGTCCACATAAGCCTCGGTCTTTGGGGGCAATCCGAGAGCGAGCCACATCCGACAGCACGAAATCCCAGCTCCTTGTCCCCGCTTTTGCTACATTTCAGTCAGCGAAATTCTCTTTTGCACGTCAACGTAGGTTGGCTATTCAGATAACTGAAATAATGAGGATGTGGTTTCAGACACCAGGCTGGACCCTGAGCTCCGACCCAAAATGAATGAGAAAACAAGGCTCGGCCTGCAGAGAAGAAAGCATCTATGATGTCTTACATCTCAGAATAAAAACAATTTCAGACCAGCTGTACAAGGCAATTCCGACACATGCCGCCCCGCCCAACGAAGCCTAATCAAGCCTGCTGCGGAACAGCAGTATGCACGTCTTCGTCCATCTTGGGTGGCGGCCCCATGCATGACCGTGCCACCGACTCAAACAGCTTCTTGATCTCCGGTGCACACCGCGTGAAACCGTGGCTCCAAAAATTGTACCTCGGATTCTGAGGTAGCACAGGAAACCACAGCAGCAGCAAATGGCAAGAAAGGACGAACATGTCAGACACATACTACAGTACGGGCAGGCAAGGACCAACTACAGTGGGACCAAGTTTGATATGTGTTAAAACTAAGGGATGGATGGAACCGGAAGGAACGGAGCGATTGGGGGGGGGGGGGGGGGGGGGGGGGGGGGGGGGGGGGGGGGGGGGGGGGAGGGAGACATGGAACGAGGAAAGCAGACCTGAGATAGTATTAATATCAAGCAAGACTCTCTTCTCATACCTTGATGAGCTCAATGAAGGTGATGAGGAGACCCCATGGGTGTGGCCGGTTGACAATCAGCCGCTCCAGCAGCACACGTGTGATCTGCTCCTGGACGATTTCCTGCGAACGAGGAATAAGACAGAGGGACAAAAGAGAGGACAAGCAGAGACCGAGCTTTTGATGTGCATCAACGGTTGACAATCAATCACTCCAGCAGCACACGCATGATCTGCTCCTGGACGATTTTCTGCGCGGCAAAACGGCACAGAGAAGAATACGGCAGAAGGGGGACATGTGTTGGTCCTGATGCACATCCCTGTTACTTTTGAGAATTCTCGAAGGTCTGATCAGCTGATCCGGCAGCTGGAGAGGGCAGGAGAGGGCAGTGCCTATCCTATCCCCCTCCACCTGGTTAGCTTATCACCCACCCCTCACACCTCACCTCCTTGCCCTGCCCTACCCTCCCTCACCCCTCACCTGGTTGGCCGATCACCCCTCATGAGGCGTTAGCCTATTCACCCCTCGTTTCTCACCTGGTTGGCTTCAGCAAAGAGGTAGAGCAGCACGCAGGAGAAGTAGTGCGTGTGGTTGTTGGGGTACCGCAGCTGATTGGTGTATCGCCCCTCACGCCACACCTGGTTACCCTATCCCCCCTCACCTGGTCACCCTATTAACCCCCACCTTGTTGGCCTCACCTGGTTGGCCTCGGCAAAGAGGTAGAGCAGCACGCAGGAGAAGTAGTGCGTGTGGTTGTTGGGGTACCGCAGCTGGTTGTTGTATCGCCCCTCATGCCACACCTGGTTACCCTATCAGCCCACACCTGGTTACCCTATCAGCCCACACCTGGTTACCCTATCAACCCTTACCTGGTTGGCCTCGGCAAAGAGGTAGAGCAGCACGCAGGAGAAGTAGTGCGTGTGGTTGTTGGGGTACCGCAGCTGGTTCGCCACGGCGTTCAGAAACAGGTACCGCCCCTCCGAGTCCAGATGAGACAGCAGGCGCTGAAACACGTCCATGGGGGCACTGTGGGTGATGGGCGCCGTGGGGACGGCCAGCTGCTGCGGGGTAGCCTTGCTCTGCAGCTGCTGGATTGCCTGCTTGGCGAAAGGGGAGTGTGGGTAATGCAAGTAGCAGCCAGAAGGCAGGGAACGAGGAGGAAGATGGCGTGAGAGAGTGCCAAGCTGGTTGCCCACGGCGTTCAGAAACAGGTACCGCCCCTCCGAGTCCAGATGAGACAGCAGGCGCTGAAACACGTCCATGGGGGCGCTGTGGGTGATGGGCGCCGTGGGGACGGCCAGCTGCTGCGGGGTAGCCTTGCTCTGCAGCTGCTGGATTGCCTGCTTGGCGAAAGGGGAGTGTGGGAAATGCAAGTAGCAGCCAGAAGGCAGGGAAAGAGGAGGAAGATGGCATGAGAGAGTGCCAAGCTGGTTGCCCACGGCGTTCAGAAACAGGTACCGCCCCTCCGAGTCCAAATGAGACAGCAGGCGCTGAAACACGTCCATGGGGGCGCTGTGGGTGATGGGCGCCGTGGGGACGGCCAGCTGCTGCGGGGTAGCTTTGCTCTGCAGCTGCTGGATTGCCTGCCTGGCGAAAGGGGAGTGTGGGAAATGCAAGTAGCAGCCAGAAGGCAGGGAAAGAGGAGGAAGATGGCATGAGAGAGTGCCAAGCTGGTTGCCCACGGCGTTCAGAAACAGGTACCGCCCCTCCGAGTCCAAATGAGACAGCAGGCGCTGAAACACGTCCATGGGGGCGCTGTGGGTGATGGGCGCCGTGGGGACGGCCAGTTGTTTGGGGGGTGCCTTGCTCTGCAGCTGCTGGATGGCCTGTTGGGGGGTGGAGAGGATGGGGACAAGCAGGGCAGACAGAGAGTGAGGAAAATGGGCAAGGAAACAACCAGGAGTGGGGTGAGGCATCTCAGGTACGGCCCCTCCGAGTTGAGGTGCGAGAGCAGGCACTGGAAAACGTCCATGGGGGCGCTGTGGTTGATGGGCGCCGTGGGGACCGCCAGCTGCTGCGGAGTCGACTTGCTCTGCAGCTGTTGAACCACCTGTTGAGGGGGTGGAGGGGAGATGGAGGCAAGAAGAGGGAGCATGGAAGCAGAATGAGGTAAGGCTTTCAGAAACAGGTATCGCCCCTGCGAGTCGACGTGGGTGAGCAGGTGCTGGGAACACGTCCATTGGGGCACTGTGGGTGATGCGGGCCGTGGGGACCGCCAGCTGCTGGGGGGTTGCCTTGCTCTGTAGTTGCTGGATTGCCAGCTTGGGAGGGAGAGTGGGGAAGAGGAGGGGGGGAGGAGGGGGAAAAGGGGGATGGTTTGCGTTAGAGCCGAGGGCATGGCCCATGAGGACCCACCTGCAGATCGACATGCAGCACAGGGGAGTTGCAATACCCACCTGGGACGTTCTGAGATTAAATTCGAGCTCACCGGCATGCCCACATAGAGCTGAGATTAAACTCGAGCAGAGGCACGTTGTAGCGCGTGCCGCGCAAAGCTTCAGCGCACCGCACACTGCCCGAAACCTTGCATAGAAACGCACCTGCATACCGACGTAGAGCACGAGGCTGTTGAGCAGAGGCACGTTGTACTTGGTGCCGCTCTGCACGGCTTCAGCGGGTGGCAGCAGCAGGCGCTGCTTGAGGCTGGCAGAGAGGAAGGAGGGCGGCTGGCGCGTCTGCAGGTACTCATCAACTTCGGCTTTGAGCCCCTTGGCTCTTAGCGTTGCTTCGACATCGGACAATATCCGAGGAGGCTGGCTGATCTCCGGCAGCAGGTCGACCTGATGAGGGGAAAGAAGGAAGGAAGGAGAAGAGGAGAGGGGGGGGGGGAATGAGGAGCAGCAGGAGCACCAGGCGGCAGCAGCAGGTGCTGCTTGAGGCTGGCAAGGAATGAGGGCGGCTGGCGCGTCTGCAGGTACTCGTCCACCTCGGCTTTAAGCCCCTTTGCCCTGAGAGTGGCTTCGACATCGGATAATATCGGAGGAGGCTGGCTGATCTCCGGCAACAGGTCCACCTGGATGGGAGAAGGGGAAAGGAGCAGTGGAAATAAGAGAGGGGAGATGGGGAGGGGCGGGATGAGAAGAGGGGGAGGTGGGGAGAAGAAGGGGAATGAGGAAGACGCAGCAGCAGGCACTGCTTGAGACTGGAGGAGAGGAAGGGCGGAGAGGAAGGAGGGCGGCGCGCGCGCACACACACACACACACACACACACACACACACACAGACGGACAGACAGACAGACAGACAGACAGACAGACAGACAGACAGACAGACAGACAGACAGACAGACAGACAGACAGACAGACAGACAGACAGACAGACAGACAGACAGACAGACAGACAGACAGACAGACAGACAGACAGACAGACAGACAGACAGACAGACAGACAGACAGACACACAGACACACAGACACACACACACACACACACACACACACACAGAGACAGACATACACAGACACAGACACACACACACACACACACACACACACACACACACACACCACACACACACACACACACACACACACACACACACACATACACAGACAGACATACACAGACAGACATACACAGACAGACATACACAGACAGACCTACACAGACAGACACACACACAGACACACACACAGACACACACACAGACACAGACACAGACACAGACACAGACACAGACACAGACACAGACACAGACACAGACACAGACACAGACACAGACACAGACACAGACACAGACACACAGACACAGACACAGACAGACACACAGACACAGACACAGACAGAGACACAGACAGAGACACAGACAGAGACACAGACAGAGACACAGACAGAGACACAGACAGAGACACAGACAGAGACACAGACAGAGAGACAGACAGAGAGACAGACAGAGAGACAGACAGAGAGACAGACAGAGAGACAGAGAGACAGAGAGACAGAGAGACACAGACACAGACACAGACACAGACACAGACACAGACACAGACACAGACACAGACACAGACACAGACACACACACACACACACACACACACACACACACACACCACACACACACACACACACACACACACACACACACACACACACACACCACACACACACACACACACACACACACACACACCACACACACACACACCACACACACACACACACACACACACACACACACACACACACACACACACACACACACACACACACACACACACACACACACACACACACACACACACACACACACCACACACACACACACACACACACACACACACACACACACACACACACACACACACACCACACACACACACACACACACACACACAGACACAGACACAGACACAGACACAGACACAGACACAGACACAGACACACACACACACACACACACACACACACACACACACACACACACACACACACACACACACACACACACACACACACACACACACACACACACACACACACACACACACACACACACACAGACACAGACACAGACACACACACGCGGAAACCAACTTGAGGTTGGCGGTTAGGTAGGGTTAGCAAACACAGTGCATGGGAATGCCGGGAGGAAAAGGTGGAGAGATGATACTTAGGCACCTAAAAGGGAGGAATACTTAGGCACTTAGAAGAACACCTAACCTTTAGGTTGGGCGTGAATAGGTCGGCGAGGAGCATGTTGCGGGGGAAGGCGGAGAGGGGAAGGTGGCGCATTTGTATGCAGGTTGGGGGGGGGTGATGGAATGATAGAGTGGTGTGGTGACAGTCCCAGCCCCAGCAGAACCTGATGTGGTGGTAAGCTCAGCTCACCTTGAGGTTTGGAGTGAAGGGGTCGGGGAGGCGCATGTTGCGGGGAAAGGCGGAGAGGACAAGGTTGCGCATTTGGATGCACGTGGGGGGGATGATGTCGCAGAAGCTGAAGTGGTAGTCGCAGAGGAACTCGGGGAAGTCGTGCAGCAGCACCAGCAGCACGCGAATAGCTCCCTTGTACATCAGGCGGATCTGCCAATAACGAGGATGAGAAGGCGGGGAGGGTGAGAACTTGAAGAGCGAGAATGGCAGGCACGGATGGTGGAGACCACAAGCAAGTTCTGGCTCTGAAGCGCCTCAGGGGCAAATAAGAAGTCAGAACAAGCTCACTTGGCTAGCTCAGGTGACACAAGCACGAGGGCTGAAGGCTGAAAGACCAACCTTACCAACCCAGCCACTGGGTTCTCTTGGTAACAAGCAATAGCACTACAATACACTTTCCGGGTCGCTGAGCGCAGCATCCCTGAGGTAGGGCTCCATGAACTTGAAGAGCGAGAGCAGCAGACGCTGGAACCCACCAACCCACTCCAGGAGCTGAGGGCTGAAAGACCAACCTGATCAACCCAGCCACCCGGCTCTCTTATTGACAAGCCATAGCACTTCACTCAACTCACCGGGTCACTGAGCTCTGCGTCCCTGAGGTAGGGCTCCATGAACTTGAAGAGCGAGAGCAGCAGACGCTGGAACCAGGGCCACCCCTTCTGGCCGGGGAAGAGCAGCAGCTTGGGCATGAAAGATCTATGGGAGATGAGCTCCAACCAGGCGAAGCTGGCAGGAGAAGGGGACGGGGAGGTGGGGAGGAAGGGGGGGAGGGGGACAGGATGGGGAGAGGGGGACAGGATGGGGAGAGGGGGACAGGATGGGGAGAGGGGGACAGGATGAGGAAAGAAGCAGCTTGGGCATGAAGGAGCGATGGGAGATGAGCTCCAACCAGGCGAAGCTGGACACAAGGGTCGGGGAGTGGGGGGAAGAAGAAGAGGGGAGCAGGCCAAGGCGATAGTGGGGCATATGATGAGGAAAGATGAGAGAAGAAGCTTGGGCATGAAGGAGCGATGACAGAGCATGGAAGGTGGCTGCCAGGGTAGTGAAATTTGGGGCGAAACCGCCCCATGCAACCACGCAAACACCCACACCCACCCCCTGCCCCTCACCTGAACGAGGGCACTCGAAGGGGCTGCAAGGCATGGAAGGTGGCCGCCAGGGTGGTGAGCACCTGACAGGGGGGACAGAAGTGAACGGGATTTCAAGGACAGGAATTGGAAGGATAGAAGTTGGAAAGACAGGAATTGGATGGCCAGGATTGGGGAGGACAGGATTTGGAAGGACAGGATTTGGAAGGACAGGATTTGAAAGGACAGGACTTGAAAGGACAGGATTTGAAAGGACAGGATTTGGAAGGACAGGATTTGGAAGGACAGGATTTGAAAGGACAGGACTTGAAAGGACAGGATTTGAAAGGACAGGACTTGAAAGGACAGGATTTGAAAGGACAGGATTTGGAAGGACAGGATTTGAAAGGACAGGATTTACAGAGTGACTTTCCCGGCCCCAAACTCACTTCCCCCTCCCACATCTTCCCAACTAAACCCAAACCTCTCAACCTTTTTCAACTGCCTCACCTGGTGACTGGCAGCATCGAAGTTAGGATCGGGGGCATTGAGGTCGATGATGAGGTTGGTGAGGAGGCGGAAGAAGGGGCAGGCATTGGTGAAGCGACATGCATCCTCTACAGAACATTCCCCCACCTGCAACCCAGCTGCCTCACCTGGTGACTGGCAGCATCGAAGTTGGGGTCGGGTGCGTTCAAATCAATGAGAAGGTTGGCGAGGAGGCGGAAGAAGGGGCGCGGGTTGGTGAGGCGGCGCTCGTCCGCCTGGCGGTGGATGACCCTCACCACGCCTGACAGCACCTTGTTCAGCAGATTCACCTTGCTCAGATTCGCGTTGCCTCCCAAGTCCACGTAATACTGCCAAGGTTTGGGAGTGGTGGGAATGGGTGGAAACGGGTGGAGAGCGGTCCAAATGGGTGGGAAGTGGTGGAGAGAAGTGGAAGGGGGTGAGGCGGCGCTCGTCGGCCTGGCGGTGGATGACCCTCACCACGCCTGACAGCACCTTGTTTAGCAGATTCACCTTGCTCAGATTCGCGTTGCCCCCCACGTCCAAACAGTAATGCCAGGGGTTGAGAGTGGAGGGAATGGGTGGAAGGGGTGGAAAGCGATGCCAAAGGATGCACAGGGTTGGAGCCCGGTTTCTGAGAGTGCGAGTGATTTTTGAGAATTCTAAAAAAACATGCAATTACAAACCTTGATTGCACACCAAGGAACGACCCTTGACTCCCAACAGGGAATCTGCCTTTTCAGACTTACCTTGATCAGGAGCACCACGAGGCGACTGAACATGTCCACAGCCGTGAAATTCAGCCCTCGGGCCGGCGGCACCTGGCCGCTCCCAGGGGCGGCAGGCGGGGGCGGGTTGAGGGGCTGGGAGGAGGCGAGGCAGTGCGCAACGACCATGTCGGTGAGCGTGCGGAATAGCCTCTCGGCGGCGTCCTCTGAGGCGAGCAGCGAGGAGTGCTGCAGCTGCGAGAGAAACACCACCACTGCCTTGTCGTTGCTGCCCGCCGCCGCCGCCTCGCTCACCCGCACCCAGTCGTCAAACAACGCCACTGCCTGCGCCTGAGGTGGGGGAGGGCGGGGGAGAGGGGGAATTATTGTGGTAGGATCATGAGGGATGGCTGATTGCTGCTGCCCGCCGCCTCGCTCACCCGCACCCAGTCGTCAAACAACGCCACTGCTTGCGCCTGAGGGGGGGGGGGAGGGAAGGGGGGGAGGGAAGGGGGGGAGAGTGGGGGGGAAACAGAAGGGCAGAAGGGAGGAGAAAAAATCAGCGAGACAGATTTGAAATGGCATTGCTGTCCCTTTGGCCTCCCCTGCTGCTGCCTTGCTCAACGGCACTGCACTGAGTTGTCAAACAGTGCCACACAAACGAACCAAACCTTGAAGAGTGCCTTGAAAACAACATAATGTGAACCTAGCCAGCTCTCTGTAACTCGCAACGATTCAAATCGAGTGACACGGGGGGAGGGGGGTGTGTAATTAAGTGAGGTTCTGTGACTTGGATGCAAAACTTGCCTTGATCTCGTGGTCGGGAGGAGTGTTAGCTGCCTGTGGCATGGCTGATGAATCCACCTGCACACACGCATGCAAGGCAAGACACGCACATGCAGGGTAACGGAGATACAAAAAGGGAAGGAGGGCGGGCTGGCTGAGAATAGTGAAAGACAGGGGAGAAGGCACATGGATCAACAGTTCAGGCCTACATCAGATCAGACTCCATCGTCCATTTACCTGCTGGTTCAACCTACGTATGGAGCCTCTATCCATCATTCATACATCCACGTACCTGCTGGTTGAGGCCTGGGAGGTCCATGGGAGGGGCGGGGCTGCCAGCATACGCCAGGGGGCCCTCAGCGCCCATGGGGATCTTGGGCAGCCCAGGGGGGCCTGCCACAGCGCCAGGGGCAGCGCTAGGGACACCACTACCAGGGACAGAGCCGGGAGCAGCGCCTGGCACACCAAGGGGCATGCCAGGGGGCCCCACACCACCCGCAGCAGCTGCTGCTGCTGCTGAGCCGGGTCGTTCGATTTCTGCTGCGATCAGCTGGGCAGGCGACGGGGAGGCGGAATTGGCGTTGATTAGCTGAGCCGCTCCTGCTGCTGCTCCGCCTGCTCCAGGTGCCCCTTGGAAACCCATCCCCGCCTGCTGCTGCTGCGCCTGTGCCTGTGCCTGTGCCTGTGCCTGTGCCTGCGCCTGTGCCTGCGCCTGAGCCTGTGCCTGTGCCTGCGCCTGTGCTTGTGCCTGCTGATCCTGCACTGTTAGCTGCTGCTGCTGCTGTGACGCACCATACGGTACAGGAGACATGGACGATCCAGGCAACCCCGAAACCATCCCTCCCATTCCCCCACCGGCAGCACCTCCACCAACCACTCCACCCTGCTGCTGCCCCACCTGCTGCCCCACCTGCTGCGGCCCCTGTCCTTGCCCCTGCCCAAGCACCATCTGCCCCTGCCCCATCTGCTGCCCGCCCTGCCCCGCCCCTCCTCCAACCCCGCACAGCACAGCAGCAGCAGCTGCTGCAGCCGCTCCAGCCTGAGGCACCTGCCCCTGCCAGGGCAGGTGCACGAAATCCTCGTAGATTCTCTGCTGGACCAGCGTGAGCCGCCCGGGTTTGGGCCTGAGAGCCTCTGGGATGCGCGCGAGGCTGCCCTGGGAGTAGATGGACGCGTCATAGTAGGCCGCGCCGAGGGCTTCCCGCTGCTTGCGCCGCATGGCTAGCGCCGGGCCCAGCACCTCCTCCAGATCACGCACAGCCTACATTTTTCAAAAGAAAATAACAAAAAAAAAAGGCGGGAAAGGCGGGAAAGGCAGCAGGGGAAGAGAGAGTGGAGAGAGGGGAAGAGTGGGAGAGGGGAGGGGCAGGGGAGGAGGGAGAGAAGAGAAAGCGGGGGTGAGGATAAGGTGGAAAGTGCTCCTAGAGATTGCCCCTAACCAGAAGCCCACCCCACCTGGTGACTTCCGAGCCGACTCAAAACAGCATTGTAATGAACGTTCTCTAAAGTGTTTTTTGAGAATTCTCAAAAAACACACCTGGTGACTTCGGAGCCGACTCAAAATAGCATTGTAATGAACATTCTCAAAAGCGGCTCACCTTCTCACTGGCGTATTTGAGTCGACTCAAAAACAGGCTCAAAACAGCATTGTAATGAACATTCTCAAAAGCGGCTCACCTTCTCACTGGCGGCCTTTTCAATCACGGCACACCCCAGGTCGAGGTTGTCGCTGACCAGCAGCTGAGCCACCTGCTCCAGCTCCGCCCCTGCCAGTGCTGCCTGCAGGAGCGTCCTCAGGTGATTCGCCATTGCCACACGCAGAGGCTCCTGTTGGGACCGCAGGGAGGGGTAGGCAGAGTGAGAATAAGGGGCACGAAGAGAGGTCAGCAGCTGCGCCACCTGCTCCAGCTCCGCCCCTGCCAATGCTGCCTGCAGGAGCGTCCTCAGATGGCTTGCCATCGCCACACGCAGCGGCTCCTGTTGGGATGTGAACCGCACAGGAGGTGAGCGACAGAGAGTGCAAGGAGCGACAGAGAATGCAAGGAGCGACAGAGAATGCAAGGAGCGACAGATGAATATTTAAGGTGCGGGCAAAAATACGACTATTGAGGCGCCTCAGAAATTGCGGATAGTAAGACGACTTTTGAGGTGAGCGACAGAGAATGCAAGCAACAGAAGATGTGATAAGGGTGCCTGCCAGGGTGCCTTCTGCTGCTGCGACCGTACACTACATACACCTCATTACCGCACACAACCACCACCCGCCCCACCACACACCCCACCTTGCATGTGACGAGTGCGAGACTGCCCGCCAGACTCCCCACCATGAGATTAGCCGCCTTCTGTGTGCAGCTGTCGTCCAACTCCATTGCAAAGTCCTTGAGCACCAACTCGCGTGTAGTCATGCACACCATTGCCACACAAACCATCATTTCACCACCACAAACACCCACCGCACTGCACACAACCCACCACCTTTCACCGCATACAACCACCCCGCAACCCACCTTGCATGTGACGAGCGCAAGACTGCCTGCCAGGCTCGCCACCATGAGGTTGGCCGCCTTCTGTTGCCATGACCATACACCCAATCATACACCCCACCACCGCACACAACCACCACACACCCCACCTTGCACGTGACAAGAGCCAGACTGCCTGCCAGGCTCGCCACCATGAGGTTAGCCGCCTTCTGTGTGCGGCTGTCGTCCGCCTCCATTGCAAAGTCCTTGAGCACCAACTCGCGTGTGGTCATGCATGCAATGCTGCAGCTCCTCTCCACCACTGGCGACACAATCTCCCTCACTGCCCGGTCCATGCACGCGGGCACGATTCTGGAGGAGGATTGGGGGAAGGGGGGTCAAGCACGGGGGGCAGTGGAACAGCAAGAGACGGATTGATTAACACCACCACTGGCGACACAATCTCCCTCACTGCCCGGCCATGCACACATGCACGATTCTAGAGGAGGACAAGAGGGAGGGGGAGGGAGTCAAGCAAGGGCAAGTGTGGACAAAAAGAGGCAAATAAACTGGCGACACAAACTTTCTCGCGCACGATCCATGCACGCAGGATACGAGGGGTTGGGGGAGGATACAACCATTTGAGATGGTTTTGAGAATTCTCAAAAACCAGTTGGGGGAGGATACAACCATTTGAGATGGTTTTTGAGAATTCTCAAAAAACAGTTGGAGGAGGATACAACCATTTGAGATGGTTTTTGAGAATTCTCAAAAACCAGTTGGGGGAGGATACAACCATTTGATATATTACGAAACACGTGGCATGCGGACCATGCTTGGTCTGCAAGCATTAAGTCAACCCACGGGCCATGTACCAAGCCGGGGCTTTGCAATAAAAGCCCATGTAAGACGCCAGAGCCGATGGCTGGGAAAAAGAAGGCGTTGGGAGGGGTGGAGAGAGATGGGGGGTGGTGCTTACCTTGCAAGCTGCAGTTGCTGCGCCACTGGAGCAAGCTTGGGGCTGATGACGATGTAGGACGCCAGGTTGGGCAGCAACACAGATGACTGGCAAGGGGGGGGGCGTTTAAATAAGGGGGATATGGAGGGAAGAAGGGGGGGGAGGGGAGGGCGGGAGGGGAAGGGAGGGTGGGCGGGGAAGGGAGGGTGGGCGGCAAGGGGAGAGGGAGTCGACTCAGAAAAGCTTGGGGTTGATGACGACGTAGGATGCCAGGTTAGGCAGCAATACCGATGACTGTGAAGTGGGGTGTTAATAGAGGTGGGGAGGGGTTGGAGAAGGTGGAAGATAGTGGGAAAACCAGCTGCAGGGATGGAGGGAACGTGGGATCAAAAAGAGGAAAAAGAAAGGAATCATCGACGGAAGAAACAAGAAACGAGTTGACAAAAATGGGAGCACAAAGATGGAGGCGCGGGTGGCTAGAGAAAAGAAGTGGGAGGCACGGGTGGCTAGAGAAAAGAGGGGGGAGGGGAAATGGCGTAGGGGACGGGGTGGGGCTGGGGGGCAGGGGAGGGCGAGGGGAATGGGAGGGGCGAGGTTCGGTTATAGCCATACCGGAACAGCAGCCTTGGCACCAGCTTGTTGCGACTGCTGCAGCAGCATCTGCTGCTGCTGGGACTGCTGCGGCGGCGGTGATTGCTGCTGCTGCTGCTGCTGCTGCTGCTGCTGCTGCATTGACATTTGCTCCTGCTGCTGCTGCTGCTGCTGCTGTTGCTGCAGCTGCTGCTGCTGCTGCTGCTGCTGCTGCTGTTGCTGTTGTTGTTGTTGTTGTTGTTGCTGCAGCTGCTGCTGCTGTTGCTGTTGCTGTTGCTGCTGTTGCTGTTGCTGTTGCTGCTGTTGCTGTTGCTGTTGCTGTTGCTGCTGTTGCTGTTGCTGTTGCTGCTGCTGCTGCTGCTGCTGCTGCTGCTGCTGCTGCTGCTGCTGCTGCTGTTGTTGTTGTTGCTGCTGCTGCTGCTGTTGCTGCTGCTGCTGCTGTTGTTGCTGCTGCTGCTGCTGCTGCTGTTGTTGCTGCTGCTGCTGCTGCTGCTGCTGCTGCTGCTGCTGCTGCTGTTGCTGCTGCTGAAACTGCGACACCTGCTGTTCTGCCTTCCCCGCACCAGGCACCCCCAGAGCCCCTCTACCAGCAGGCCCAGGCGGCTCAGGGGAAGCTACAGCTGACCGCACAAGAGGCTGAGGGGAACCCCTTCCTGACCCTGCTCCTCCTGCTCCCGCTCCTCCTGCAGTGGACAGGTGAGCGGCTAGCAGGTCCTTGTTTGAGAAATCCGGATTCCCCTCCATTTCCCTCTGCCGCCCCACCAGCAGCTGCGATGGCTTCACCTCCTTCATCTCAATTCCCAAGTTCTTAAACAGCACCTGCAGGGAGGAAAGGAAAGCAACGGAGTGTGATAAGTCGAGTTTTGAGTCGACTCAAAACTCGACTTATCACACGCTGCGATGGCTTCACCTCCTTCATCTCAATTCCCAAGTTCTTAAACAGCACCTGCAGGGAGGAAAGCAACGGAGATGAGCCAGCCTTACGAGCGGGACAGTGATCAGATGAGATCCATGAGCAATAACATTGAAATGGTAAGGAAGATCCATGAGCAAAATCAACAAGCAAAGAACAAAGAAAACTGAGAGGCGAGGGGCGCGCACCTCAATGTCGAACTTGAGGTTGAGCTTGAGGTTGGGCAGGCTGTAGATCTCCACCAGTAGACCCAGAATTCCCATGGTCCAGGGGTTGGGCTTTTGAGGAGCCTCAAAACACGTACATCAATGTCGAACTTGAGGTTGAGGTTGAGGTTGGGCAGGTTGTGAATCGAGGTGACTTTTGAGTCGACTCAAAAGTCACCTTGGGCTTTTGAGGCGCCTCAAAACACGTACCTCAATGTCGAACTTGAGGTTGAGCTTGAGGTTGGGCAGGCTGTAAATCTCCACCAGAAGACCCAGGATGCCCACGGTCCAGGGGTTGGGCGGCTGGTAGATTATGCTGTTTGCACAGGGCTCGAGAATCTGCAAGATGAGATGCAAAGCAGACGGCCACAAAAACGGGGGGAGTGGGGAAAGAAGGGGTTTGGGGGGGGGGGAAATTGGGGGAAGGGAGGAGGTGGGGGGGGGGGAGGGGGGAGGGTGGAAGACGTGAGGGGAAAGGTCACAAAACAGAATGCCCAGGGTCCATTGTTTAAGCGGCTGGTAC